AATCCTAGGGCTAAGTCATTGGCTAATATTACGTCAATTCCCTCTATGGGAAGACTATTCACCACGGCCAACCGACACTCACCTTTGAAGTGCTGAGAGTCTAGATGTACTTGTACCAATGGGGCAACGTACAAGGTTGAAGGGAATCCACCCAGGATTACCTTCTGCATCTCATCCGCCGATATACCTTCGGGTAATGATGTTTCCAGAATTAGAGACTGGGCCGCTCCACTGTCTCTAAGTATTACCACAGGCGTACTTGCAAGGCCACTGGCTACATATCCTTGGGAGGTATATGGGGCGAACAATCCTTTCCTCTTCTCTTGGGTGGATGTCGGTGGTACTATACTGTTCATCAGCATGACTTCCCTACAGGGATTATTACCTGAACTGCTACGACACTTCGCAGCAATATGTCCTCTCTTACCGCAGGTCCAACACAATACATCCCTTTTCGGACTAAACCTCCGAGGACTATCCGAGGTTGACTTGGCGGTACTACGAGGGGCAGTTCTATCTTCCGGTTTATGTTTGGCTGGATACCTTGAATAGGTCTTCGGGACGTACCTAGCAGATGGCCTGTGAGTCAGGATATACTCTTCCGCCATGGTGGCTGCCGCACTCAAGGTCTCTACCTGCTGTTCCTCTAGGTACGTCTTCAGGTCTCCAGACAAACAATCCTTGAAGTCCTCGAGCAGAATCAGCTGCTCGAGGTCTTCCTTGGTCTCCACCTTCCGAGAGGCACACCATTCTTGAAAAAGTCGCTCCTTGATGGTGGCGAATTCGGTGAAAGTGTGCTCTGAGGTCTTCTTCAGGTTTCTGAACTTTTGCCTATATGCCTCAGGTACCAATTGGTACGCCATGAGCACCACTTTCTTCACCATATCGTAATCGCCGGAGTCGTCAAGGGATAACGTAGAGTAGGCGATTTGGGCCTTCCCAGTCAAGACTGACTGTATCATGATGGCCCAATTCTCCCTTGGCCACTCCAAAGAGGCAGCGACTTTCTCGAAGGCTGCGAAGAACTTCGAAACTTCTCTCTCGTTGAATTTGGGGACCATTTTGATATTCCTTACCGGATCGAAACCGCTTACTCCAGTTTGTCTCTGTCCAGCGCCTAGTCGTAATACTTCTAGTTCATGTTGTCTCTGTCTTTCCTCCCTTTCTCGCTCTCGTTCTTCTCTCTCTCGTCTCTCTTCTCTTTCTCGTTCTTCTCTTCTTTCTTCTCTTTCTCGTTCTTCTCTTTCTCGTTTCTCTTCTCTTTCTCGTTCTTCTCTTTCTCGTTTCTCTTCTCTTTCTCGTTCTTCTTTCCTTTCTTCCAATTCTAAACGCCTCATCGCCATTTCCTTATCTTTCATCTCCATCTCTTTATCTTTTAATTCTCGTTCTAATTCTAACTTCTTCCACTCTATCTCGCGATTGATCTCTAGGGCACGCATCTTGACTGTTAGGAAGCTGATATTAAGCTCACCTGCATCACTGTCAATGTCACTGCCCTTGTCTTCCTTTTCTGTGGAAGCTATTTCCTCACCTTCCCTTGTACTAGGAGTCTCGCCTTCCTGTTTCTCTTCTGCCTTCAGGTGCCGGTGAACCTTGGACAAGATCTCCACACGGGAATCACTGGCACGGATCTTGATCTCCAGGTAGGCGCTCACTAGTACAAGTTCCGGTTTGCTCAGATACTTCAATCTGGCAAGACAGTCCACTCTATTCAGAAAAGCCTGAACATCGTCCAGATCATCGATGGTAGCTTTGTCTGCCATTGTCACAGATGGAACACTTTGCACTTAACACACCGAGCACTGTTCTACGCCAATATTGCACTTTATCGCACCAAACACTGCACTTGCCAATATTGCACGTAATCACTTCGGGCACCACACTACCCAATATTGCACTGAGTCCAAGCGAACACTTCGCTCTACAATATTGCACTGAATCACTGAGCACCGCACAGGACGTATAACGTCACAATCGTCACACAGGGGGAATTATATACAGGGATTACGCCACTTCACCACCCCTGTCAAACATACTTAACAAGGGGTCGAATCCCGCTGGGGATGCCAATTATGTTACGGCCCTCTCGGGACGCAACGGGGTTCTTACTCTGATGTAGTTAGAGGAAGATATATATCCGGCCCCAAGCCAGTAGAGGCTATCAAGGGATGCGATCCGTGACGCAAGTAACTTAAAGGGAGTAGGGAAAGAAAGGTAAGAACTTAATATAATATAATATAACCATCACCATTTAAATATATAAAAGTAAAACGTACACAAGGGGGAGGGGTATTAACACTTTACAAGGGGATCAACACTGTAGTCTTCTGCTGGAGACTATGGATCCTTGAAGCTAGGTGCTGAGTCCGCGGTGCTTTCTTCGTGGCCTCAAGACGTGTCCTCTGAGAACGCCGAGTCTACCCTGGCCACAGGTCAGCCACAACACAGGTCCACTGGGGGCACCGTCGTGGAGGCCGTCAACCACACGTCCAGCAGGTCTGCTGGCAGGTACTGAGCCACCAAGGCTGGCACGGCCACTCCACGAACGATAAAAGGGGTACGCCCTAGACAGGAGTCTCGTGTGATATCACCAATCACCCTCCTGTCCTCAATACCCCAGTGGATTATCGTCTCCAACCGTCGGTCCCGGGTAAATCCTTCCACTGCCACTCCACTGGCAGGCTTAACACACCACAGTGTTCTTCCGGGGGGACGACGTCACGACAGCTGCAGCAAACTTCACAGTATGGAGACTGGCTGCCTCAGGTAGACTGACTCCACTTCCATCACAGTGGTCCCAGGTCGGCTCTGTAAGCAGACACGTCATCAATAACAGGGACACTAAAACACCATACTTACAGGCTCAGACACAAACGCCGGACATATCCACTCCATAGATGGCGTTGTAGTCTGAGCACCACCTCACCAGAGGTCAGCGGCGGCGGTGTTGGGCGCTGAACGGGGCTGGAAACTGGCCCTCGTAGCTAGTACACGTCGTCGGTTTGGAGGGGGTTTCGGGAGCTGACCCACAGATGGCGCGGCCGTCACTGTTTAGAGATTGGACGCTGGATCAGGGTCCGTAACACCTGGGAACCCACACGGCAGGCCCCGGGGGACGAGCTGTCCCCCCAAAGCCCCAGCCTCACAAGAAGAAACCGGGACAGCAGTGAAAATCACAAAGGAAGGGAGCCCACTGGCAGACTCATACAACACAGCTGGAGGAACAGGCTCGAATGCCCCCGTCGCTACCCCGGAAGGGGAATTCCTCGAGACCAACCGAGTCTCAAAACCATGGAAGCCCCATTCCTCAACCCCGAACCCACAGATGGTAAGGACCCGGATGCAGGGGGGGGGGACCCGACAAGACCACCAACCAAAACGGGGCAGCCTCGGGGCTTCTGGGTAGCAAAGAACCTAGTGCGTTGCCACCGAAACGCAACGTGCAATGCCCGTGTTACCTGCACCCACATAGTCAGCATAAGACAGGGCAACCGAGTCACAAACAAGCAACAAAACTCGCAGCACTCGGGGCTGAAAGTGTCACCGACCCCACAGGCAGCAGACGCAAAACGGGGAGTCACACCCTGTGACAAGGGGACAGAGCAACCCTCGAACTCGCACAAGGTGAGGGGGGGACTCCGGGGGCCACATCCATCGGGCCCACGCTCCCCCTAGGGGATTCCCAGCGTCCTGAGCATTTACTATAAAAGGACTCACACTCATTTAATCCCAGACAGGGTACTGCTAACCGGCACCCAAGTCTACCAAACAACTTTCTAAGAACTGAACCCCCGGGATGTGTACACTCACAGGGACCTAGCAGTGGGAACCACCGGAAGAAAGAAGAGAACCCAATACAAAGGAGGCAAGAACCAAAGGCAGACCCCCACCAGGTAGACAGAGAAAAAGAAAATCCCGCAAGAGGACAGCGTACCCAGGCAGAACAGAGCCGGCCGCTATGATTGGTGAAAACAAGCTGCACAGTACCCTGCACCCCTACCAGTGCAAACTGCCCCTTACCCTAAGGCGAACAAGGGAGATAGAACCCCCCATCACACAAAGGGCGGCCGAAAACCAAACAGTAAACGGCCTAGCAGAAGCAGGACCCAAGGAACTTGTGGACGATAACCCCAAGACCCAAGGGCAGTACTTACAAGGCCCCTAGGGGAAGGAAACCCTAGGCGCATGCAGCCCCGAGTACTGGAGACTCACTCCTGGCTCACGCACCACCTAGAAGACAGACACCACACTCTTGGTACAGTGCTGAAACAACCACTGGAGCTGGAGCACACAACCGGTGCCTTTAGCATCAGCCAAAGAACTGATGGGTGGATAGCTGGTGTGAGAGGTTTGGGGCTCCCCCTTCCCCCTCCCGGGGAGGGGGGAGCTGCTCAGACAGCGGCGCGGTGACATGTGACATCACACTAGTTTGCTCATTTTCTGTTGGGGAGTTCTATCCACTAGTTTGGCTTTTGGTAGCAATTTTAACCCGAATAGGGGTTTGTTTTGGGACACTTATTTTTCTGGATGCTTGACCCGGTCGATGGCAGACATAGAATGCTTCCAACCACACTGGGGTTTCTATAGGCCATTGCTCCCCTTGCCTCTTTGAGGGGGCCAGGTCCTGGCTGTGGTCCCCGGTAGGCCCTAAGAACTCCATACACATGACTGATGCCAAAGTCTGACATTAGCATATCAGCCCGAGATAGCTCCGGTGCTCCCCCCAGAAAAATATTGTATGTGACATACTTTAGCTATGATGGAGCTGAGAGAAGTTGAGCAAATTATGGGCACTGAGTGATGAAGCACTAAAATATGGGCTGTATAGGATATGTACATTTAGTATGTGAAGTCTCAATATTAAATATAATGTTAGAATTATAGCCAAAAGCCAAGCACTGGGATCATTTGCTACTTGGTGCTACTCTATTACATATATCTACCGACTTGCCCATGTATACATGCCATTTGGTTTGGCCTTTACGGAAAATTCAACTTACATGATGTTTGCTTTATGGATTGCTGTGACCTTCTTCCTATCATGCCTTAAAGCATATTCAAAAGCATACCGCGCAACTCGCTCTGAGCCCTTCCTGGTAATGATCTTCAGACTCTCAATGACGCCCTTCACATTCTGTAAGTACAGTATACTGAATTAGATATGATTTCTTACTATTATGTGTCTGCTTCATTTATCCCATTTACATACAATAGCAATGAATATGTTATACGGTACAAGAAGAAGCAAGTACTGTGGAGAATGTACAAGTGTGCAAAGATTTTGCTATGCATTTGAATAAATGTAATTTCAGTAATGAAATCTAAGATTTATGTACAATAGAATATACTGAACTGACCTGACCTAGATACATAATATACAGAACTGACCTAGCCAATTTTAAAAGTGAAGTAATTGTCATAAACTACCTATATATAAAAACAAAGTAATGATAAATCTTTATAAAAGCATTAACAAGAAATGCTGGAAAAACTGATGCAGGGCCTTACCTCATGCTCAAGCATGGAGTATTCTCCTTCAGTGTTTTCACGAATGATGACAATATCCACGCCGCTGTAGCGTGAACGGACAGAAGGGTATGTTTTACAGTGTAAAACATTTGCAAAAAGATCCAGTTCTGTGCGTAGTGAGGCATTGCGGGAGCCACAGAAAACATCACCATACTTGCTTTCTATACTGCCTGGTCAGAAATGGTATAAAAAAAAATATACATATATATTTTTAATGTATACATTTCTTAACACCAAATTTACATTCTTTCCTGCTTACAATCCATCAGCTAATCATACACATTAAAACACTTAAGGTTATCAGGGTAACTGTATTCCATTCCACCTGGCATTTTGTGATTAATTCAGCCTCTCCATTACTATCTCAAATTTTTGAGATTACATTGATTCACTTTTTAATTACTTTTAATTGGAGCTGCACTTCCTTGTAAAATTGCTGTGGCACAGCCCAAAACAGCGATGGTCAGAATGGTGTTTGAACTCGCCTAATTCTGCTTGCAGTAGGTAAAGAGTCCATATCTGTACTCTCCTGGTAACTATCAATTTAACACAATATTACAATAAGATAATTTATTTCTGGGAGAGCCCCTTGGTGGCTCCCAGTAGCTATCTCGCTGAAATTGCTACATTAAGCCACTGGGGCTCTGCTGGAAAGAGGCCTTTCATTACATTCAATGCTGGGATTTTACGATAGGAGCTCGATAATTTAGATTCCAGTAACCTGAATCTCTAAATAATCAGAAGGAATTCATGTATGAGTTTTTATTTCTTTTATTTTACCTTTTAACTTTAATGGAAATTCTGGATATTGAGATTTGTCAAACAAAAATCAGAATAAATTTGAACTTGTTAATTGTTTTGTCATTTCCCGGTCAAAAATTTGGCTAACTTGAATATCTGGGTAGCTCAAATAGAGGTGGGTCTCATAATTTGGATATTAATTGATCAATTATTGTAATAATAATAATAATAATAATAATAGGATAAAAAACCCACCTTTATGTATTTGTGTATTGTAGATCTTGAAATGTGTAGTTCATGAAAATTTACATAACCTAATCTCTGGTTATATGGATTTCTGTCCAGATATGGCAAAGTTTTGCCAGAAAATTATCCAGATGCGATTTTGGCAAGATAACCCAAATATTCAATTCAGCAGGCTTCGGATAACCAAGCTCATACAGTATTATAGGTTGAAAATAAAATTTTGCTAAGTGAAATTAGCTCATAGGGCATGGAAAATGCATCCTGAATTAATCTCTGGTTGCAATGAATCCCTAACTCCAACGAATTAGAAGTTGGTCCCACACAGTTCATTGAATCGAGGTTGTACTGTACTCCATATGCCAGCACAGAAACATGGAATTATGACTGACCAATTTATTAAAGGTTCCAGTCAACACTGTACACAGAAATAATATTAGGTACAGTAAATATTACTAACCTTTCAAAGCAACACCATTCCTTTTAATACAAATCAAAGCATTTGCGAATTCTTCATCAGTTGAGTTTTTTGTTATCTGAATCTCTTCAAAGTCAACAGGCACACCTGCATATCTGCAAATTTAGAACCAAGTGCATAGTACAATTACACAATTTTTGGTTCTTGGGTAGTAATCGTTATTTTCTTATTGCTAATGCCTCCGAGGTATAGAAAATGGCTATTATTTCCCCTTATTTTGCTTTGACCTTTATGCCTTGGGCAGCTTAGGGAAGATGATTGAGGGTTACCTTAACCACTGCACTGCATTAAAATAGTGTTATTATAAGTACAGAATATTATTATTAATTAGGTTTATTAGCTTTTGAGATACAGTAATGTTCATGTATTTTGTTTAACCTTAACAATATTTGTGAACAAATATTTAAATAAATTTTTTTTGTCTCAAATACTTTATATCCTGAGCTTCAATGACTCTGGTGGCAACAAAAAGACAAGTTTCTTACCTAAAGATATTCTTAACATAGCCCATCATTTCTGGGCCAATACCATCTCCAGGCAACATGGTGACTGTGAAGCGTCCACCATACTGAGCCACCGGGAAGGGCTTGGACTGTGTGAAACAAAATTTATCAACCAATAATTGCAGGAACAATAATAATGAGTGTAACACTACTGCACTTAATCACAGTACTGTTATTTATATTTATTTATATATACAGTATATATATTATATAAATAGCATATATATATATAGCAATTAGCATAGTACTGTATTGTACTGTATTAGCAAACTATGCTAAATTCAGGAAAAGATGAAGCCCTGCACAGTAGGGTACTTACTGCAGTAAATGTTCTTCTCTGACAGACATTTGGAACCTGAAAAGAAAGGAGGTAAATCAATCCAAGAAGCCATGGTTTACTTTGAGTACTGTACCTCGGTTTACGAATGCCCCGGATGACAAATTTTTTGGTATACAAAGTCAATTTCCTCATACAATTTGACTTGGTGTATGAAGTTTGCCTCGGAATACAAGTGTCTGTTGATACATGTACGAGGTCAACTGCGTGGGTTCTGCTGGGCACGGGGCAAGGCATACTCAGTTTATTAGTGTATCCCGCCTAGTGAGGACTGCGCTTGAATTCTGTGAAGAATTTCATTTTTTTTTTTCTGAACAAAGTTCTTAGTATATATCATCATACCATGGGTCCCAAGAAAGTCTGTGGTAAAGTTTAACCTAAGAAAACAGTTGTGAGGATGACGATAGAGGAAAAACAAGAGATTATAGCTACGAGCTATAGCAGGCCGTTGCATTAACCTTTTTAATGACAATGTGATGTCTCACTACAGACAATCTTGAGGTTATCTTGAGATGATTTCGGGGCTTAGCGTTCCCAGTTCCTAACATGTATGAATACATACTGGCTTCCTGTCCCCCAACACAATGAACTTTTATAGGCTGATTTTATGTTGCATGGCCAAATTGTACAAAATACATTTTGCACATATATTGCTTACCAATTTTAAAACAGCATATAATACATTAGGATAGGTGGATTCTATTGGATTCACTACTTCAGTATTCAAAATGATTGTTACGACCCTGGGTACGACCCACGACTGCAATCACAATGTCAGTGACGTCACATCTCACACACAGTGCATATACAAATCACAAACTTACTTTCATTTGATTGATTAGACTAGGCTACGTTATGCTGGATTGGGCCGAGTTAGGCCGAGCTGGGTTGGGTTGGGCTAGGTTGGGCTCGGCTATAAAAGGCTTAGTACAAGAAAACAAATCCCTTGATGAAGGCTTATGCACAAAATGCCTTGAAACCAAACTATCTCAGTCATTATCTGACAGGAACGTTTAGTACCACGACGAGTGCTTCGTAGTACAGTCGAGTTCACTCTTCTCGCACTCCAGAATTCTGGGTTTGAATCCTGAGCAGGACAGAAATGGTTGGGCGCGTTTCCTATCACCTAATGTCATTTTTCATCTTGCAGTAAATAAGTACCCATGAGTTTTAGTCAGCTTCATAATAATAATAATTCATTGTGTTGTGGGACAGGCAACCAAAGTGTGTTTATACACATTAGGGTTAAATCAAGGGGTCCATGCGGGTTCGAATTACAGGACCCGACCCTGGATGCAACCCCACAATAAGCTGTAACTCCCGGGTACCTACTTACTGTCAGGCGAACAGGCGCATTAGGTAATAGAAAATGTGCCCCACCACTTGTGTCTCACCCGGGAATCGAACCAAACCAGGAATTCTTGATTGTGAGTCGAGAATGACCCCTCAACCTAACTTGTTGAGGTTACATCCTGGGAGTCAGTAATTCGACCTTGGGGGGGGGGGGGGGGGTACCTTTATATATGCCTAACGTGTACTATATGTATATACTGGCTGCCTGTCACTCCACACAATGAATTAACTGAATTATAAACATTTCGAAATGTTGCAGACGACGCATTCCTCTCCCACTCAACTATACTATGTAACACAATATGTCAGAAATGAGTGACATGAACCCGTATACAGAGTGTACTTGTAAACACAAGTACCTGTGTGAGAGCTCTCGCCCCCTGCAGGAGAGGGCTCATCTTGGAGAAACAGGTCGCGGTCCGAGCCAGAGAAGCCATTGGAACGGATACAGGTCACTTGGTACACAAGGCGGGTCGCACATTTTGGATACAAGACACTCCGTACATTGACAACATCGTACACTAATATTTTTACCACTTCGGACACCAGGGGATTCACGAAGCATTTACGCAAGCACTTACGAACGTGTACATCTTTCCTCAATCTTTGACGGCTTTGTTTACATTTATTAAACAGTTTACAAGTATGAAAACTTGCCAATCAACTGGTGTTAATGTTATAAACAACCTCCTGGTGCTTCCGAGCTTATTAACTGTTTAATAATTGTAAACAAAGCCGCCAAAGATTGAGGAAAGATGTACAGGTTCGTAAGTGCTTGCGTAACTGCTTCGTGAATCTGGCCCTGGCTTTGGACGTTTCGCCTAAGTGTACGTATTCAATATTACAACGACAATATCATGCCATTAACAATTAAAATCTTTTACTTAATAGGCATATAGTTATTAAATGAAGCTTAGTGATGTGATGGACATAATCAGGGCTTGGTAAGGACGCCGCCCGCCAGCGTATACACAACACACCCTGAATGCCCACAAACATGATACAACGCACAAAACAAGACTTTAGCCAGTTTTTGGATAAACTCCTTTTACATTTATTATGTGATAGTTATAATTGTATATAATAATAAGTATTATAGGTAAGCAATATGTAATATTAATCAATAAAAACGAAGTCAGAAGCCATACGCCTGTCAGTACATGTCTTTTGTGTAAAAGTGACTGAAGAAACTGACGCCAGGCCAAAGGGCTGGCGCGAAGATCCGGGCGCGTGATTTACCACTGCGCCACAGAGACTGCTCCGTGGCGTAGTGGAATTTTGAATTTTGAAACCTGACTAACATAGCTCAACCCAACCTAACGTAACCCAAATCAAACCAATCTAATCCAACCGAGCCCAATGCAGCCTAACCTTAATAACATAGCCTAATACAGCCTAGCATAACAATACATCCAGATTGAAAACAGAAAATGAGTTTAGCCGAATCGTCTCGTGTCTGAGTGTAACCAGAACCCGACCAGTGGTGTACCTATACTGACCTAGCAAACAAACACCTGCAGACGAGGAGTCACAATAACGTGGCTGAAATATGTTGACCAAACCACACACTAGAAAGTGAAGGGACGACGACGTTTCGGTCTGCTCTGGACCATTCTCAAGTAGATTGTGAGAATGCACAATTGACTTGAGAATGGTCCAGGACGGACCGAAACGTTGTCGTCCCTTCACTTTCTATAGTGTGTAGTTTGGCCAACAAACACCTCACCTAACCAGACAAACACCCCCCTTACTCTACCAAGCACACTGAGAGCCGTAGGGAGGGTCCACAGACGAGAACGTGGTTGTAAGTATAGGTCCACAGACATGGGTCCCATTGCCCATCATCTGGGTTGGAGGGCAACAGTGCATTGCTTTGCTCGAAGAGTATAATGCTGCTAGCACAGCCCTGCCTTCAATATGCAAACTTTTCAGGATTATTTAATTAGCAAAGATTTACCTGAATTTACCAGTCACTATCTCTCAGTGAGGATAGGAAGCCGACGGCTTGTCAAATGTCCCTATAACGATTCCATTGTTACGTAAAGTATGGTGACAATAAACACAGACACTAAGATACTATATATATATTTGGTCGAATATACAGAAGTACACAGGTGATACTTTGGTGTGAGTTGAGCGCACTGAGAATCGGTACAGTATCTCGCAAGTGTCTGCTCTAGACCACACTTGAAAGTAGACTAGTTAATGTTTGATTGATTGATTGATCAATCCTGGACCAGATTAAGCCACCCAGAAGGTGGCACGGGCATGAATAGCCCGTAAGTGGTGGCCGTTTGAAGCCATTACCAGTATCAAGAGCTGATACTGGAGATCTGTGGAGGTGCGACTGCACCCTGCGTGACGGGAGATGTCTCCCGTCGGGGAGAGAATTTACTGAAGTTAATGTTTGCTATTCTGCTGCTTATATGCTCGGGCAACACCTCACCGTGTTGCCCGGGCAATGCCTCACCTCATTCATCTCCAAAGGTTGACAGGAATATTAACAATGCTTTTGGAGTGAATATATTATTGGGATAATCTACTCGCTACAATCGTATTCCAGTGACCTGCCTGAAACGCTACGCGTACTAGTGGCTCTACAAGAATGTAACAACTCTTGTATATATCTCAAAAAAAAAAAAATAAAAAAAAAAAGACCAAATGTCTGTAATCCGTGAGCAGTCGGACTTCATAATGAAACTACAGTGTTGCTTTGGCCATGCTCAAGAGTAATCAAGATCTGTCTGCCAGAGTCGGCCACCTCGAACAGGAAATAAGCTCTCTTCAGATTTCGGTTATTAACTTTAAACCAGCAGAAACCTCCAGCATCATCGCAATATCGCTAGTGGATTTTTTCTTATGTTGAAGTTGCTCTTGCAGCCGCTCCGTCTCCTGCTGTAACTGCTGCTAGTGTTTCTGCAACCGGCCACGAAGGGCAACCACTGCTTGAACAGTGGAGAGACCCAAGGGCGAGGTGGTAGGGAGGCTGATGTTGCGATCTGTCTTATTTTGATCCAGTTGACTATTGTGTCCAGCTGTGGGTGGTCCACTCACAGTAGGTGACATTATCCCAGAACCAGGACATGGCCACTCTACATCAGGGGAAGGCCCACCACTGGCAGAAGATGCAACACCTTGTTCTTGTTGGGGAGCTGGGATGATGGCACGAGTCTTCGGTCTGGTACTGGTCCTCTTGCGCACTTCGTAATTTAAAGGACTTCAATTGTGACACTATAGCTCTCCACATATGTCAGTTGCTTAATTTAGAAACTGTACTTGCAGTCGATCTCGAACCCATTTATGATGTGACGACTTACACTGAATTTTGTAACTAGCTCATCAAGATTGTAACTTACTTAGCTAAATGAGTTGTGGGGTTCAGTCCCTGAGCCCTTTATATGCCTCTGTAACCCTTTCCACTACCGCACACAAGATGGGTATTAAGATGGGGGGGGGATTAAAATTTGAAAGGGTGTAATCTCCCACGGTGCAAGAAAGTGCCGTTGTTGTTTCTCTTGGTACAAATTATAAACCTGATACATTTTGAGATCATTCCCAGTTTTAGTTATCTATCTGGAACAATGCTGACCCTCAACAAAGAAATTCTGGAGGGCTTTTGTGCAAGGGTTAGGATGAGTTAGCCTAAGCATTTTTAAACCAATTTGACAGTTAATTTCAGTAACACGATCAACAACGCTTGCAATATTAAGTTCCTTTCTAATGTTAAGTATCTTTGTGGTACGAGGGCACCCAAGAATTATCCTATTTGAATTTCAGGCATCAAATGTTGCAGAGGTGCAGCATAATCCACTAAAGCTCTGATGTATGCAAGGTACGTCATTTTGACAATTCTGACATTGGCTCCATAGCCTGAGTGATAACCTGCAACAGCCTTGAGAGTTGTTGTTGTTGTTGTTGTTTTAGATTCAGCTACTCAGAACAAAAGTTCCAAGTAGCACGGGCTATTGTGAGCCCGTAGTGGACTTACCTGGCACAGGAGCCAGGCTGTGTATGGCCTTGAGAGTTCAGAGCCTCTCTTTATACTGACGACAGAGTTTGAATACAACAGGGCCATACAGTGGCACCTCAAGGCCAAGGTATTTGAATCTGTTTGCATAGTCAACCTGGGAGCTATCAGACAGTTGCATCTTGCGAACAGCTCCTCCCTGCCTGGGTGGGCGCCGATTTAGTATCTTTGATTTCTCTGCTGAGATAACTAAACCTAGGCCCTGACATGAGTCTAATACAGAGTTAAGAGTGTTCTGCGTGTTAGCATACCCAGCGCCGTGGCTGAGGCCATGGTCTAAAACATACATATCAGTCCTGTATAGCTCCAGGGAGCCGGAGGGGCTCTCCACAGAAAAGAAGAAGAAGAAAAGGAATAAAAAGAAGAGCAAGAAGAATAAAAAGAAGAAGTAAGTAATTATCAAAAGAAGACACCAAACTGGGAAGGCTATGTAGCACCAAATGTGCGGAATAATCAGAGGGCACTGAATATCACAAAGGATGCCAATACGAGAACAGAAACGCATAAGGCAAACGATATCAAAAGTATCCGATTCACCAAGAATTCTATCGAGGGACAAGAGACCACAAGAGGGTCTGAAAACAAGACACGCTCGTCCCGAAAGTCAGGACATTCAACAAGGATATGCATGACTGTAAGAGGAACAATGCTATTTGGACAATAAGGAGCAGGGCGGCACTCCATTAAGTTTGGGCTGCAGTCTCATTTTTAACCATGCATTGGTTTGTTTTGATTTGCCCATCTTTCTGGGTGCCTTTCCTAGGCGATGGCATAAATGATAATCTTAAGTGCAAAGTGATCATAGGTCATCACTTCCCGTGCCCCTCTGAGGGGACTGGGTTCTGGCTTTTGGTCTCCATTAGGCATATAGAACTCCGCGACTGATGGCACTGATCAGCGTATGATAGCTTCAGAGAGCCGACAGGGCTTCCAACATAAAAAAATATATGATACTGTATACTGGACAAAAGAAATGAGAAAAATATGAGAAAAACTGTTATAAATCACAAACACAGGTCACAAGTTACATGTATTTTGATTACATTAATAATGAAATCTGTACAACTGTCACAAATATACAAAAACAGGTTTCCCGGCAACAATTTCAAAACAATATACAGAACTGGAGATATTGTCTATCATGGTTTTTCTCAAGGTATCACATTTACAATGGAGTAATGTTTCCCAGTATGATGGCTATCCACAGGAAACATATAACTGCCTGAAGCAATGACAATGTACATACTTTTGAAAACATAATATACTAAAAAAAAAAAACAGGATGGACATGAATAATATTCGTGTGCCATCTATGAAAATGGTGGGAGGGGGCTAGGAAAATTATGAAAGACATGAAAAGATATTGAAAGAACCTTATCAGGTGCAATACAAGTGAGACAGAATGAACCAATTTTTATGTTTAGACTTCAGACACGTGTGAAGAAAAAATATTGTCAAACAAATATTTGACAGTTAGACAGTTCTATGGATAGTCCTCAGCTGTAAAATGTGTACATGTAACAGTTATCCTTCTGAAAAAGATACAATAGGTAAACAACTGATTATGCAGGAGAAATACAAGTCAAATGAGTAGCTAATTAAGAATTTAGGACTAAATTACTAAAGTTAATTTGAGAAAGATATATATTGTGCTGTCACGTCTAATGTACTAATGGTAAGATGATGCAAGTACAGATTCATTTTTTGAACACATTTTAATGAACAATAACATTTCATAAAGTCACACTATGTTAATGCAGTAGTACAATGATAATACACATGTACAACGTATTCCAAAATTATTTTTGGTTATCAAAACTAAACTGTGTGAACACAATAATATGAAAGACAATTTAATTTATTTTATGAACCCAAAGAACACATTTTCATTTTAAATACAATCATTAATTAAAATATTTTTCAGCAATGAAATACAGGTACAGTACTAACATTTCACTTGAGATCAGCTTCAGGAGTCATAACATCTCTGACAGTTTTAAGAAAGTCAGTACTAGATTCACCGTGTTCTACTTCTTCAAGGTATTCTTTCCGACTTTCTTCTTGGCTAATATTAAGAGTTTTATTATGTCGTCGTCTTATATTTTTAGCACTGCCAGTATCAGGAAATGCATTACTGTCATTTAAACTTGAATTTACAGACTCTTCCAAGATGCTTTTTACTTGACTGAAGAACTCTTCAGATTTCTGTGTGTTATTGTCAAATTCAACAGATTCATTTGATGAATTCATCTGGGAAATATCTGTACACTCTTGGTTTGCATGACTTTCTAGTGAGCTGGCAGTGTTTGTTTTTTTCCTTACACTAACATTGCTGGAGAACTGTTGTTCCTCGTTCCTATCAGCTGGTCTGTCAAGACTAACATTATGCCTAGCTTCATAAGGATCTGGGTTGGTCCTGCTATCCATTTCATTCCTAGATGGCAAAACTTTCTTCCTGCGAGTGCCTGTCATTCGGTAGTGGACAGCATCAGTAGAAACTCCCATAGCTCTTGATTGTTGGTTTTGGTTTCTTGTTATCTCTTCCAAACATACCTCATCTTCCATATTGTCCTTATGTGTAATACTTTTTCCCACTGGAGTTGAAGTCATGGTAAAAATGTTTGAATTGTGTTCAGGTGTTTCATGATTTCCAGCAAGAGGTTGTGCTGAATCTATATCAGTAATGGCTTTCTGTTGTATGATGCTAGCCAACTTGTGGGAAATAAGGCGCTCTAGCTCACTTTCCATTATGGTAGATGATGTTAATATTAATGGCCGAACATCAATCTGAAATAATTAGAGGAAAATTATATGAAAAACAAAATACAGTAGTGCACAATCTAATGGGTCAGTCAAACACGTTTGATATATAAAAAGTATAAAATAAATTAATGTACAACAAAAACTTGAAGTGCTACTTAGAACTGCCTAATCAAGTTCTAAGATTATGCATATTCAGTACGATGTAGAAAAACCTCGATGAAAACTATTTTAAGTTGATCAAAATCAATATGAAATATTTTCTGCACAGAATCACTCGGTTACTCTGAAAGATCAGATTCACATAACAGTCAGTCATGTAAGATGACATTCTAGACAATGGCACCCCCATGGATCATTTTAAATGTCCCTGCATCCTGCAGGGACCTTTAAAATGTTACAGGAAAGTTATTAAGGATACTAGGAAGGCAAATTAGATACTGGGATCATATCTAGAAGTGTTAGTAGTAAGACATCCAATGTTATTCTTCAGCTTTACCGTACTCTAGTTAGGGCCCATTCACATCATGCAGTTTAGTTGGGCACCATACTAGACAATGAATAATTATAAATTTACTGGAACATGAATGGAGAAGGATAAAGAAGTTTATTCCATAAATTAGAAACATCTAACATGAAAGAAGATTAAGGCTTTGTCAATTTAAATTTGTTAAAAAAGTGAAAGGTAAGACTGACATGACTGAAGTATACAAATGAATGAAGGTCAGCAACATGAACAACTTGGTGGAGGTCAGTGAGAACGCCAGGTAAGCAACAAGCAGTTAGAGCCATCATTTAGTGGTTACTTGTGATGCCAAATGAAGGCTTGGTAAGGCAGCCAGTCTATGAATATCTTTGGTAGTTATTCACGGCCTGACTGAGCTTGTCTTGAATGTCTGCTTAGTATCTTTAATAACTCTACAGGGAGGTTTGAAAAGATTCCAAAGAAAGTTGTCATGCCTAACTACAGTAAATGTGATCTATGACCCAGCAGACACTTAGTTAATGGAGGATGCATCCAAGTACATATTGGATGGTCCTGATGATTCTATATAGCCTAGAAAATATATATCCTAAAATTTACATTACTAAATTTTATATAATGTATTACAAATAAATACTAAACCATTTAAAACTTATGTTAGATAATGAATCCAAAATTTTATTTATACAAAATATTATCTAATAAAAAAGCAAAACAAATTAATGGAAATTAAGTTGTTGAAGAAGATGATCTGTTTGAGAGAGGTGGTTACCTTGAGGTTACCTTGAGGTGCTTCCGGGGCTTAGTGTCCCCGCGGCCCGGTCGTCGACCAGGCCTCAAGGTGGGATCCACCACCCACCTCATTTCTGATGTTATTTAAAGTTCATCACATTAATAATCTCTATTTCTATATTTTACTTTATTAGACATCTCTTACAGTTTTCACTACTTTTTCTATCCTTCAAACTTTCAGGGCTAGTGCAATACCTGTATCTGAAGAATGCATTTGTGTAACAACTTGAAACTTTCAAGTCTTATTTGATAAGACTTGAAAGACTAGGACAATAAGGCTTTTCAAGTGTTATTGCCTTACTGGTAATGCACTATAAAGTAATCTTGGTTACAAATCATACCCTAAAATGTTTTGTAATATAAATATATGCAATTATGTGGATTTTGAAAGAACAGTTCCAGATATTTGGTTTACAATGTACCTAGAATGTGTATTGTGTCTTAAGTTGGAAATTATTCATAAAACTGCAGTGGCATAAGGCATTCTCATTTTTCCAATAGTTTATCTTATGAGCTTTTCTTTAGGAATTGGTTCAAAATTGTTAAGGATTTAGTGTTGTATAATGATATATATATTTACATTAATACCTTCTCCAGACTGAGTTTTTAAATGTTATGGTCCTGCCAGTGGGAGTGGGAACTGGGAGCCGGTGGCTGAGCGGACAGAACACTGGACGCGTGATCCTGTGGTCCCGGGTTCGATCCCGGGCGCGGGCGAGAAACGATGGGCAGAGTTTCTTTCACCCCGATGCCCCTGTTACCTAGCAGTAAATAGGTACCTGGGAGTTAGTCAGCTGTCACTGGCTGCTTCCTGGGGGTGGAGGCCTGGTCGAGGACCGGACCGCGGGGACACTAAAGCCCCGAAATCATCTCAAGATAATCTCAAGATAACCTACTGTATATACAAACCTTAATTCTTGGACATGCATGTAAACACATTTATCTTGAAGGTCTTCCTATCTTTTAATTCTTCTAACATAAGAAAGTATCCGTACACTTTATGACTGGTCGACAAGTGGAATGTACTGAAAGAATGTTGACCAGACCACACACTAGAAGGTGAAGGGACGACGACGTTTCGGTCCGTCCTGGACCATCTAGTGTGTGGTCTGGTCAACATACTTAAGCCACGTTATTGTGACTCATCGCCTGCATACTGAAAGAATATGTTGTGGAAGCCACCTTCAACCACATTTTCAAGAGAAAATACAGCAGAGAACTTGAACTTTCAAGATATTTAAAAAATATTAGGAGGCATGACAAAGCCAGATCTCACTCCCTGCAGTCACCGATACATAAATTCTATCACTGCCAGTGGGGGGGGGGGGAAGGTCCATAAACACACTTAAAGAACATTGTTATAATCAATGGTCCAAAAGTATTCAAGCAAATGTAAGAAATACTCTTGGAACAAAGGGTGAAGTGTTAATGAGGAAAGTTGACAAGTTCCTACAGGAACTATCAGACCAGCCAAGTTGTGATGACTATGCAAGCCTGCAGGTGGCAAGTACAGAGAGCCCCACTGACTAAGCAAGCACCATGGAAGCCTGGCTTTAAAGTTGGGCTGTTAGAGTACAAAATCTCTCAAGACTAATCAAAGCTACAGAACAGAACTTGGTTATCAAAGGATGAGAAAAATGGTAGGAAGCTAGGCATAGAGTTAGAACCTACTTTCCAGTAGTTGCTGGCAAGTAAACATTGCTAGAAAAGCCACCATTCCCTTTATTACCCCTACCATTACCTTCACCTTTGCTGCTACCACCATTACCATCACCGTTACTGCTACCACCAATACCTTCACCTTTCCTGCTACCACCAAAACCTTCACCTTAACTGCTACCACCATTACCTTCACACCTTTGCTTATATCTGCTTGATACCTGTTTGATGGGCTTCTGGGAGTTCTTCTACTCCCCAAGCCCAGCCCGAGGCCAGGCTTGACTTGATACCTGGTTGATACCTGGTTGATGGGGTTCTGGGAGTTCTTCTACTCCCCAAGCCCGGCCCGAGGCCAGGCTCGACTTGTGAGAGTTTGGTCCACCAGGCTGTTGCTTGGAGCGGCCCGCAGGGCCACGTACCCACCACAGCCCGGCTGATCCGGAACTTCTCTTAGAAAATCGTCCAGTTTTCTCTTGAAGATGTCCACGGTTGTTCCGGCAATATTTCTTATGCTCGCTGGGAGGACGTTGAACAACCGCGGACCCCTGATGTTTATACAGTGCTCTCTGATTGTGCCTATGGCACCTCTGCTCTTCACAGGTTCAATCTTGCATTTTCTTCCATATCGTTCACTCCAGTACGTTGTTATTTTACTGTGTAGATTTGGGACCTGACCCTCCAGTATTTTCCATGTGTATATTATTTGGTATCTCTCTCGTCTCCTTTCTAGAGAGTACATTTGGAGAGTTTTGAGACGATCCCAATAATTTAGGTGTTTTATCGCGTCTATGCGAGCCGTATATGTTCTCTGTATTCCCTCTATTTCAGCAATCTCTCCTGCTCTGAAGGGGGAAGTGAGTACTGAGCAGTACTCGAGACGGGACAACACAAGTGACTTGAAGAGTACAACCATTGTGATGGGATCCCTGGATTTGAAAGTTCTCGTAATCCATCCGATCATTTTTCTGGCTGACGCGATATTTGCTTGGTTATGCTCCCTAAACGTTAGATCGTCGGACATCATTATTCCTAAATCCTTTACATGCTGTTTTTCTACTTTCTACTTGTGAGAGCTTGGTCCAACAGGCTGTTGGACTTTGCATTGATTCCGAGGATTAATGGCCCTGCGATCCAGTCCCTAACTGGGCTGTTAGATGCAGCTGACGAATGAATCAAAGCCTGGTTGATCAGGTATCATTTGGAGGTGTTTATCAAGTTCTCTTTTGAACACTGAGAAGTCGGCCAGTTATCCTCATACAGTATGTGCAAAGGAAGTGTGATGTGAAATTTTAGGCCTTTGATGTTGATAGAATTCTCTTTAGTGTCCCTACTGAACCTCTGCTTTTCAATGGGGCTATTTTGCAATTCCTACCATGCCTCCTGGTCTCATTTATTTCCATGTGCAGGTTTGGAAAAAGTCCCTTAAATATTTTCCAAGTTTAAAATAGTCTCTCTTCTGCCTGCACTCTAAGGACTACAGATTTTAAAATTATAAGCAGTTTCAATAACTGGGTTTATCAACTTTTAATTTAAATCACTGAGCTTCTGTATTTATTACTGTTATTATTATAATTAGTTATGTTTTGAGATTTATGTACAGCACAATCTCTTAAAAGTATAATTTCAGTGAAGATGTTTCTGAACTAAGTAAACCAATAATGAAAGATACATGTCTACAATTATTATTGAAATACTTCTAAGCAAGTTTATGAGAGTATGAAAATTTACAGTAATTACATGAAAACTATCAGTAGTCATAAAAGCAACTTCATACCCAAGTACTGAAATCTTTCTCAATACAATAAAAGTTTTAACACCACAACTCAGTAACATTTATAATGTTTTTATAGTTTTCAGTAAAGTGAAACATGCAGGATCCCTTTCAAGCACCTAAAACCAGGACTACCAACAATGAATACAGTTTCTGGCTGTATGTTGAAGAGGCATTATACAACAAGATATTGAAGAAGCTAACCTATTATGCAATATCCAAATGTGAATCATGTATCAGTCAATTTATCACATTGTTTAATTTCTATATTACAGTACAACCTCGATTCAACAAATCTCCGGCTAGTTCGCACACTTTTCAGGCCGAATTTACTCACCCGGTTCGATGAACAATGGTTCGCCGAAGCGGGGGATGTTCGGATTTGCTTACGATGTCCAGACAGAGTTCACAGACTGGTGGAAAACTTTCCCATTCTATCACAGATTACAATTAATAATTCTCTCATATGACAAGTTGGATCACACAAGTGGACCACACATGTGGACCACAAGTGGTCCACAAGCTTACGATTTTGGGACAGAGTTCACAGAGTGGTGGAAAACTTTCTCATTCTATCACAGATTACAATTAATAATTCCTTCATAAGACAAGTTGGATCACACAAGTGAACCATATGACCCAAACACCAGCCAGAGTGGTCCACATAAACACCAGCCAGAGTGATCCACACAAGTGAACAACTGAGTTTCCATGATTTTCGTTCACTGATTTGGGGCACATGGATCTTTGTACATTAATTTAAAGGATGAAGCGTGATTACCTAGCTACATGTAAAATCTCCTTATAGATATTTTCTGTGATGAAACAAGATGAGTGAGGGTGGACAGATAAGAGAATACTGTACTGTAAACCTCACTTTACAGTGAGGTTTCACTCACTTTCGTCTGTGTGTCGTCATAGTTCAGTGACCCATGACTTTTGAAAGTTTCATATTAATAAATAATTTCTAAAACCAGTGTTTTAATAGCTTTTTATTATCCTAATTAAACTAAACTAAATAAAACCGAAAATATACTGTAATATGATAGACATCTGCTATTTGAGAAATTACTGTATGTTATTGGAACAACTCTAGCGTGAGTGAGTGGACGGGTCTAATCCCTGTACACACAGCACCATGCGTGTTTCATATCTCCCTCCCTCCCTCTCTCTCTCTCTCCCTCCATACCTCCCTCCCTCTCTCCATTCCTCCCTCCCTCCCTCTCTCTCTCCATCCCTCCCTCGCTCTCTCCATCCCTCCCTCCCTCCCTCGCTCTCCATCCCCCTCCCTCCCTCTCCATCCCCCCTCTCTCCCTCTCCCCCCCCTCTCTCTCTCCATCCCTCCCTCGCTCTCTCCATCTCTCCCTCGCTCTCTCCATCCTTCCCCCCCTCTCTCCAGCCCTCCCTCCCTCCCTCTCTCTCTCTCCAGCCTTCCCTCCCTCCCTCTCTCCCTCTCTCCAGCCCTCTCTCCCTCCCTCTCTCTCTCCATCCCTCTCTCTCTCCATCCCTCCCTCTCTCTCTCCATCCCTCCCTCTCCCTCTCCATCCCCCCCTCCCTCCCTCTCTCTCTCCATCCCTCCCTCCCTCTCTCCATCCATCCCTCCCTCCCTCTCTCCATCCATCCCCTTTCTTCCTCCATCCATCCAGAATTGAAGAAACAAACCAAGTTAAAAAAAAAGTTAACTGGGTCAATGAGATAGGGTTATCAGTGAGTCGGTCCTTTCACCACCACCGACACACCTCCCCCCCACCCATACAGCCTATACACACACACACTCTGCTCAACTCAACCTCCATACCTCCCTCAAATCATCCATCCTTCCATCCCTCCCTCCATCCTTCCATCAATCCATCTCCATCCTCTCCTTCCCTGGCTCCCTCCCAGCCTCTGCCTGCCTGCCTCCCTCCGTGCCTGCCTCCCTGCCTGCCTCTCCCTCCCTTCCTGCCTACCTCCCTCCCAAGCTCTGCCTGCCTGCCTCCCTCCCTACTTTGCCTGCCTGCCTGCCTGCCTGCCTGCCTGCCTGCCTGCCTGCCTCCCTGCCTGCGTGCCCATCCACCCACCAGTCAGCCATCACTAACACAATGAGTGCATTTGGAGCCAACAAGGTGCACGGATGTTCCTTGATTGTGCAGTCATGGAATGAATGCTCCAGCCTCTTGACAAATCGAAATATAGTGTTAAAATTAAAGTTGCAGTAATTTTAGTGTACAATAGTTTTCATAAACTTTATTGTAATACTCAACATACAGCAGAACAACTCAACACAGCGTTAACGGCATAATACACTACAGTATGTATTTACTGTACAGCATTCACAACTCCATGAGACTTCAAGATGTACTTAACTCAAACAATAAGGTAAATAACAAATGTAACACAGTATTTGTTAGTAGAGTAATAATATATAGGTACAGTATATAATATGATAATGCATTTTTATTGTCTACAAGAAAAATAAAGACACTGATGCAAACACCTCCTGAAGGTCACCTCTTGCAACGAATCCAACACTCCAACGAACTGGGGTCGGTCCCATATAGTACGTTGAATCGAGGTTGTACTGTATATATATGGTGCATCATGCTCAAATTTTAGTATTAGTACTACCTGAAATGCTATGCATGTTAGTAGCTTTGCAAGAAGTCTCGCCTTCCCAGTGTTGAATGTAATGAAACTCTATTTTCTGTGTGAGCCCCGGAGGCTCTCTGGAGCTATCGGACTGATATACACTATATTAGTCTGGGGCATCAGTCAATGGGGGGTCTGCCTACTGGGGACCACGAGCCAGAACCTGGCCCCCTCAGAGGTACAGGGAGCAATGGCCTATGGAAACCACCAAACCACCCAAGGGCAGACAATCACCGAGCAGCAAAAGATCCCTACGGAGGTAGTTCCTGAATGACTTGTGGAAGGCAACCCCAAGCCGCAAAGGCAGTAACTGGCCCAAGGCACATGCAGCCCCAGTACTCCATGAATTCTCCTGGCTCGCACACCACCACACAGCAAAGGTACAGCACTGCTTAGAGATAGGAGTTAGAATCAAACGACCGCCATGCAACACATCAGCCTCAGAACATAGGTTGAATGGCCGGTGCGAGGGGTCTGGGGCTCACCCTTCCTCCTTCCGGGGAAGGGGAAGCTGCGCAGACAGTTGCGCGGTGGTGGGTTGTGATGTCATGCTTGTTTGCTTGTTGTGGAGTACTGCTTGATAGTTCGGTTTTCAGTAGCAATTTTAACCAGGCGGAGTTTGTTTTGAGATGCCTACCTTTCTGGGTGCCTAACCCAGTAGATGGCAGACATAGAATGCTTCCAACCACATAGAGGGGTTTCTATAGGCCATTGCTCCTTGTGCCTCTCTGAGGGGGGGGGGGCCTAAAGTTTTGGCTCGTGGTCCCTGGTAGGCTTGAACTCCAATCGAATTGATTGATGCCACTGTCTAATACATATATATATTAGCCTGGTATAGCTCCAGGAAGCTGGGGGCTCTCCACAAAAAATGCACATCTGACCCATTTTATCCAAAGCATACGGGTACTGTGTAACAAAACCACACCTTTTGAGTAAGTGCTAGAAATGGAAGAGCTGTCCTTTGTGAATTCATATCACTTTCGATGCTCAGTGAAGCGATACCTGAAAAATTAAAAACCGGTGTCTATAGTAGCAAATTTTTCCCGTTTCATCCACAATTACATACCGATAACTATTATGATGTCTGTGGTATGTATGGAATCTTTTTAATCCTGAATGATAATAAGACACCACATAACTTGGATGAAGGCAGCAATTTAGTTTCATCAAGCATAAAAACCAAGAAATGACACATTTTGGCACAGTATGTTATGAGATAACTGATTAAAGACGGTACAACATACCCATCCTCTACCACATCATATATCACAACAAATAACTTAATGGTATGATCCTTAAATATATCTCCTCCATCACGTACATATATTTTCTTAATGTTTCCATCACGGAGCTACAATGTTCCGAAACAATATGGTATAATTTTGGTAAATTTACCAGAAACAAAAATTTGTCCATAACATAAATGACCCAGGTCATCACAAGCACTAATTCTGCTGTACTGAGAAGTGAAATTGTATATGTGGAAAGAGGCACACGGAAGAACATTATTTGCTAATGAAAAAGCTTACAGAAAAGTACAGTAGATAAGACACGATGGTACATGTACTGAAGTGATGGAAAGAAATGTAACACTGGATCCATATGGCAGAATTTTATGAAGAGTAAATCAAATTACATTTTGGACATCAATGATTTTTCAGAGTTGAAACATGGTTTTTGGTAGGAATGTTACAAACACCATTGCAATTATTTAAGAACATGAGAACATAAGAATTAAGGAAACTATAGGGCCTTGGCAGGGCCATGGCAACTCCTACCTATATCTACCCAAACTCATTCATATACGGTATATGACTAACCTATGTTGGAAGCAATTAAGTTTAGCTTCACATGCATCAACAATTAAGTGACTAATTTCTAAAAATTATAAAACAATACCTAAGAATATTAGTTTCTATAGCATTCACTATTTACTACCTTTATTATTTATATTTGCTGAACTCAACTACTTTAGCTCACCTGATTTTGTGTGGCTACAGCTGCTCTTGTGATGTCTGTTAACATGGAGCGAGATTCTTCCAGGAAAATTTGTCGATCATGTTTCAGCTGTGCAATAGCCTGTAACAAGTTTTAATAATTATAGAATTATTTATTTTATATAATTTAATTTGCTCTAAACCCATGTGATACAGTTCTATTGCAAAAAATTACTACAGATAAATGGTTATTTACTGAATAAAATAAAATCATGTATTCAGTGAGATAGGTATGGTACATGCAGGTTTCATGTTGTTCCACTAGTGTAATTATTACCCAAGTGTTAATTATTACCAGTGTTAATTATGTCACTGACACATCAGTGACACATGTGTCACTTATCACATTATGTATCACTGACACATAAGGATTCACATCAGTGTCACTGACATGAATCCCATGTAAAATACTGGAGATGATAGTCACAAAGGGAATAGTGGAGCATCTGAAGAAACAACTTAGTTTTTTAGGAAAATAGGTATGCCTGATTAATATGACTGAGTTATATGACAAGCACATCAAGATACCACAGGAGAAAAAAGAACTGCATCTTCCTAGACTGCTAAAATGCTTTTTCACAATGTATCTCATAAATGGCCAGTTTTCCCCCCAGAAAATTGTGGGAAAACAACAAAAGTAAGATGTGTGAGAAAGGTTAAGAGAGAGAGGTACAGTACAGGTGAGTCTTAAGAAGATAAATACACTACTGTACTTCCTGACAATAAGATCATACCTCTTTTGTTATCTTATCTACTTCCGAGGTATTTGATGATTCACTTCTGTAGACTGGACGTATTCCACCCATCCACAATGGAAAGTCAATGCCATACCCAGATGCATAAAACAATATTATAACAAGCATGACCACAAAAAGTATTGTGGCTGGAACATGATACAGCACTGGAACATTACCTGAAACAAATTATTACTGTAAGCACCCTATGATAATGACACTAGGTGAGAACGTTCCTCTAAAACCATATTTTTAAATGGGAAGATAACATATCACAAGGATTTGTCATCAAAGATGGAGTATTACCAATGTATGTAACCAATGTCATCTTAAAACAAAAAGAAACACTTTGTTTTTACGAATGTGTAAGGCTAAATGTATAATGAATGTATAAGGCTTCTCCTTATAACTAAATTGGAAAATAACATTTAACAGGTTGAGCAAGGCTATCACTGAACTAGAGTGACTCATTACTTTTGGAAGCTGTCATACTAGGTATTCTGGATGTTACATGAAAACCAGCGAGAAAGTTGCACGAGGCTCCTCAGTCCTAGTTAGCCCTGCTAGATACAGAGATTCGACAAATTTATTGGCCCCTCATTAAAATTCTTTTCAATGGCAAGTACCTCTATTCTAGCAAAATCTGGCATCACTACAGACTCATTCTCAGATTATTGTTGTGACATGCAGATACATACTGTATATATACTACAGTAAATGGATACGTTTTTGTTAATTCCCGTTTCATATTAAAATTTTAACCACTATACAAATTCCTTTATGTTGTCAGTATTATTAACCAATAAATTTATTAATCTTGCTTTCAATAAATAACTAATTAAAACTATAATACCATGATGTAACATGAGTATATAACAAATTTATAGATATAAAATGAAATAATACTCGCTGTAGAAGTTTGTTATTGATTTGGCGCTCTCTGATCCTACATGTTGTAAAGGCTGGAGGAAGAATTTTGCAAGCGTCTCTGCAATAACCATGGCTGGGGTTATCTCTTGTGTTGGGTCCACCATTATCTCCTCAAAGTATCTGTAAATCCATCAGAAAGCTATTCAGCAGGATACTAAAGGCGGTAAAATGAAGATGGGATAACTATAATGGAGATTGTCAGTGTACAGTAGAGCAGAGCAAATTATTATATGAATAATATAGCAAATTTAGAATTTTCCACAAAGCTTCCTTTTTACCTCAATTTGTCAAACTATACAAGAACTCATGAACGAGATGCCGTCCAAAAAAGCATCATAACTAGGAACCAGATTTCCCACATGTACAAAGCAATAAATAAGAGGATGCATTCCTGGAACAAAAAACATCAACATGAATTCTATAACACAAATTTTGTGGGGAAATAATATAAAACTGATTTGTTTATTTAGCTTGGATGATAGGAGTTGCTCTGGTGTTTCTCCTTCTTGAAGCACTTGATTACCTCTAGCTTTGTTGTTACAGTAATGGATTGCCTCGTCCTAGGCACTGGTGCATCACACACACACACTTTCTCTTTTCATCAGTCATTATTATTACTGTTACTATATTAGGTTCTTTAGCTTCTTCAGCTTCTGGGGATCATTGCTCTTGGCCTACTTTGAGAATGGACGTATTTGTCTCCACTCCCTCCAACCCAGTATTGGCTTTGCCTGCTAGTCAGAAAGATACTGTGTTGGCACTTGGCAGTGCTGGGCAAATTCTGCTCTCTGGTGGGTTAACTAAAATCCCAGCTGCAACCTTGTGCACTGTTGGAACATCAAGATGACTTCCATTTTCCCTTTAGGAGATGACTTTAGTTTGGCTAGTTTCCTATTTCCAATTTGTCCTTGGGAAACACCACATCTCTTGTTGGGATATTGAGTGACTCCTTGTCCATTGCAATTTTGTTTGAAAAGTGTATTCACTATCCATGGCCCCTGACAGCTGGGTGGACAGCTCATCGGATTCGTAGTCCTGAGGTCCCGGGTTCGATCCCCGGTGGAGGCGGAGACAAATGACATTTTTTTTTTTATTATGAGAAGATCAACCAATTAGACATTTATATTTATGATTTATTTGATTGTTAATTATTTTGTCTTTACCTTTCACAAACGTCTGGTGATCCAAAAACAGTGATTTTAAGCCATTCTATTACACTGTGTGCAGTCCCTTTGTTTCCAGGCTTACATTCTTCTGGGATGTTGTCAAACCCAAACCCTCTTTTCACCATTTGAGCATGGCGACGCGACTCTGCAACCTGTAAATACAAAATATATCTTACAGTGTTTGACTGAGGTTGTGTACTTTGTGTATTTAAACAGCCAAAAAGTCATTATAGTTATTAAAATGAAAATTTAAACACAACATCTACATAATTTAAATTGCTTCTTCTGCAATTATTGACCTTGTTAAGAAAAGGTAAAAGTTTTCAAAAGATCCTAACAAGAGCACTTCACAATTTGAATTAAATAAGGAACATTTTCCTTAGTAACAAACTCAGTTGTTCATTAACACTATCACTCGCTTTGGACACCGATCATGCCCACTTTTTTTCTGAAACATCGTCGTTTTCTCATATTTTGGTGTGTGAATGGTGTCTTCATAAGTTAACTAGTGTGAGTGTGTGTGCACGAACACAAGCATTCATACCTGGAATCAACTTCAGTTTGATTCCGACAGTGTCCAAATATTCAAGAATCTTCCTTTTGTACATGAGAAAATTAATCATACAGAAAGTGATAAATAGCATATCAAAACAAATCATGTCTCACCTTATGCATATGTCTCCACTGCCACAAACAGCAGATGAAAAACACAATAACAGCCATCATACACAAGACTCTTCCCCACTTCAGTTCCTGTTGTATGTCTTGAATAAATAGAAATATTGCCCACAAGGCCAAAACAAGGAATCCAAAGGAGAGAATGTATAACCAAGTCTGCAAAAGAAAAATGAACTTACTGTTGGATTTTAATACTTTAAGTCTGAATAAGGAACATACAATCTGTCAACTATTTCAGGTAAACACAAAGGCAAATATTCAATATACTGTATAAGAACAAAATGTCCTAACAAAGGGGGAGAGTAATTTCTTTGCTCTAATTAACACAAGAAAGGCCCCATAAGGAAATATAACGAGTGGAACAAGTCTAGTAAGTTTTATATAAGCCTTATTATAACATTGTGTATTTCTGCCTTTATGTGTTAAGTTAACTTTCATTTGAATGTCAATGCATTACTAATACTATATGAAGGTGACCATAAAGACATGCCTTACTCTTTAAATTATTACAGAAAACTCAAGAAATTTTTCCGGGCTGACTTAACAGTACTGTACATTGAAACAAAAATAGGTCATCAGCACTGAAGCTTAACACAGGGATCTATATCAATGGATGCAGACCATTAACAAGTAACATACAACAATGCATTTAGAAATTTTAAATGTTATACTGTATCTTAACACTTCAGCTTCGATAATACTTCGCAATAATGTTATCAATCCTTAAATCAATACACGTAGTTCGGCAGAGGACGGTAATGCTGTCCACAATTAAAATAACCAGCGTTGAATGTAATCAAATAACATTATCTGAGTGAGACCCGGAGTTTCCCAGAGCTATATTGGGCTGATGTGTATATATTAGACTGTGGCAGCAGTCAATCGAAGGAGTTCTAAGCCTACCGGGGACCAGAGTCAGAACCTGCCCCCCTCAAGAGAGGCACGAGGAGCAATGGCCTAAAGAGACACCCCGTGTAATTGGAAGCAGTCTTTGATTGCCATCTACCAAGTCAGGCACCCAGAAAGGTAGGAATTCCAAAACAAACTACTGCTGGTCAAAAATTGCAAACAGAAAGCCAATCTAGCAAACAGAACTCCTCAATTAAAAACAAGGAAACAAACACGATGTCACCACAACCGCCCGAGCCCTGGCATGACCCTTCTAGGAGCCCCCCCCCAGACCGGAGGACACGACCAGAAACGTCCACAAATTGTGGGACGAAGCATGGGAAAACAGAGCCAACTGCTCCCCAATCGCCCTGTCAACAGTGCCCTGAAAAAATGCTGACACGACCCCCCAAGAAACCGACCTTCGAGTTACCATCCAGGGCAGTGGAGCTAACAAGCAGGAGGGAGAGGGGGGGGGGGGTTAGCTAATGAATTGGGGGGTGGGGGGGGGGGGGAATAGTTAGTTGGACAAAGTTTTACTTGTCTGTTTTCTTTGTGGGAGAGTTCTTTTGATATTTTGAGGGTGTAGGTCACACTTTGCAACCAGGCAGTAGTCGGTTTTGATTTGCCTATTTCTCTAGGTGCTTTCCTGGTCAATGGCAAGATGACAAAATTTACATGTAAAGTGTTCATTGGCCATTGCTCCCTGTGCCTCTCCGAGAGGGCCAGGTTCTGGCTCATGGTTCCTGGTAGGTATCCAAGAATTCTGCGACTGGTAACTCCAAGTAGGGTGGCACTTAATCAGTAAGCTATCTTCAGGGAGCTGATGGGACTCCCCACAGAAAAGGATTAATTCTTAACATTACTGCATAATAAATCAACATATAAATATTATACCATACCTCAACATTTTTTCCTACTTCAACAACTGATATTGTCGTTGCTATAAATGACTGAATGAAATTAAATGCATCTTCCACCGGAGGTTCCTCTAATTTGAAAGCATGTTGAAAAAATTCATCAACCTGAAAATATAAGTTCTTAAATAATCACACAATACTGAACAAGCTAAGACATTACAAAAGTATATCTTATTTATCAAACTGTTAAATAATTGTATTGCTTATATTCATTACCAATTGATCAACACTTCAACTAACAATAGCAACTTATACTACACACACAACTACATAAAAAAAAAATCCCTGGTGAATTTCATGATAAGATCTCACACGATACTACTCTAAACTTACTACAGTTTTCTATACACAAACTGCCTATATCATAATTATTATACACACACACACAAAATGCAGTGTCATATGACCTGGATCATGCACAGTCAAGCAAAACAACATACTGACATCAGTGACACACGGAACTTCTCAAACTGTCTCTACAAGGTCATTAAAAGCACTAAGGAATTTGGATAAAAATGAATTCAGCCCAAAATGACTGCTAGAGGTACAATTATAAATTAATAAACCAACGATGAAATGATGTGGCAGTGGCTACAACTGCTCAGTCTCTCTCCTTAAATTCTTGTCAACACTAAGATATTGGTACGTACCTTATGCACATTAGTTTGGTGTTGAAGGTATTGTTGCAGACCATCTACATCATCTTTGGTTACTCGTACCATCAAATGTCTGATCATAGCAGCGTTCCCATCCTTCAGGATATGTTCTACCTCCTAGAGTAGGAAGCATATCTATCACATCATTAACATATCTATTAACATTTAAATACATACTTAAAGTGGATAATATGTAATAAGAAAGTTGTAAGGAGCCTCACAAAAAAATTACAAGAAGTCATTACAATTGAAGAGAACTTGTTGGAATTCAATAAAATGACATACCTGGTTAACCTGGTTGATACCTGGTTGATGGGGTTCTGGGAGTTCTTCTACTCCCCAAGCCCGGCCAGAGGCCAGGCTTGACTTGTGAGAGTTTGGTCCACTAGGCTGTTGCTTGGAGCGGCCCGCAAGCCCACATACCCACCACAGCCCGGTTGGCCCGGCACTCCTTGGAGGAATAAATCTAGTTTCCTCTTGAAGATGTCCACGGTTGTTCCGGCAATATTTCTTATGCTTGCTGGGAGGATGTTGAACAACCGCGGACATCTGATATTTATACAGTGTTCTCTGATTGTGCCTATGGCACCCCTGCTCTTCACTGGTTCTATTTTGCATTTTCTTCCATATCGTTCACTCCATACGTAATTATTTTACTGTGTAAATTAGGGACCTGGCCCTCCAGTATTTTCCACGTGTATATTATCTGACCTCTCTCTCGTCTCCTTTCTAGTGAATACATTTGGAGAGTTTCGAGACGATCTCAATAATTTAGGTGCTTTATCGTCAATCACCTGTTTATCGAAAACAGCATGTCAAGGATTTGGGAATAATGATGTCAGACGACCTAACATTTAGGGAGCATAGCGGAGCGGCAGTAGTGTGTTACGTTTGCTTGTTTCCTTGGGATTGTCGGGAGTTCTACCTCTCTGTTCGGTTTTTGTTGTTAGTGTCTTACCATGTGGGGTTTTTGTTATGGCTACCTTTCTGGGTGCCTAACCCTGGCTGATGGCAGATAAGGAAAACCCCAACCTCAGGGGGGTTTTCCAGGGCCATTGCTCCCTGAAACCTCTCTGAAGGGGGGGGGGGCCCAAGTTTTGGCTCATGGTCCCTGGTAGGTCTGAACTCCATAGCTAATATCCCGGTATAATACAACACACATTAGACTGATAAGCTCCAGGAAGCCTCTGGGGCTCATCCAGAAAATGGCGTTTCATTACATTCAACACTATTTTTTTAACCAAAACAACAAAATATGAAAGTAAACTGAACGGTTAAAAGGATCCAGATATAACGAAGTATTCATTCAATGCAAGAGACTTAAATAGACTGCCACAAGTATCATGACATTAGTAACTATGCTATGCCATACCTCAAGGTGAAGTGTATTCCATAAGTGGTGTATCAGTCGGGTGTAGAAGGCGCTCATGTCTATGAATCCTTCGTTCATCAACTTTTTCTGAAGAACTGCTGATTTTTGTTGTTCAGCCTAGGAATAAAGTAACAATAAATATCTCCTTGTTTATTCTTTTACTTTCTCTCAAAGTACCAAAACTAAAATTGTCTCATCACATAATGAAATCACAATAATGAGGTATATCTGTGAGAAAACCTTAGGAACAAAACAGTACTCACCCACCTATTTGTGCTTGCGGGGGTTGAGCTTTGGCTCTTTGGTCCCGCAGTGGGATCGAACCAGCGTCCTGGGTCTGGGGGTGACTCAGGACGTTGGTTCAATCCTGCCATGCTGCGTCAAAGATTTTCTTATAGTTTAATCATGCTCACTCTTTATCGACACACAAAAAGTTCTTGCATCTGAATAAAATGTAGTTCCAATGTACTGCATAGTACCTTGCTTCTTGTATATTAAATTACCGTTTTATATTTTACATAATTACTTTGTATTTCTCAGTTAATTTATTTGACACTTCTTTTAACAAAGCTTTTATTTTGTAACTAGATGAATCGCATCACTTTCATCTGAATAGCCTGTGACTGACTGCTTCATTTACTTCTTCCTCAATGTGATACTGAATACACTAGTATAATGATAATTTGTCTAAATAACAAAGAGAAGGAGCACAAGCACATGAATAGACTGAGGCACCCATTTAACTCTTATTATATATAAATTAAAGCCATCTAAAAATGTTTTGGTAAAACAGACAAGAGAAAATCCAATCAGCTTGAGTGCTATCCACCAGTTATCATCCCTGTCTATGATAGTGGACATGCCATTTCTTTATCTGGATATTTTGGATTGCCACATTATGTCAAACACTATTGCCTATTATAGGTCAGCATTGTTGGACTTGCTGCTGCTAAGCCATCGTTTGACGACTTCTCTCTCGGCTTGATTCCACAAGATGGGTCATGGTTACCCTTCAGCCTCTCCATGCTTCATTAAAACCTTACTGGTCCTTAGACCTTGTTTTAGACTGTTTTAGTGTGTGTAGTTTCAATCTTCTTCATATTTTCATATTTTTACAGAAATGGAGTTGCCTGCCTTTGCGGTCCCATTCTCCGTGGCTTGGTTTGTTTAGTCAAGGAATTAAAAATGTTCTTTGCCCATTTCCAGCTTTGCAAAGATAATCTTGGTGTGTCTCACTCTCTTGCACTATTTCTCAATCCTCAAAGATTGGCTCCTTGTACCATGGCTCATCTTTCCCATCTGCGTCACAAGTTGGTGAAGCTTAGCCAGCCCCATACTTGTCCTCATACCCCAACTGCAAGAATTATGATGCTACGCTAACTACCTTCTTTTCTATCATGTCATGCTCCGAGATTACAGTCTAAGTATTGGAGGCAGAGCCATACCATGATCACAACATTTTCAGCAATCCAGACGGTGGTGTGTTCCACAGAAAGTGTGTTGTCCTGGCCCACATCTATACCTGATTTTTGATTGACAGTCTTCTGCATTGGGAGGTTCATTTCTCCACTCCACGTCCATCTTCTATTCCATCTTTCTGGTTAAGTTCCATATCTATTTTGCTTTTCTCATTAGATTTGTATTTCCTCCTTTAGACTTGGCTCGATGGAACAGCTGAAGGGGCTTTTATTTAGAAATGGGACATTGAGAAAAATGAAACACTCCTTCCCGAGCCAGTCCCTTGGTAGCTTTTCCCCTCCCTTTCTGGCCCATCTGGGCAACAAGTGAGGTTGTTGGCTCTTCCAACCCAGTTGCAGTGGCAGTGTTGATGGTGGGCTGGGTGGTGGCTCATTGTCTAGCTGGTAAGTAGTATACAAATGAACATGTACATAAAGGTTCTTAAGAGATGGTAGGATGAAGTGAAAATTGATAATACTATATTACAGTTATGAAGTGATAATACTATATTACAGTAATAATGAATAGTAATAATACTATATTACAATTATGTTTATATAATAAACATTATAAACATACCTGAATATCATGTTCCAGTTTAGATACCAGCCCCTGGCAAGTATTAAGTTGTTCTTGTGCACGCATTAACTGATCATCTGAATTCCAACTTTCTGAAACAATGGTATGTATGGAGGCTAAATGTAACAATCTTTCCAACTGAGTAAAAAGTCAGCATGACCAACATCACATCAAATACTGTAAATGAAATAACACTCACTGTGTGGATATCATGCTTTTCCTCTTATTTTAGCCTTAATAAAAACCTATTCAGGAATATTTCAATCTAACAATATCCCAAGGCATAGATAATATAACCCCCAACACATTTACATATTCTTGGTGGGACTGTATCAGCTGATGAAATCATAGAACTTTGATTCATGTACATATGGAAGAGAATTTTGCATTAAAAAGATTTGATATAGTACTTCCCATACGTAGAACGTTGGGAAGTGATATCCACCCCGATCACAAGCTAGAGTGGCTCTTCCAGCACTGCACGATAAAAAGCGATAGTATTCGGTATAAGACGCTTGTCCTAAAAGAGCCAAGAAAGAAAGGACAACACAACCTGAACAGACACCGACAAAATCCTATGAAGTGATAGGAAATAGCGCAAAGACCACCAAGAGACATCATACTGTTGCATGTGCATGTCTATAGGCCATTGCTCCTCGTGCCTCTCTGAGGGGCCAGGTTCTGGCCGTGGTCCCCGGTAGGCCTAAAACTCTACCCACATCAACTGATGCCAAAAGTTAGGGCTATCCCTATCAGCCTGGATAGCTCCAGGAAGCCGTAGGGGCTCCCCCCAGAAAAGCAGAAAAACAATGAAATTCTTTACAAAGAATTCAAGCACAATCATCACTTACGAGAGGCACTGGTAAACTGAAGCGCGGGCGACCTTGCCACGAGGAACCATGCGCTTGGTCGACTCATATGTGTATCAACAAACTCGTAACTCGAGGCAAAGCTTGTAAACCGATTCAAATTTTATGACAAAATTGGGCTCATAACTTTAAAAATTCGTAAAGAGGGACATTCGGAAGCCGAGGTGTCACTTTTTATTTTTTTTTATCAAGGCCATGGAAGGAAAGTTAGTGAATCAGGAATTTTATTTCAAGATGGAGGATGGTTACAGGAGGCCCAAGGAAGCAAATGTGAGCCATTTATGCATGGGAGTTTTGAATCTTATGATATATTAAAATCATCAGCTGTTGGCTGGCGCACCACCACACCCGATAAAATGTTGGCTAGCACAGTTCTGTGGTTAAATCAACTATTCCACTAAATATAAAGGTGACTATATGAATAAAGTCTCTACTTTTGCTAAGCTGCATCCATACCCAAAGTCATTAATTAATTATTGGTAAATTCAATTTAAAAAGCAAGTGCAAAGTATTGTAGGCCACAGTATTTTATACTGTATATATAGAGTAGTGAAAATCATAAGTTATATCTTAGATTTTATACAATGCAGGCTTGCATGTATAAATCCCCAGTATGAAATGGGGTGGTACAGGTAGCAAAATAAACAAGTTAATCACCTGTATCTTTAACATCTTTGCGTGTCCGGCGTTCTGAACCAAACACTCCTCCATCTTTGATGTCTATGCTGGGATCTCTTTTTTGGCCAGGATAGGCTAGCATATCATGTGGGTCAACGTTATCTGCTGGTTCTTCATACAGACGATCAAGGTTATAATTTATAAGATCATCATCCAAATCTTCAGCATTATTACAAGCTACCACATGTATTAGACATAGAAGGCCCAAATACCACAGATGTCGCTGCATTTTAACCTGTAAGGAGAAATAGAACTTTACATATTTTATAGAAAAGATCTTGATATGGCATCGAGAAATTTACAGTAAATTCATTTGCAATGACAAGTACAGTATTTGCTGTTTGTTGTAAATAAAGTTCCATATATATTCAAAGCCTGAAAAACTATGTTCATTTAGAAGACTGCCTGGGATAACCCAGGATGCTGGTTCAGTTTCTCTGCCCTGCATAGATATACAGTATTACGTTACTGTGAATTCATTGCATACAATGTATATAACTAACTCAATTTTTATAAATATGTTCTGACATTTTCATAAAATTATATTGTACTATATCTGCAGATACACGATCCTATTTAATAAGGTATATACAGTATGCCCTTAATAAAATATAATCAGCTTTACAAAAAACCAGCATTGAATATAATGAAACGCCATTTTCTGGGTGAGTCTCGGAGGCTTCCCGGAGCCTACTGGGCTGATGTGTATGTATTAGATCATGGCACCAGTCAATTTGATTGGATTTCTAAGCCTACCAGGGACCATGACTCAGAACCTGGCCCCCCTCAGAGAGGCATGAAGGGCAATGGCCTATAGAAACCCCCATGTGGTTGGAAGCATTTCATGTCTGCCATCGACCAGGCTAGGCACCCAGAAAGGTAGGCGTCCCAAAACAAACACCACCTGGTTAAAATTTGCTACCGAAAGCCGAACTATCAAGTAGAACTCCCAATCTGAAAACGAGCTAACAAGCATGACATCACAATCACCGCCGCTCTGCCCTCCTCAGGAGGGGGAAGAAGGAGCCCCAAACTTCTGTGCCGGCCATCCAACCCCATTTCTGAGATTGAACGTGAAAAATGCAAACACTGCTGACTGGAGGGAGGGAGAGTTGCCATGCACGGGCCGCATCATAAAGATCAGACGCAAAGATTACAAGAGAAGATCAAACCAGCCACGTACCAGACCAGTCCAATCTGCTGGAAGAGGCAAAGCCGCGGGAAGACCCCCAGGTTTGGACACTGAGCAAGCAGCGCCAGAAACCAAGGATGGGCCGACAACCAAAGAGCCAACAGGACAACTCTTCTCTGGTCTCCAACCGAGCCAGAGCCTGAAGCAACAGCGCAGGGAGAGCGCATGCACGGGCCGCACTGAGTTTAACATGTGTGAGAAAGCTGCATGAACGCACAAGCCATAGATCACTAAGAACTCTTTGACCCGGCCAGGATTCGAACCCAATAAGCACCACGTCTAACCAATCCTTATAGACGATCATTGGTGCGGTGGTCACGGTACTGTGTACGTTTAGGGGTGATCCTGGACGGCATGGGTTCGAATCCTGGCCGGGTCAAAGAGTTTTTAGTGATCTATGGCTTGTGCGTTCATGCAGCTTTCTCACACATGTTAAACTCAGTGCAGCCCGTGCATGCGCCATAATTTGATGAAAAACTGTACCCAAATGGATCCATGAGTGTCGTCGGGGGTTGATCAGTCAGGGAGCTTAGTTAATAAGCACCACAACTGACCAATCCTTATAGACGATCATTGGTGCGGTGGTCACGGTACTGTGTACGTTTGGGGGTGATCCTGGACGGCATGGGTTCGAATCCTGGCCAGGTCAAAGAGTTCTTAGTGATTATATATATATATATATATATATATATATATATATATATATATATATATATATATATATATATATATATATATATATATATATATAATGGCTTCGTTGCTGTCCTCATGATGTGACCAGCCTGATGTGGGGAGGTCTAACAGCTAAGTGGACAGCGCTCGGGATTCGTAGTCATAAGGTTACAGGTTCGATCCCCGGCGATGGCGGAAACAAATTGGCAGTTTCTTTCACCCGGATACACCTGTTCATCTAGCAGTAAATAGGTACCTGGCAGTTAGACTGCTGCTACGGGCTGCATCCTGGGGGTATGTAACAAAAAGGAGGCCTGGTCGAGGACCGGGCCGAGGGGACTCTAAGCCCCGACATCACCTCAAGAAGTTAGTTCTCCCATCACACCCTACACGGTGGGGATGCGCTCATACTACAGTATTTAGTAACCATGTTAATTCGAATTTGTCCAACTTCTCATTGTATGCCTCAATCACTAGTTTTGTGTGTAATATTAACTGTTCATGTTGTAAATTTAAATACAATGCAAATCGTGAATTAGTTTTAAGACATCCGAACTTGTATACTTATTGGCTTTGCAACAATGAACAATTTAACCATCAAAATCTGTACTTACACAACCCATTGTACATTCTTGTGTATGTGTATGTGTATATATATATAAATAAATTAATAAAATACTATTGTAGGAGAGCCGCCCGTGCCGCCTCCCACCACCACCTGCTCACTTCCCTGACTAATAATAAACATCTGACATAAAGTCATTTACATGTAACTGTCGTTAACCAACTATTATAGCAGCTGAGCTGACAATAACCAAAATATTCGATACATCTTAACGTCTCAAACAGCAAAATAAGAAATATGCTAACAATATCAATAATATAAATCATATTTAACATTATTGAAATAAAACAAAAATGTAAACAATGTTAATGTTTGCACTTATCCAATTTCTTTCTTTGTTATACTTAACATGTTCAATAAGTTTAAAATTATATATTTTATTTACACAATTTTAATATATAGTTGTTGAATCTTGGCAAAACTGCTATATAATCTTGAGTTTGTAACCCGGAGTTAGTTTGTTAGTCAGAGTATTTTTGTTGTTAGTGGCGGCAAGTGTGAGGTGCAGGAGGTGGGTAAATAATTGTGGTTTAATAAGTTATCAAGATGTTTTCAATAATATTCTTTCAGCGTTCGTCTTTTCCAACATGGGCGACCCTTTTGAAAACGCGATACTTGAGTTAACCCATCCTATAGTTGGGTCTGTTTCCAACTGGGGGTTCGAATATCATCAGCAAATAAGATTGGTTTGAGGTGTTGAGAGGCATTTGGAAGGTCATTAATGTAGATGAGAAAGAGGAGAGGGCCAAGTATGCTGCCCTGTGGAACACCAATGTTTATGGGTAGTGTAAGAGAAATGAAATTATGCACAGAAACATATTGGCGTCTGTCAGTAAGGTAAGACTGAAGGTATTGCAGGGAGTGACCTCTGACTCCATAATGATGTAATTTAAGAAGAAGGTTTTGGTGGTTTGTCAAAAGCCTTATGTAGGTCCACAAATAACCCAACAGGAAACTCATTTTTATCAAGAGCTGTATGTATCAAGTTAATCATACTAATAAGTTCATCGTTAGTGCTTTTATTGGGTCTGAAACCATATTGGCTAGAGCTAAGTATATTGAGTTTGGCTAGATATGAGTAAAGCTGCTTGTAGATTAGCTTTTCAAATATTTTTGACAAAGTTGGCAGAATTTATATAGGTCTGTAATTGTTGACATCAGTGAGATCACATTTGTGGACTGGGGTTACTCGCTTTTTTAGAATATCCGGAAAGGTTTGGAGTTCAAGTGATATGTTGAAGAGCAATGCAATGGCAGGAGCTAGAAATCTGGAGGCTTTTTTGTAAATTAGAGATGGTATCTCATCAAGGGCACTTGATGACTGACTGTTACTAGACAGAACCAGCAGTGTTTATCCTGATTTAAGTTGTAGAGTATTTGCATGGTTGTCAAGCCTCTACAGCATGACAGGACTAAGTTGGGTTGGTGAGGCAGGCAGTGGACGTAGAGGCAGTACATATGTTGTGCCATCACTGCTGATATTGTCATGTAGTAAAGTATGAACACTGTCTTTACTGCTCCTCACACTAGCTCCATTGTAACTTTTTCCAGTTTTTATTTTTATTTGTTAATATAAACTGTTGCCGTGCAACATTTTAAGTTAAAAATATATTTGAGATTTTATTGCATGTACAGTATTTGTTTGTTTATCTAACAATGGATTATAGAAACATTTGTTCATGTAATATTGGATTATAGAAACACTAATATAGATTGTATTGCACATTTCAATAAGTATGGTATGAATAAGGTCCACATTATCACATCAAACATCACATACTTTTGTTAAATGCTGTATTACATTGAACTATTGTAACTTGAATTGATTCATACACATCAGGCTATAATAAGCACTCATGTCACACTACAGTAGTGCTTGAACATAATACAATACAGTATACTGTACTTGATATTAGTGCTCTTCCTTTATGGCATACTGGACACCTTACTTTTATAAATTTAACATAACCATGTACTAATGCTAATACAGTACTGTACTTTATGTACATAAATTCTTGGTATTGTTCTGAAGCAAAGTTTTTAAGTTTAGAGGGGTTGTACTAGACTTAGGCATATAAATGAGCTTGTATGGACTTTCAGTTCAATGTGCTGTATTGGTCACATTAATATTTTCATAATGGTCTTGCCTTCATATTTACTAGTAGGCCTACATGTACTCTTAGAGACTTCTTGTTCTGTATTGCATATAATTTCAGCAGATACAGTACTTTGAAAGCACAATGAGGATCAATTGTGAGGTTCTAGTAAGCAATAGGAAATTACCCTCTCTCAACCTAAGCAATAAAAGAGGTGGCACAAGATCATCACTTGGGATTGGTCGTCCTCCAGGATCTAAGTCAGATGTGTCAAGCCTCTTTATTCACTTATGTACAGCTCAAAACAAGCAAGGCACAAAATATAAGGTAACAGTATTCTTAATTTCATTACCACACTTTCTATAATTTCTTATTAAATAACTTGTTATTAAAGTAAGTTTGCATATATAATTCAAGATTAATGAAATGTAGGTATTAATTGAAATTGTTTGTCCAATTGGCATAAATGTGGTATTTGAGAATATATATGTGCTCAAAGCTGTCAGTAGGCTAGAATATTATGTAGTATTCTATAGTGCATTTAATATTATGAACACTCTTTCCTAAAGCCTAAAATAGTCATTTCTGTGGAGAACCCCTCTGGCTCCCCAGAGCTTACTGGGCTAATATGTATGTATTAGACTGTGGCATTAGTCAATTTGATTGGAGTTCTATGCCTACCAGGGACCACGAGCCAGAACCTGGCCCCCCTCAGAGAGGCACGAGGAGCAATGGCCTATAGAAACCCCCATGTGGTTGGAAGCATTCCATTTCTGTCATCGACCAATTTAGGCACCCAGAAAGGCAGGCTGGTAAAGGTAAAAATTCCTGAAACAAACACTACTTGGTTAAAAATTGCCAAAAGCCGAACAATCAAGCCAAACTCCCTATCCGAAAGCAAGCAAACAAGCATGATGTCACAACCGCCACCGTGCGACTGTCTGCGCAGCTGTCTGCGCAGCTCCCCACCTCCCCAGAAAGGGGAAGAGGAACCCCAGACCTCTGTGCCCGCTATCCAACCCCAGGTCTGAGGCTGATGTGTTGAGTGGCGGTCATTCGACTCTGGTTCCTGTCTCTTTGGTTAGAGGTCACACAGTCAGCAGACAATGCTACCTCCCTCTCCACCAAGATTACTCCTCCCACTACAGCGCTAATTATCACAACAATCCTGCTATTATCAGAATCCTGGTATTCTGGATTAGCAGGATCCAGAATACCAGGGCGTGTCTGCTCGCCCGGGTTGGCTCTTTCCCGGCTCGCCAGGTTTGGGTTCCTGGTTTGGGTGGACGTTCCTTCTGGTTCCTTGACAACCTTGGTTTCAGGCGCTGCTTGAAACTACATGCTGTGGCTTATTGCCTGTGTGCCACGGCCTCTGTGACCCTGGACACGCTTTGGGTTGACCCGGGTTCCCTTCGTCCCTGCTCCAGGGTTCGAGTCTCCCGGGTCATCTGCGGGGGTCATATGGTGTTGCCATTTGGTTTGCTTTCTGGTTCGGGCGTGTGGTTTCCACCTCACGGGTTTGTCGGTTTTTTTGTCCTTGGCTTTGGGTAGTTAACTCCTGGGAGCCGAAGGGGCTCCCCCCCCCCCAGAAAACCAGCAATATAATGAAACTCCATTTTCTAGGGAAGTCCCGGAGTCTCCCCGGCAACCCTCCCTCCCCACTGGTCGGCGGTGTTTCACATGTTTTTAACATCCAGCCCCAGAACTGCAGGGTGGATCGTCGTCTCGCGCAGCTCCCCCTCCCCGGGAGGGGAGGGGGAGCTGCGCAGACATGCGGCACGGCTTATGTGACATCATGCTCCCTTGCCCGTTTTCATTTGGGGAGTTCTGTCCACTCGTTTGTCTATGTTTGTCGTTTTAACCAGAATAGGGGTTTGGTTTGGGGGTGCTTACCTTTCTTGGGGCCTGTCCCGGTCGATGGCAGATATAGAATGCTCCAAACCCCTTGTGCATTTCTATAGACCATTGCTCCTCGTGCCTGTCTGAGGGGAAGGCCAGGTTCTGGCCGTGGTCCCCGGTAGGTCTAGAACTCCACCCACATCAACTGATGCCAAAAGTTAGGACTATCCCTATCGGCCTGGATAGCTCTAGTGATCTTCCGGAACTCACCCAGAAAATGGAGTTTGCCATATTTTGTATTTTGGAAAGGTTACTTTTATATTTGGTCTTTATAATGGTTGTTCTTATTATTTATAATTAAAAATTATTTAAAATTATATTTGCTTTTCTAGATTGTTGGAAATATTGAGGCAGTATTTACAAAATGTGTCGGTGAAGGAAAATTTACAATTCGCTTCAAGGACCCAGCACATGATCTCTGCATTAAAGCTGATCCTGTTTTGGCTAAAAGCTTTCTACATACATGTAAGTTCATATTGAAATTTACTGTTAAATGATTTTTGCAGGAAACTACAGAAGTAAGTAGTTTATTCAATCATGATTTGGCTATTTCTTAAGATTATACTGTATGAGTTCGCTTATTCGAATTTCACTTAACTGGATATTTGGGTTATTCAGCCAAAATTGCATCTGAATAATTTTCTGGCAAACTTCACAATATCCAGATAGGAATCCGGATAACCAAAGGTTTGGCCGGATAACGTAGACTGGCACAAGAGTCTTAAGTCAAGTCTGGATAATTCTCTGGCAAAACTTCTCCATATCTGGATAGATATCCGAATAATGATATAGGTCTGTAATTGTTTCTGTTGATACTGCCACTTCCTCCGCCTTGAATATGTAGAAAGTGGTGGCCTATGTGATTAGTGCATTTTAATGTTTTGTCACATATTTTACAAAATGTGGAATTAAGTTAATAGCAATCTTCATAATTTTCTATGTTGGCATGTTTAATTAATGTTTTACAAAATTGTAGCCCTATTGATAAACAAAAAGTTTAACAGATTACCAATGTGTTTTAACAAATTTTAATTCTGCAGTAAAGCTGGGACTCCAGAATAAAGACATTGACAAGCTTCATCTTTCCAATCTTGCTCCAGTAAAGCAAAGCCAAGTTGAAAAACCGAAGACAAAACTGATCATTGAAAGTAAACAAGATTATCCAATTACAACAGCTTTCCCATATTCTCTGGAGCTACTCAAGGCAAGTTAAACTAATAAGGTACTGCACATCATTTTATCAAAAGTTCTGTATATAAAGTATGTACAGTACAGTAGTTATGCAGACGATGAGTCACAATAACATGGCTGAAATATGTTGACCAGACCACACACTAGAAAGGGACGACGACATTTTGGTCCATCCTGGACCATTCTCAAGTTGATTGTAATGAGGAATGGAGGTGAAGGAAATAGAGAGGTGAGGAGAAGAAAATTTTAGAGGAAGAAAAAGCAAGGAAAGGTATGAAAGTTAATGTGTAATAAAGGGGGATAGTAATAGGAATAAGAACATAAGAACAAAGACAACCGCAGAAGGCCCACTGGTCCACACGAGGCAGTTACTATTTATACTGCCCAATAAGAAGGAGAGAGTAATAGGAATAAGAAGGGGATAGTAATTGGAATTAGCAAGAGATCGTAAGAGAAAACAATGGAAAGAAAAAGAAAAAGGAAAGAGAAAGAAAGATAAATGGATGGGTAAGATTATGTTAGGTCATGTTTGTTAGAAAGTTTAGAGTATTTGAGTATATACTGTGAAAGGGAAGAGTCAACAGCAATAAAGCCAGGACTCAAGTTCATGTTGGGTATGTTGTGTATTAGAGCCGATTCAACGAGACGCAGAAAATGGCATTTCATTACATTCAATGCTTTTTTTTTTAATTTTTTAATTTTATTAACTCGATACACTCCAACCTACGACAGTCACAGATATTCTCTCATAGATATTAATGGAGGAATTCTTCTTTTTCTTTGATTTTGATGACAGGATAATACTATTCTTTTTATTTCAGATTTGTGATGTTCAGCTAAACCGAGTTGAGAACCGTATAATAAAACTGAAAAGATTACACAGTTTAGACCTGAGTCACAATCTAATTAAGGAGTTGCCAACAAAAATGAATGAAATGCACTGTCTTTCAACGCTTCAATTGTCTTTTAACAACATTACACATATCAATCATCAGCTCTTCAGTGGGAGACTCTCCCACACACTCCATTTTCTGGATCTGTCAAACAATAAGGCAAGTTGCAATCAAATAAGATTAGACTCGTTTTGTACAGTTTTTGAGTAAGGCACTTGGTAGTTTCCTTAGGCAAGTTCATGCTCTTCCCATAGACAGTTTTGCACTATCAGGGCTTTGGATACAATGGGGATACTGTATTTTCAGATGTCTGCACTGGGATATAGAATGCTCCAAATCACATGTGCATTTCTATGGGCCATTGCTCCTCGTGCCTCTCTGAGGGGGAGGGGGGGGCAGGTTCTGGCTTGTGGTCCCCGGTAGGCCTAGAACTCCATTCACACTGACTATGCCAAAGTCTAATACAATACTGTACATATCAACCTGTATAGCTCCGGGGAGCCTCCGGGACTCACCCAGAAAATGGCATTTCATTACATTCAACGCTGGTTTTTTGAAGTTGCTTAATTGCAGGAAGAGTGGGCTGGTTATTGAACATAAGCGATTTGCTATTAATAATTGCAAGCTTTGTCTGTCAAGAAATGTGGCTTTATTACAGATATTACTGGTATATTCATAATTAGTACATATATATGGAGTGCACTGTATTATCTTTATTCATATAAATTTATTTTTTCTCTTTGCGTGTAGATTGAATACCTTCCACACACTTTGGGGCAGTTGCATAGTCTTGTCAGCTTGAGACTTGATGGGAATATTTTATGCAAACTTCCTGTCTCCTTAGGCAAGCTCACCAGACTCAGGTAAGGAAGTTAATTATCTTGCTTGTATAATTATCAGAGCTGTAAATTCAGCACTCTTTGATTACCATTTAACATTTTACCTTAAATTGCATATTATTTTCTGGGAGGTTCCTGAACTCGTCTAGCCAAACCTTAGGGAGATGCACCAGGCCTCAGACTCACCCTTGCTTTCCAGGAGCATGGACGAGATTCTGGCTCTGCAAGGCAAGGTTAGCTTGGGGATCACAGATCAATCCAAAACTGAGGACACTTCCCAGAAAGCATAAGCAAACAAGCAAGCTACTGCTTGAAGAAAGTTACGTATCAGAAGGCAATGATTCAAACAATTATTGCTTCAATAGACACCTTAACCATGATGCACTTTGGTGATAAATAACCTAAAAAAGAAAATTATTCAGAAAACTAGATCTGGTCCAAAATGATACGATTCAGATTTTGGAGGCTACAGTGTGTAAAAATGATAATCAAGCTATATAATATATATACAAATGTACATATATATATAATATATATATATAATATATATATAATATATTATTACATTTGGTGATTATGCAAAGTTATGATAGAAAATGTATTGGATTTGTGTCTTCATTAAACTATACAGTATATTTAATTTGATGATTGATGAAGAGTAAGTCGCCACAAGAGGTGGTGCGTAGTTATTTGTGTTCAGTTTCTAACAAAGCACTTATTAATCTATTGTCCCATTTGTAATAGATACCTCACTGCTGGCAACAATAAGCTGGTTGAACTACCAGCTTCAATCAGACACCTTAAACTGGATTCTATGGATGTGTTTGGCAATCCATTCTCCAGCCCTCTTGGTCTAGTCAGAGACAACATTACAGGAGTCCCATGTTTGAAAGAAATCTCATCTGCATACTGTGTTACAAGAGGGTAATATATTTGTTATTGATTTGTCATCCCTAGGTTTGGCTTATTCAGACAGTGTGGTTCCATGAATTAGTGCATGTTATCATTCACAATCTTTTTGTGGTAGCTTTGAACATAACCAGTTTAAAGATTATATATTTTTGTAATTTAAACTTGACACTATCTTAGTGTACAAGGATGAATACATTATTTATCTGAACTTGATCATTCTCCTTCTAACATCTGCAAATGTACTCTCCAAAACAGTATAATATATTTTGTAAAAAAGTATGTTGCATGATGCTATTGTTGTGATTTTTTGCCATCTTTCAGATTACGCCCCACTGCTGCAGAGATTCCAGCAACTTTAGTGGAATACCTTCAAGCTTGGGTGAAATGCCTCTGTGGCAAGATTTGTTATGAATCACACATTCTTGCATGCATATCTCTTAACCTTAAGCTGATAGCCTCTGGACTTATCATAGGCAATGTTTACCAAACGTCAGCCCCTGCTATTGCAACTCTGTGCTCTAAAAAATGTTTTGACAAGTTTTCTAAAACATGTTCCTAATAATAGTACAGTTTCCCAAGTTTTGTTGCAAGACTAAGTTTTAATTTGCGCATGTTAGGTTGAATGGAGGAATGACAAGTGAAAATAATTTTAACTTTTTATTTTGTATGAATATACCATACTGTATAAGGTACTGTACCATACCTTAGCAGATCTAAAATAAGAACCAATCAATTGTAATAATTTGTAAGGCACAAATAATTAAGTACAAATAATAAAAGTGTTAATGATAAAGTAAAATAAATAATTTTCAAAGATGATATAGTTTTAATTTTGTGCCCCTCCCTGTCCAGCGCGTTGTTGCCGTGGAGGGGCTTGGTGGGCAGCTGCCGGAGTGCGATGCTCCTTAAGGCAGTCCTCTGCCCCTTTTGTCGCCTTATGCTCCTGCTGCTGTCCTCTCTAATTCTGCTGGACACCTTTTCCTTTTCCTTATGTTTCGTTTTTCTTCCCCCTCTTCTCGTATCTGCTTGTCGTTTCCTGCCGACCTTTTGCTTGTTTTGGTTATTCTTTTGGACTTCTTCTATTTTGACGCCTGGGTGCTTGAGGCATACTCTTGCACCCGTAGAACTGTAGTACCCAACGTCGCGAGCGAGGGGAACCTTTTATTGTCAATCCTCCTTTCGTCACTGAACCCGATCTCGACGAACTGACGGTTCTTAAGGTGGCGTTTGTGGGGTGTATACTTATGACACACCCCTAGGGGGCCCCGAGATGATCGGCGATAGCTTCCTGTTGGGTGTCTTGCCTCTAATTTTGGCTCCATGGTGGGTATGGGTGCACATTCGTGAACGAATGTTTTTCCTTTTCGTACCTATGTCGCATTCTGTTCCTCTTTTACCTTCTCAGGCTCATGGGGTGGGTGACCAAGCCCCCGAGTCGGACCATGTTGGAAGACCGGGCTCTGTAGCCCCCGCTGCGTTAGACCCCGATCTTGCTCCTGCTTTGACCTCTCTGACTACTCCCCTCGGCTCCCCTCCCTCCTCTGTGGTTGGGTCCCCCAAGCCCCCAGCGGTGACCACCTCGGCCCCTGGCACAGCTCAGTCTTTAGTTGTGACTACTGCGCCTTTTAACCCCTCTCTCTCTGGGGGTTCTCAACGCCGTTCCTTACTTAAACGCCGATGCCGAAGTCCTTACTTAAAATGTATTTTATTGTTCATATTGTCCATTTAATTACGATACCAAGATGAGAGTCACCTACCTTTCATGTTTTAGTTTAGTTCATTTATTATGCACCCCATACCCATCTTGTGGGCGGTAGTGAAAAGGGTTACAGAGGCACATAATGGGCTCAGGGACTGAATCCCACAATTCATTTAGCTAAGCAAGTTACAATCTTGATGAGCTAGTTATAAAATTCAATATAAGTCGTCACATCAACAATGGGTTCGAGATCGACCACAAGTACAGTTTCTAAATTAAGCAACTGACATGTGGAGAGCTAGTGTCACAATTTATATGTTTGTCCTGCACACCGCCCCCATCCAGTGGGCAGCGGTGGATAGGTTACAATCACTTAATTACTACCTACAGTTTGCAAACTGGGGATATTTTGCCTTTCATGTTATGTAATTATAGCAGCATTTCACAAACACAGTTTGCAATACCTAAGATGTTTAGTAATCATAATCATACTCGTAGTTATCAGGATCAAAATTGAAAATCTCTGCTAGTTCAGCATGACTAAAGTCTCCGTTTTCATAGAAGGACTTCAAGCGGTTGCGCACTTCGATGTCACTGAAGACATCAGGAAAGGGCGGGGGTTCGTATGGCTCCTCCCAGGTGGCGTCTGGCTCCTCCACCGAAGGGTGGTGGGGCTTGTGTGGGGTAGTGTCCCCAGCTTCAGTGACTTCCACACTTTGATAAGTCCTTCCTGTTTTTGGTAAAGCTGTTGTGGTGGGTGTAGTTGTTGTTGTGGTGGTGGGTGGAGTTGTTGTTGTAGTGGTGATGGGTGGAGTTGTTGTGGTGGTGGTGGGTGGAGTTGTTGTTGTAGTGGTGATGGGTGGAGTTGTTGTGGTGGTGGTGGGTGGAGTTGTTGTTGTGGTGGTGAGTGGAGTTGTTGTTGTGGTGGTGGGTGGAGTTGTTGTTGTGGTGGTGAGTGGAGTTGTTGTTGTGGTGGTGGGTGGAGTTGTTGTTGTGGTGGTGGGTGGAGTTGTTGTTGTGGTGGTGGGTGGAGCTGTTGTGGTGGGTGGAGCTGTTGTGGTGGGTGGAGCTGTTGTTGTGGTGGGTGGAGCTGTTGTTGTTGTGGTGGGTGGAGCTGTTGTTGTTGTGGCGGGTGGAGCTGTTGTTGTTGTGGCGGGTGGAGCTGTTGTTGTTGTGGCGGGTGGAGCTGTTGTTGTTGTGGTGGGTGGAGCTGTTGTTGTTGTGGTGGGTGGAGCTGTTGTTGTTGTGGTGGGTGGAGCTGTTGTTGTTGTGGTGGGTGGAGCTGTTGTTGTTGTGGTGGGTGGAGCTGTTGTTGTGGTGGTGGGTGGAGCTGTTGTTGTTGTGGTGGGTGGAGCTGTTGTTGTTGTGGTGGGTGGAGCTGTTATTGTGGTGGGTGGAGCTGTTGTTGTAGTGGTGGTTTGTGGAGTTGTTGTTGTGGTGGTAGTGGGTGGAGTTGTTGTTGTGGTGGTAGTGGGTGGAGTTGTTATTGCTGTAGTGGTGGATAGAGTTGTTGTTGTTGTGGTTGTAGGTGTTGCTATTGTTCTGGGTGAAGTTGCTGTGATGGTTATGGGTGGAGTTGTTGTGGGTGTTGTTATTGTTGTGGGTGTTCTTATTGTTCTAGGTGAAGTTGTTGTGGTGGTTGTGGGTGGAGTTGTTGTTGTGAAGGGAGTTGTTATTGTTGCTGTTGTAGTGGGCAGAGTTAAGGGAGTTGTTGTTGTTGTTGTGGTGCTGGGTGTAATTATTGTTGTTGCTGCTGTGGGTGAAGTTGTTATTATTGTGGTGGTTGGGGGTGGAGTTGTTGTTGTGACTGTGTTGGGAGTTGTTATTGCTGTGGGTGGAGTTGTTATGGTTGTAAAGAGAGATGTTATTGTTGTAGGTATTGTGGTTGTTGGTTGTGCAGTTATGATTATTGAGGGTTCTCCTGATGCAAATTTTGTCGTGGTTGTAAATGGTGAGAGTTCCCATGATGGAGATTCAGTCGTGGTTGTCGCGGGTTCTGTTGTTGCTGTTGCAAGCTCCGTTGACTTCGCAACACCTTCACCGATCTTTTTATCATCTAGATCTGCATCAAGGATTTCTCCAGCTGGAAGACAGACATCGCAGCGCTCAGCTGAACGAAAACTCTCATCTGTAACATTTTTATCCTCTTCTGTGTCCTCAATTGAACGGGAACCCTCGTCTGTAACATCTTTACCCTCTTCTGTGTCCTCAACTGAACGGAAGACCTCTGTAACCACCTTGCCCTCTTCTGTGACTTCGAGTCCAGGGAGGCCATCATCCCCATCATTAGGGACATCGAGTGCTTTGCCTTCAGCGTCCTCTGCTACAGTATGTAAGGAAGCAGACTTGTTTGCTAGAAGGCCTTCGTTCTGGAGTACTTCACTAACAGATAAAGAATTATTTTCCACGGAGGAGCCAGCTATCCTTTTACCCATGAAGCTGATATTGATGCCCAGTTTTTTCATGAGTGCCAAGGCCTTCTCATCCCCAGCTTCCAATTTCGTCTTCAGGCGGTTGGTCACAATACGAAATTTTTCATCAGCGCCAGTAAATCGTAAACGTATTTTACCAAATCCTTCTTTGACAGCGGTGCCAAAGCGTTGTGCTCCCTTTTTAATAGAACGACCTGCGCTCAGAATTCCTTCTTTGGTAGCATTTCCTCCAGCGATGAAGACTTTCCCAACAGCTGCTAATCCGACGTCGTATGTCCGCCTCACTCCTACGAACTCTGTCTTTACTTTCTTAGCGGCTTTAGAGATCTTGTTTTTTACAGATGAATACAGTAACTTCCATTTACTGGGTTTCGGTGTGGTGGTGATGGAGAAAGTGGTGCCCATTTTTTGAGGAGGTACTGTGGCAGCATCGAGTCCCACCGTTGTTTCGTCGCTCTGAAATGCCGTCAACACTTAGTATCTATTTTGGATTATATTATTACAGAATAGCAAACTTGTATGTAAAGTAACTGTAAAGATATGATTTCTTGTTGTTGGGGACAAGAAGCCTATAGGCTTATTAAGGTCTCCCTAGGTTAAAGCCTGACATCTCTTAGGTTGCAATCCACAACAGTTGCCTTGCTCACAGGTACATATTTGCTGCTAGGTGAACAGATACATCAGGTTTAAGTAAACGAGCCCGGGAGTGAAACTCGTGTCTAGTTTGTTATGAGCCGACTGCGCTAATAACTACAATATAGGTCATTGTTTGGAAGTCCATATAATGTAGGGTGAAATATACTTCTAAAAATGTTACAACCTGCTTAACGCGGGCTGCGATACCTTCTTATTGTGAGAGGGAAGCCACCATCTCCATCTGTTTGGTCCCTTAGTGGTGGGTGTCGGCGCTGACGCCGAAGTGGTCACGCTGTGTGGTGGTCGCGTGGTGTGGCTGCTCTCTTGCTCTCTCGCCGCACTTGCTTCCTTCTTCCCCTGCAATGCCACCAGTTCACATACTTTCTGCTTCTGGTCATACATATCCAAGCACGAGTTTGTTATATGCAACTTGAGAAGCAGTCACAAGACAACAGATTGGAGTTGAACATGGTAATAATTTACATAATTATTGGTGACGAGGATGTGAATTTTGAAAGTAGCTAGAATCTGTGAAATTGAAGTTAGATCAAACAGAAATTGAAGTTAAAATAAAACAATACGAGAGTAGGTTTTGATGTTCAATAGTAAATTTGAGGGATGAGAGAATTTGTCCATGAAAGATGATAAGAATGGCAACGATCCGGAGAGAATGAAATATGAGATAAACGTATAAAAGGCGAGATAAAGTACAAATAATTACAATACATTTAAAGACCTGAGTGGATGACATTCTAGATAAGGGGTTACAAAATTACGTCACAATTTATAGGTGAAGCTAGGAACATTAGTTTTCCTATTCGTATAGAAAATGCAGAATGAAGCGGGCAGACAAATGAGACCGGGGTGATTATGCTGGTGATAAGGGTTTAATGGATAATGAGCTACCAAATACTTACCCAAAACCAGAGGAGTCGGCGCCTCCCCTGACCTGACAACCGGGACTCATCTCCGGAGGACGACGCCAGTTGGACTTTGGGTCTTGAAGGCCGAGCCTGAAGGTGGGTGGCCAGAAGCATCACCGCCACCCACGCCCACACCGCCCACATCCGCATCTGGAAGATAAGTGTCAGGTCGCCTGCTGTTAGATTCATGTTATTTCATAAAAACTATCCAATCTGTGCTTAAAGTTCCCAACCAACACCCATCTCTGTTTTGATCTCTAACGATAACCTGGCTGCTTGCTACTTTTACATTGCCTGGTGTTGAGTATGTTTGTTTTAGTCTCGTATGTTTTGGAAAGTTAGAGTTCAATAGTTATCCGGTTCCAGTGTTTGACCCTCGCTCAATATTAACCTTAATAATAAATATATCTAAGAGATGTAGCCACATTCGTCCAGCTATACAAGCAGACAAGAGTCACTACACCGAGTGACATTGTTCATTGTTCGAGGAACAATATAATACATTTAACTAAAGAAAGAAGAAAGCGAGGGAGGAAGAGGAGACTGGAGTGAAGGTGGGGGTTGAGGGTTCGGGTCGGGTCAGTCCCAGTTAAGGACCAGTGCACTCCCCGCCCTGCTGATTGTCATGCTCATGTCACAGCCACGTTACGCATTGGAAACCTCCAGAGTACGCATGTGTAAGGACACAACAACACATTCTAGTCCACATATGACGGTGCACAACACACAAGAATGTACTCTACTGATCGTAGAGTAGAGTACATTCCATACATACTTTAGGAAACAAATTAAAATCTAAAATATAATCCCACCAAGAAAATATTTATGATTCGTTCAAGTCCTAAATGTCCGAAGCGGACCTCCATTTTGAGTTTGGGCTATGATATCTAAGATCTGAGGTTGTTTACCTTTTTGAAATGTTGCAGTTGAGAAGCTATACGTTGATACTATCCTACCGAAGTGACTTGTCATTACGATAATACTAGACCACTCTTATGTGTCGCATATGTCGTATTTGGAATGCATGTCCAACTCAATTTCAGGCTTATCACATGCAGATTTTGCTGACTTGTCTGTGTCGTCATGCTGGACAACACCTGTAGTGAGATGGTATCCATACAAATGAGACTCTGAAACTCTTGCTCTTAGCATTAATAATATTGTTTATAATGTATGTTACAACATTCTTAGTATCTATTTTACATGTCGGGTTTTTAAGGGCCTGAAGAGCTGACTTTGAATCACAGAAAATTACTCCTCCACTGTTCTTCAGTGAGTTAGTGGCAAGTTGCAGTGCAGCTAATTCTGCATGTGTGTGGAGCTGAGCCGGGGAGTCTCACACTTGTGGTCTGTGTACATATGTTATTTGTGTATATTCTACAGGCTGCTGCAGTGCGACCTGTTGACATTTGGACAGACCCATCAGTGCTCGTGCGGCCGTAAGTTATTTATACAGGATTCAACTGTTTCAAGTGTTGTTGCTTTCAGGAGTGTTGGGTTTCGTTGGTACGTTGCATACAATAGGAATATTTAGTTTAATCAGATTGGCAACAATTCAACTCAACCAGCTTGCATATAGGTTGCCCGCTGGTACATTGGCAACACTCCCGCCTACATACAGCACTAATCAGTTAGGGTGATGTTGGATCTCTCGTCACCCTTACACAGAAGGTAGTATTGAGCTGCTCAACTCTTTCACATATGGTTGAGAGTTTCAGCTCCTCCCTCATGTTGATGATTCTTGTGCATCTGGGGGCTCCAAGAATTATCCTCATGGCTCAGCAACATGTAGTATTAGCTGGTAAATTTAATTGCGTCATGGCAATGATATCCCCGTTTTCTTCCGAGGAAAATTCCACTGCAATTCGTTTTCTTTGCATGAATAACTTGGTACAAAAACAGCAGTAATAGTATCTGCATATTGTATTAAATGTTAGTAAATGACATCTTTTTTCCTACATTGGTAATGTTCTTTAGCGTATTTTAGCATTGGTGATAGAGTTGGTGCTCGGAAATGTTTGGCAAATATGATGTTTATAGTGTTATTACTATTGCCACACGACGCTGTATTTTACACGTGTCTTCCGCATTAGATGTGAACAACCACAACACCACCCAAACCATATCACCACCCCAACCACACTCGTGTAAGTAGGTCTAGGTTCGTACGATTATAGTTTAGTAAAATCACTTAATATTAAACGCTTGTCCAAACTGAATGTAAGGGCCACTGTACCTGGAATGTTATCGCCACCAGGACACCCAACACCAGTGTACTGGCGTTCGTCAATGTGGGTCATCCACATGTGTGTCGCCCAGGCGTTCGGATGACCTTAGTTTGCTTAATAATGTACGAGGTCACTTTAAATTTTGTAAAGTTGTTATCTTGTGTCTTTCTAATATCAATACTAAATTTTGTGCACAATATCTCATTTGTTCTACGCTGTTGCCTGGGTTTGTTGCCAAACAACCAATTTGTCTGAAGTAGACTTTTCTAATTGGTAATATTAATTCCATCTTAACGACCATGTAGGCCTACATATGTTTATTAGGACTGTAGGCCGCACGATCATGTAGGCCTGCACACGTTCGTGAGGATCTAAGCTATACGAAGCATTATCTTAGCTGTCGGAGCACTGATCTTGGCGTGGTCAAGCCTTCATCACACGGTCACAGGAGAGGCCGGCCACCCAGTACACGAGGACAATGTCCAGGCTAGACACAATATACATTTAAGCCTCCATAAAGAAGATTCAACAAGTATAAATCAAAGATGAATACCTTAACTGTGCAGGGAGAGAGTCTGTGAGTGGGGAGTCGACCAGACGAAGGCGGCTCTGCGTGCTGCCCGTCCTCCTGGGAGTCCCCAAGACTTTGTCGGATCTTGTTTTCGTTGATGATAGTGCAGTGTTGCTGTTGCTTCCTCAGGTAGTGTTGCTTCCTCAGGTGTTGCAGGTGGGAGGATCAGAGCTGCGGCTGCTGTTATGGACAAATATTTTAAATTGAAGCAATGCAATAAGTAATTATGAAGCTGGTATGTCTACGCAGCACCAAGTTACTGGCGCTGCAGCCACGGAAGTTACTGGTGTTGAAGGCCACGGAAGTTACTGGCGTTGCAGCCACGGAAGATATTGGTCTACGCAGCACCAAGTTACTGGCGCTGCAGCCACGGAAGTTACCGGTGTTGCAGCCACGGAAGTTACCGGTGTTGCAGCCACGGAAGTTACCGGTGTTGCAGCCACGGAAGTTACCGGTGTTGCAGCCACGGAAGTTACCGGTGTTGCAGCCACGGAAGTTACCGGTGTTGCAGCCACGGAAGTTACCGGTGTTGCAGCCACGGAAGTTACCGGTGTTGCAGCCACGGAAGTTATTATTATTTTTTTTTTACAGGGATATTCCTGCGCGGGCCCTAAGCCTCTGGCTGGCCCACTAAGTGTTGCTTGTTTCTGTTTTACTTGGGCGGAGTATGAGTATTTATTCCTCGTATGGTCGCTAAGTTATTAGTGTTGCAGCCACGGAAGATATTGGTGTTGCAGCCAGGAAAGTTGCCGGTGTTGCAGCCACGGAAGATATTGGTGTTGCAGCCAGGAAAGTTGCCGGTGTTGCAGCCACGGAAGTTACTAGTGTTGAAGGCCACGGAAGTTACTGGTCAAAGACCGGAGTGTTGGCGGGACACAGAAGACAACTGGCTCGCCTCCTGGGTCAGAGTGAACTACATCAACGAGGCCTGTGCTGGCGGCGGCTGCCAGGGCGAGGAGCTGCCACTAGCTGCCATGCTCACCCCGGTGCACAGTCTTAGCCTCAAGTATAATTTAGTCCCTTTGTTAATTTATGACTTTGACTCATTATCAATATGATTTTCCCCAGTCTTCTCCCCGTAAGCTGAATTACTTAATTATCTCTCCGTAACTGGCTTAAGACAGCTAATGGCTTCAACTACCATTAACTGCCTCAAACCTATCATTACACAGCAAACACCAGCCATCACACAATAACCAAATCACTGTTCACAAGCAACACATACAGTGACACTGAATAAATCTCAAAGATATGCTAAACATACACACTTCACTAACATTAGCCTGTCCTCCGTACATTTAATAAAGCTTATACAGTAATGCTACCTCAAACTTATCCTAGAGGTATCCAGCAGAACCTACAGACATTGCAAAATTACAAATATATCTTCTGTATTGCCCGACTACGACAACCTATGTACAAATACGGTGCATATCAGGCATGTGACATTCTCTCAGTTGTCACATTGAGTTGATATTTATATGTGCAACATGCACATTACTAAGATCACTTCGATCAGCTCAGACGATCTAGTGATAGTTTGTCAGTATCCACCATTGATCGCACTTAGTGCCAGCACCACTCACACTTAGTGCCAGCACCACTCACACTTAGTGCCACCACCACTCACACTTAGTGCCAGCACCACTCACACTTAGTGCCAGCACCACTCACACTTAGTGCCAGCACCACTCACACTTAGTGCCAGCACCACTCACACTTAGTGCCAGCACCACTCACACTTAGTGCCAGCACCACTCACACTTAGTGCCAGCACCACTCACACTTAGTGCCAGCACCACTCACACTTAGTGCCAGCACCACTCACACTTAGTGCCAGCACCACTCACACTTAGTGCCAGCACCACTGAGCAACTGCACTGATGTAAGTTGTAGCGAGGCAAGTTGTTATTGTGCTTGACGATTACATGGCTGGTAATATTAGACTTCCAAATGGTACACAGTAAGAGACGGAGAGAGAGAGAGAGAGAGAGAGAGAGAGAGAGAGAGAGAGAGAGAGAGAGACAAAGGAACTCATTGTTATCAGGTGGAGAGAGCCAGAGAGAGAGAGGGAGAGGGAGAGAGAGAGGGAACCACAGGTGCCGCCCCACACTTCCTCATCAACACCTGTCAGGTAAGCTACTCTCACCTATCTCGTTCCCCACCTATTTCATTTATTAATGTTTTCATCCTTCATCGGTCTCATTCCTCCTCATCATGATGAGAAAGTGCTGAGTCAGTATAGATATATAGACATTCTCCAAAAGAGAACAATGGAATGTATAGAATATGGATTGTTGTGCAATGTAAATGATGACGTTATGGAGGGCACACCAAGCAGTAGAACAGGCAGAGAGAGAGAGAGAGAGAGAGAGAGAGAGAGAGAGAGAGAGAGAGAGAGAGAGGGGGGGGGAGGGGCAGGCCATAAGGCTAACCTAACCTGCCAATAACCTAAATAAGCATTTCTAGCCTTATATATGTGATCTTAGACCTAATTTAGCACATATATACTACAGTATACTAGGCATAGGAAATTATATATTTTATTCTTGTCTTCTTTATAGGTTTCTCTACAAAATAAATAGTACGCAACATTTTTTTAATCAGTTTTCTTAGTTTAGTTCATTTATTATGCACCCCATACCCATCTTGTGGGCGGTAGTGGAAAGGGTTACAGAGGCACATAATGGGCTCAGGGACTGAACCCCACAATTCATTTAGCTAAGCAAGTTACAATCTTGATGAGCTAGTTACAAAATTCAGTATAAGTCTTATACTATAGGTTTTTCCTTCAAGTTAGAATGTTCGTCCTGTTTGCTCAGTGGAGCTACTTATAACACCGGTTGATGCTAGGCTTTGTTTACGTTCCTGAGTTTGTCTTGGGTTACAACCGTGTTACGTGTTAATTAATTTCTGCTACTTACGGGAGTACGGGGCATATCCTATACTCGTCCTGCGAGTGATAGTTTGCTGTGCACCCCCATACTCATCCTGTGAGCAGTAATTGTGCACCCCATACTCATCCAGTGATCAGTAGTTCTGCACCCCATACTCATCCTGTGAGCAGTAGTTGTGCACCCCATTCTCATCCTGTGAGCAGTAGTTGTGCACCCATTCTCATCCTGTGAGCAGTAGTTTGTTGTGCACCCCATACTCATCCTGTGAGTGATAGTTTACTATAGAGCATTATATACAGCTGTGGTGGTGTGGCCTGAGGTTCGTCACCAACAAGATGGTGAGCTGCAACTTGCCTTACCTCCGCAGTGCGTCGGGAATTTTCAAGATCATAGAAATTGTGAGTTGACTTTTGTTTTGTTTTGGGGTTTAGGATAAATATTGACTTAAAAAAGTTTCATAATACATAAGTGGAATAAGATGAACATCTAGATGTGAACTGGTGACTGCTGTTTAGAGAATATCTTCTGTCAGGGCTGAGGAGAGGCCTTAAAGCCTAATATAAAATTTTATGATACTGCGGCCTTCAAAAGCAATTTAATATTCGTGTGAAATACTAGTCAAACCTTGTATAATGAACAATACGATTATAACTTAACTGAATTGAAAATTTGCAATGCTTTAATAGTCAGACTTGTAACTAAAAAACTATGCTAATGTAATCTTCGACTCAGAAAATATTTATCTTTTTCTTCCTATTTTTTTTTTATTTTGACATAATACAGTGTATTTAAATGCACGAGTAATGCTTAAGATAATTAAATAAATAAGAAAATTTCAGCCGGGGCTGACTTAATGTTGTATATTAAAATGGTGAGGTTAGAGAGGCAGAAATACATTTAAAAAGATATAGAGAGAGAGGCAGATAGATACATGCCCAGGTAAGGCCAGCCATGTAAACTATGATTAACCGAGGAATGGGAGCACATAACAACTGGCTTTGTGAACCATGTCTCTGGTTTAAAGCAGCTGTGTGAGGAGTCTCTTCCTCAGGTTTAACAGGTAGATGGTGGCAGTTAGCCGGCATCTGCCTCCTTCCCTTCTGTGAGCATCTGAGCTTTAGGCATGTGGTTGACTATAAACATTATTATCCCCCCGCCTAACACCCGTACTTAGCCACCACAACTAACACACCAGGTGAGCGTAAGTGTGTCTCTGGGGTTGTTCCGTGGCGTGCCCCTCACCTTCGGTGCCCCACACGACACCTCCCCCAAGGTGGGCACAGATGCTGACTTCTTCGCCGGAGGAGTCATGGTGGCCGCCCTCCTCATATCGCCGCTCTTGCTCCTACTCTACACTCTAGGCATCATCCGCGTCCAGCAGACCATCTTGGTGAGGGACCCTCCTCTTGTGGGGTTTTGTGGGGAGGTCATGTTATGAGGGGAAAGGTCATATTGTCTCTAGAAGGTAATTATTAGGCCTCATGAGATTATGGGCACCACTGTGGGGTCAGGAGTACCAGTGTGGTACTCATGAACCAGCTAAATTTCCTTAATAAACTTTTCGGTGATTCTATCTTATACATTGATGTACATATAATATGTGATGTGTATTTATTATATTTTGAAAAAAAATAACTTGATAATCTCATCTAATCTAAATAAGTCTGACTAAACCAAATTGAACCAATATTAAATAATAACTCAAGTTACATTTTGTAAAAAGTTTTAATGTCTTGTCCCTGGGTAGCAAATGTCATTTTATAATTATTTATGCCTCTAAAATATAGAAAATAACAATTATTCCTCTCAAACTTTGCGTTGACCTTCGCCTTTGATCGACAGCTTAGGGAAGATGTCTTGAAGGTTACCTGGAGGCTGTCGACGCCTTATCTAGACCTGTGACAATTTGCCACAGATCTAGATAAATTTATTTAAATTTATGTTGGGGCAGTGTATGACGTAGTGAAGCCTCTCTCTCTCTCCCAGGAGCTGGCGATCAGTTTCCTGCTCTTCAGCTTCCTGTTCATATCGGGATCGATGGGGCTCGCCTTCTGGCACTCTCCATCCTCAGAGTGGTCGTCCTACAAGGCTGAGGGCATCTCCATGTCTGTCTTTCTGTATGTAGCAGCAGTCGCCTACACCCTCGATACGGTCCTCAACGCCAAGAACTACTGCTGCGGACCCAAGAATATCCCTAACGAGTCAACCGCCTAGACCCAAGAACCCCATTAACAAGGCCATTTCCTATACCCAAGAATCGACTTCGCGAGTTCATCGTCTATACCCCAATTTCCCAGTCACTGACCCCTCTTTGAGATCCAAGAAACCCGCTAAAGAGTAAGTCTTGAATATAATACATTACAAAGGCAGTTGACTCCCTGTTCAGCCCCACTCAAGAGTTAACTACCACTTGAGTTAACTACTCAAGAGTCCTATACCAAAGAACGCCCCCTCTCTCCCACTCCACGCTCACTATACACAGCGGTATATCAACAACTCCGCACACACACGCACACACACACACACACACACACGCATCACATCTTCCTGAGTTGGAGATTCTCGTCAGATACTTGTCACAAAGTCTGCCACAATACATAAATAGAGACTAAGCACTGATGGCCTGGCCAGTAGCTATGGGGTAACGAATACAAAGCCTCACCCTTGGCTAGGAAAGGGAACTATCAGGCGAAAGCCTGATCCCTTCCACTTGGAAGGGATCAGGATTAGGATTTGGGATGGGACGTTGGTAAGGAATGGCGCCTAACCACTTTGTCACTCTCGGGGGTTGAACGCCGACCTGCATGAAGCGAGACTGTCCCTCTACCTCCACCCCCAAGTGGTTGGGTGGACCAGCCAGGTACACGTTAGGTCAATTTAAGACATAACCAATAAGTAATTTGATCTGATTCAATTTAAGATGACTGCCCTGCCTCCCAATATAGGCCTATTTTTGTAGCAATAAATGCTGTGTCAAGTTTTCAGGCACAGTATTTCAGGTATAAACTTGAAATGTCAAGTTTGACATTTTAAGTTTACTAGAAATAAAATAATACACATATTGTAAAGAATAAATTTATAAACCTGGTAAAAAAATTGCTATTTTTATTTGTAAGACTTCAACTACTTTCGTAAACGTGTCATGAGTTTTTTTTTAAGTTAAAATAAATTATGATTTAATTTAACTCTTAAAAATCATGAGTTAAAATAAATTATGATTTATTTTAACTATTTAAAAAATCACGAGTTAAAACAAATTATGATCGTTGACAGACAGACAAGGGGCACCGAGTCTGATGAAGCCTCTCTCATGGTTCCTATATACTTAATTTTTAAACTAATCAAAAATAAATCTTTGTTTAATTAGACGCGACGGATTTTTTATATTTACTCTTGGAATTTTGATGCAAAGATAAAAAAAAAATCTGAAACGCATAAATGAAATACATAAAATACATAAATACATAAAACTTGGGATATAAATATTACAAATAATTACACCCCTCGTGAAGTTGTTTATTATGAATCACATACAAAAATCTCTTAAAACATATGGGTAAAAAAAGGTCGATAGAACGCATGTTTGTGTGTCATGCATGTGTTGAGAGCGCAGGTCGTAATATGAGCTCATCATCTATATATATAGATGATGAGTTATCTTTGGATTGATGGTGGATTACATCGTCTATATATATAGATGATGAGTTCTAATCACTAACAATCTGATGTGATCTATTTGTTCCTTAAATTCCTTCTATACAAAGCAAAGCAGAAGTACATTTGAGTACAAAGAGCATTTTCATCAAGGTTTAAATGCGTTATCTGCCATTATCAGTTTCTGTAACGTGACCCCTCGCTATCTTAACGGTTCAGTGATTGGGTCCACCACACACCAGCTTACTCTTCACAATATTGAGATGACATAACCTTCAACATTTAAACCATTTACTAATTGACCTAATGAAATCCATTCCTATCAACATATTAGCTTTCAGTTTGTGTCTACCATTAATCATACTTTTGGTAAGTACTTTAAACATAGGGACCGTTTACCTTTTGATCTCAGATCTGGTGTTGTTTATCTGTTCTAAGTGCTTGAACTGTAAGGTTCGATACCCCGGGGAATATCTCATGATGCTACCTTATCATCGTACCTGTGAGCATTGGGTCATCTTTTGCCGTATGTCTGCAACTTTGGCAAGTTGTGTCCTCTACTTAACAAAGATCGCTGTGAAGCCATGTGTCAGCCATTCACTCACACTGATTTCACTGTGATAACTTCCAAGTCATCGACTAGATCACTATCATGGAATCCATTTACCTCGGCAAAATGAGACCATTCGTTGAAAACTCTGAGTTCTCGACTTAATTGCTCACCCACTATTGTCTTCTCTATGTTATGTCTACGTTGTATTTTTTTCTATTTTGTATATATTTTTTACTTTTTACTTTGTATATTGTTTGATTAGGTTTTATTGTCTTAGTATTTTAATATATATACTGATTTTAATAAATCTTTGAACTTTTTATTTACGATTTTAGCTTTTTTTTTGTCGAGTGTGCTTATTTTTTTTGCACTGATGATGGAGTACATTCTCCAAAAGTCTGTTTTTAAATATAAAGCATCGATATATGTCTTTTCTGTGATACTACTGTTTTTCATAAGATTAAAATACCTAAGAAGAAAATCTCTGAGAGAGAGAGAGAGAGAGAGAGAGAGAGAGAGAGAGAGAGAGAGAGAGAGAGAGAGAGAGAGAGAGAGAGAGAGAGAGAGAGAGAGAGAGAGAGAGAGAGAGAGAGAGAGAGAGAGAGAGACAGAGACAGAGACAGAGAGCAGTACATGCCATGGTGGATTACAAATATATAGCTTTTTAAGATTTTAATAATTTGAAGTAGAAGTTGTTTGACAATTGTTTAGCAAAATATTATTATTATTGTAAAACGACGACGCAGTTATTACCCACATTTTATATTTAGTAGTTGTCTGTGTCCATGGACTCACTAGACGGAAGTGTTTCCATTAATTTCTGGAGGATTCGTTGCGGTATTTTACTGGGATGTGTTTATGATTGCGTTACTTCACCCTTACCATTCATTGTTAAGGTGAGCGTAGATTTGTGGCTAAATAACAGTTTTTGACAGAATTTTAGTTCTCATTAATAGGATTCCATATCGGCCATTGGTTAGGGAATCATGACACTTAAACATTTTGTTTATAATAAATGTGTTCAGTTATGAAACTAGATCGTACTTATACAAAAAAAAAATAGAGAACAAGAACGGCATGTAGCCTATTGTGATGTAAAACAAACATGATGGATCGTATCCTGTAAATAAATTCTCTACTAATCATCCAACCCGTTCTCTTGAGTTGCCACACCGGACAAAATGCGGGGTGCTAAAAGGCACGAATCCAGGACATCCACCTTACCTAATCAACCAACAAATAGAAAACGCGGATGTGTGCGAACCGCTAAGTTTCACACTTCCCCGTATTTTGTCCGTTGAGGATCATAGCGTACAGAATGTGAGATAATATTTGAGAAGACAAGTGGCACCATGGCGCCCATTCTTTAGTACCGGTCCATCCATAGGCTACACTGTATAATTGAGAGCAAGATTACTTCCAGGTGCATGTTTTACAGACATCACTGTCAATCGTCCCTGCAAACTGTGATTTATGATGAATATGGATGCTGCCGTGCTAGCTAGATAAGGGAGTTGCAGCACCAAACATACAAACATGCAACCGGGCTAGTGAACATCATGAGAGGCCGAAGTTGTTGCACTGAAGAAGAGGGCAGAAAGAAACTGTTGGAGCCGCGCCTCACTCAGAGTCCTGCCTGTATGAGAAAAATACATCGAGGCCATAGATGACGCAGAGGAAGAAGCTGAAGGCGCCGCAGGCGTCGGCCACGGGTTCCTTGGAAGAATACTTGGCGAGCACTAGGATGCCACTAACGAAGAAGAAGATGCTCAACACCCCACTCAGGAGGATTTCCTAAAAAAAACACACACAAAAAAATATATATATTCATTTTGGAATTACATTTTCATAGCATGTACGATATATTGCCTTAAACAAGAGTCTCACACATTATACAAATTTGATATACAGAGGACATAACAGGGCTTAATAAAATTCATTTCTACAATAATGTTCCCTGATAGGGAAACCTCATGTTTTAAATTGTATTTTCAAAATTTTGATGGAACATAGTAGTGTTTGACAGTGAGAACAAACTCACGAAATAATTTATCAATGGCTTATCACTAAAGTTAATGTTTCTAAACGTTTCAAGAATCCAAAAACGTCATAATTAGATTATATTTTATGTGTGTGTGTGTACTCACCTAGTTGTACTCACCTAGTTGTGTTTGCGGGGGTTGAGCTCTGGCTTTTTGGTCCCGCCTCTCAACCGTCAATCAACAGGTGTACAGATTCTTGACTGCACACCTAACACCTTGACCACACACACACCTTGATCTGTGTGTGTGTGTGTGTGTGTGTGTGTGTGTGTGTGTGTGTGTGTGTGTGTGTGTGTGCGTGCGTGCGTGTGTGTGTGTGTGTGTGTGTGTGTGCGTGCGTGCGTGCGTGCTTGCGTTTGCGAGAGAAAACAAAGAGAGAGCGACTTACCAGCACTCTGCTATGCCCGTGTAAAGCATTCTGGGCAAAGAGTCCAAAACAGGTGAATAAACTGAGGAAGACGGTGCCAGTAACGAAGTGTTGCCAGCTGTGGACAAGGCTGAACCACAACCCCACCACCACCACCACCAACACCTGCGGGGACAAGAGGGTCGTTGGTCACTGGGGAAGCGCTGCCTTCAGTGTACATTACCTGTATGAGGCTAAGCTAAATAAATGAAAGAATGTAAACAATTGTGGGACTAAATGTTATGGTCAAAGCTCAGCCCATCCTTCTAAAATGATAGTACTTATAGTCACTATTTGGTCTCTCAAAATGTTCACATTTTTATTACTGAATTAGTCAAGATAGTATTCTAGAAAATCGGAAATGTAACTAAAGAACCTGAGTTAACTTGTCCAAGCAATCCCAGGCCTAATGCACGCTATCTTAGATCTGATATAGTACAAATATGTGCTATACTAGGCCTAGAAATGTGTAAGTTTGGTATTAATTTTTTTTTCGCACTCTTTGGGGGTAACAGTACATATTGGTACGTTCGACCAAATAGTTGTCATAAGTATTATAATTTTAGGAGGATATGTTTTCTAAACTAACATACTTTCTTCAAAATAACATTAAATATTACCTCGAACTTTATCTTAAATTAACCAGAAGTAACCTTCCTGAGCCCAACGATAAGACTGTTGACATATTCTTATATATTAAATCATAACTATCTTTTCAAGATAGTTACTTGCTTAGCCAACTGAATTTCGAGGTTCATTCCTCAGCCCATAAGTGCCTCTGTAACCTTTTCCACCGCCGCCCTCAGGATGGGTATAGGGTGTATGATAAATTAATTAAACTATAAAAAACTTTCACCAAAGACCCCCCACCACCTGATGCCACACATAAGAAACAAACGTAGCCTACAACCAATTACAGTGGACCTGGTTAGGTTCGCCGGTCGGCCGCCGGAGGGAGCAGACCCGTCCTGTCCCCTCAGTTGTTGGGCGGATCGTGCAGTTGGTGGTTGAGCGGCAGTTTGAGTGCCCTGTTGGGTACCCTGCTAGTGCAGGGTGTGGATGCCCCCTCTCGAGCGTACGTCGTCGATTGGCCTTTAGTTTTCGTCGTCTATCAACCATACTGGACTTGGCATTGCCCTAGTGGAGGTACTGCGTGTGACGTTATCGGACCTGGTAGGGGTGTAGATTCTTCAAGCCCACCACCCTGTGGTGAAGTTTGTTCGCCCTGAGATGTTCCGGGCATTTCTTAAAAAGTGTTATAGGGATGTTCGTTCCCTATGCCGGGTAATGCTGGTACGATGAAGGTCGTCAACCTGTCTGTGAAGTTGACCACCCTGAAGCCATCAACACTGCCACTCTTCCGGTAATGAAAAGTGTCCTGAAGCTGGGCACCCTCATAAATACTGTCCGGCAGTATCCTCCCCGCCATAGCAGCCACATAGTAAGGACTGACGATTTAAAATGCTCGCACAGCACGCAGTATATCCTATCACGACCAAAGATCACATTCACTCCAAAATATCTACCATTTACGGGCTATTCATGCCCGTGCCACCTCTTGGGTGGCCTAATCTTCATCAATCAATGGGAAGAACCATACAGTAGTAACTATTTCACCCCATCTATACACTAATGAGGAGGCTAACGTGGAGGATAAAGTAGAGGTAGAGGACAGACTCACCATCTGAGACACCTTCAGTATCCCTCGCGGACTCATAACGTAAGTCATAGGATCCATCTTGATGGAAGGGCGGGAGCTTGTGTGTGCAGGCGTGAAGGCTGTGGGCGTGGGAGAGAGCTCGAGAAGTCTAGTAGTGACGATTAGCTACGCGAGTAGGCGAAGAATCCTGGTGGCGGTAATGGGAGCGAGGAGGAGGGTGGGGTTAGGGCGCGTGAGGAGTGGGCATCTATAAGTCAGGTCGAGGCCGTAAAAATTAAATATAGAGTACAGGTTATAGTAGCAAGTGTGCAGGGGAGGAGGGGGGGGGGGAGAGTAGGAAGTTATCTTGTGGCTCCAAACTGGTGGCGTAGAGGGTTTGAGGGCGGAGAAGAGCTGTGGGTGGGTGTGGAGGGATGGGCGCGGGCGTGAGGTGGGCTCCACAAGCAGGGGAAGACTAGACGGTGTTGCCTCAACCAAGACACTCTACACGAGAGAGAAATCTAATCACCGCTGATAAGTGACAAAGGTCTTACCTTCTGGTATTTCCTCGTATATATATATACTATACCACGTTAAGGTACTGTGGCAACCTATACCTTGTGAAGGTTCCGGGGATCAACGGCCCTGCGGCCCGCACATAAAAAAAAAATACTGTTCGGTTTTAGATAATGTAATAAATAATATATCATATGGGACGTCCGTCAATGCATTTAGTTACCGTGCCACCAAGCGTGGTAATAACGTACCCTTCGCCTCCGGTACCACAGCCAGTGTACCGCACTAGCACCTTCAACTCATCAACTAACACTTCAATCTAAAGCCTGGATCTGAGCACACGTGAGAAGATACGGAATAGAGAAGACATGATAACGGCATAAAATATTATCAGAGGAATAGACACGGTACAACAAAGAGGCGTTGTTTACTAAGAGTAACGAGGGAACTACCATGGAAGGACTACAGGAGAACGTCAAGCAGGACGTCTTTAATGTAAGGGCAGCGCCCAAATATATTGTTTAGAGGGTAAATTTTAGTCGATTCATTAAATAGCCAAAAAGATAGAATCAAACATAATTAAGAGGGTCGGAAGTCTATGCATTAGCTGGGATTATGGGGCTCAGGAGCTAGAGCTCGACCTCACAAACGCATTTGGGTGAATAAATTAAGGCGAGCACGTAGACCCAACTCATATGACTAACTATAGTAAGAGGCATGACAGGAGGCTGGCAAGATTGATAAGATAAAACCTGCTAAAAAAAACTTTATCCAATATTGTAGGTTGGGCGTAGTGTGCGCTTATCTACTCCTTCCTCAAACTCACAAGCTCCTTGTGAGTTTGGCCTTACAACCTCTCCCTTGTTGCTCATGTGTGAGGTACAACTGCTTCCTTCTCTCCAGCGCCTTCTGAAGGCGTGGTCGGTTTGGCCAGCCACTGTCGCTTCCACTAGACCTTGACACCATCACATAATATTAGAGGAAATGTCAGATCCTGTTTACACACACATCTCCTGTGCCAGGTGAATACGACGGGCTTACCATAGTCCGTGCTGCTTGGAACGTTTTGTTCCGTGTAGCTGAATCTAAAACAACAAACATAAAACATCCTGTTTACAGCCACATACCCACTCATAGTTGTCTCATCTACGACCCTACGTCCGGTATTTTGGTTGGGTGTTGGTCTTAAGACCTATCAACCTCGGGAGGGCTATTTACGCCACAGTTTCTTTGTAATTGACATAGCGACCAACCAGCGAGTGTACTTAAGTCCTGAACACAGTTCTCATGTCCTGTGTCCTTGTATTGTGCCTTGTGTTCTCTGTCATCTGTTTACAAGTGGACGGAGCAGCACTTAATTGTCGTTTTATATAAATGAAACAAATCGTCAGAGGACGTATATCAAGTAAAATGTACAGACAAACTATATACACACCGAGACGTGTATTCCACTTGTGTGTGTATATACACCACGTTTACTTTAGGTCTGACTTATATCATGGATTATATAATCCTTCAGGGTGTGATAGGACTCAAGCCCAACACTAAACCAACAGAGGATATATTCTGTAGGACATAATCATGAGTACCAACAGACAAACGTATCTGTAATCTCTGTGTTCCAAAATGCCGGTACTTTACACAGCTGAGCTGGTGCGTCTGGTCAAGGCACAGAAACATCTCGTCGTAACTGCTCCAGCCACACAACAGGGAACTGGTAATGACAATAGTAATTCAAATTAAAAATTCAAATTCAAATGTTTATTCAGGTAAAAATACATACATAGATGAGTTATAAATTTTTGATTTATAGATAGAGCTAGTACATACAATACCTAAATCAACTAATAAGCACAGCGTGTCGGGCAAGGTGTGGGGGAAAGAAACACTTAGATTAAAACTTAATACTAATTGAGATTAAAATATAAATTGTATTGAAAATTAAAAAAAAAGGGGGGGGGGACATGGCAGTAATCAGCAATTATACAAGTTGGTCAACAACCAGTGTTGCCTGAAATTAGCAAGACATGGGTTGACATTTAGGAGGTAAGGTAGGTTACAAGGAGTTTATTAGGTAGTATTTAGTTTTTCTCTTAAACTGGTTGAGAGAGGTACAGCCTTTGACATGATTGGGAAGGTCATTCCACATTCTGGGTCCCTTGATTTGTAGAGCTTTTCTAGTTTGGTTAAGTCGTACTCTTGGAATATCAAATAGGTATTTGTTTCTGGTGTGGTGCTCATGGGTTCTGTTACAACCTTCTAGGAAGCTTTTGGGGTCAGGACTGGCATTACACTTCAGAGTTTTAAATATATAGAGTACACTTGAGAGGATGTGCAGTGACTTAATATCTAACATTCAGAGATTTAAGTAAGGGTACCGAGTGCTGTCTGAGGCCAGAATTTGATATTGTTCTAATAGCAGCTTTGTGTTAATTAGAGGACGTAGATGATTTTGGGTAGTAGAATCTCAAGCACAAATACCATTGTTGAGATAAAGATTGATGAGAGAGTAATAGTGCGTCACCAGGGCAGGACGAGGTACATAATATCTGATCTTAAAAAGAATGCCAACAGTTTTTTATTTTTTTATATATATTTAGAATGTGTCCCTGAAAATTCAGCTTGTTATCGATGAGGACACCAAGGAATTTACCATTTACTTTGTTATTAATTTGGGTATTGTTTATTCTTAGATTAATTTGATCTGAGGATAAATTACTAAACAAAATATAGAAGGTTTTGTCAATGTTAAGTGTGAGTTTGCTAGCAGTCAGCCAAAGATGGACTTTATTTAGTTCAGTATTCACTGAAACATTCAGAGCAAGAGGGTCAGGACTGGAGAAAATGAAGGTTGTGTCATCAGCAATTAAAACTGGTTTGAGGTGTTGAGAGCCATTTGGTAGGTCATTAATGTAGATGAGAAAGAGGAGAGGGCCAAGTATGCTGCCCTGTGGAACACCAGTGTTGTTGGATAGGGTGGGAGAAATGGAATTATTCACAGAAATATACTGGAGCCTGTCAGTCAGGTAAGACTGAAGGTATTGGAGTGACCTCTGACTTCATAATGATGTAATTCAAGAAAAAAGTTTTTAGTAGTTGACAGTGTCAAAAGCCTTACGTAGGTAAAAAAATAACTCGTCAGGGAACTCCTTTTTATAAAGAGCTGCATGTATCAAGTTAATCATACTAATCAGTGCATCGTTAGTGCTTTTTTTGGGTCTGAAGCCATATTGTCAAGAGCTAAGTATATTGTGTTTGGGTAGATAAGATTAAAGCTGCTAGTAGATTAGCTTTTCAAATATTTTTGGCAAGGTTGGCAGAATTGATATAGGTCTGAAATTGCCGACATCAGTGAGATCACCACATTTATGGACTTGGGTTACTCTTGCTTTTTTAAAATATCCGGAAAGGTTTGGAGTTCAAGTGATTTGTTGAAGAGCAATGCAATGGCAGGAGCTAGAAATCTGGATTTTTTTTCTTTTGTAAATTAGAGTTGGCCAATGTGCATAGACTACTATTTAAAAAAAAATAATTTAAAAATGGATATTCGCTTGAAGGCAGGCTAAGAGCAGGGAAACTAGGACGGAGTGAAGGAACGGTGCCCAACCACTTGAATTATCGAGGATTAAACGGTGACCATGCAAGAAGCGAAGCCGGCACTATACCGACCAGTCCAAGCTGAAGGACGAGAAAGAGTGTGTTGGATGGCGCTTAACCCGGAGGTAAGGAGAACCTCACTGGGAAAAACTTTTGCCTGTCAGGCCGACGTCAACGCCGTAGGCCAGGAACGCGAGGATGCAGAAGGCCCCGCAGGCCTGGAGCTGCGCAGAGTGCGATGCTTTCACAAAGATCAGTATGCCAGCTGTCAGGAAGAGTATGGCCAACACCGCGCTAATCACAACTTCCTGTAAGACAAATGTAAATATATTAAGAGACAATATCAGGAGCACAAGAATTGAAAATATCATTCCACAACATGACTCTTCACCGCAAAAAGAGAGGCGCTACGAGTGTCTCGATAATGAGGCACTCGCGAGGTACTGTAGCGGGGGAGACACTTGGGTGAGGGGCACAGATCTGATTAACGTGGGAGAGAAACACCCAAACTGAGTGAGAGTTTGTTGGGAGAGATCACAACAAACTTTACTGACTTTCTTTTATAGATGACGTCTACATGAAAGGAATTTATCAAATATATTTCATCTGAGATCTCATGAAGATTTTAGAAAAAACACTTTGTCTGCAAATGTCGTTACTCTACCAACTAAGTGGTTCGACATAAATTGGAGAGAATCAACTTACCGCGTAACGCGACGGTCCTTGTAGCAAGTTCTGCACCATGACGGCCACGATGGTAATGATGGAGGCGACTGTGGCTCCAGTAGGCACGTGCAACCAGAAGTGAATTGCGTCAAACCAGGTGACCATTGCCACCATAACGAACACCTGTAGGGAGAGACTACAGTCAACCAGGTGGTTTCTCATTGGTCGCGTAAGGCCTCGCTCTCCAGAACACCAACACTACACCAGAGCACCAACACTGCACCAGAACACCAACACCACACCAGAGCACCAAGACCACACCACAACACCAACACCACACCATAACACCAACACCACACCACAACACCAGAGCACCAACACCACAACACCAACAATACTATGGCCTAAACTTACCAGCTCGACTATCCGGACAATTCCTTGAGGAGTGGTCAGGTATGAAGTATTAACCATGTTGAGGATTCGTGGTGTGGGTGTTGGACCTGGGCGTGCGGGTACGCGTGGACGGAGGCGAGGAAGTGGGCGTACTGATGACGAGGGCGGCCGGGTGTCTGGTACTTATCCACCTTCCTTATCTGTGTCCATAGCGAGGAGGTGGCATCGTTCCCTCATCACCTGGATGGCGGTCGTGATATGACGATATATCTAGAGTGTGAGGTCCTTCCGGTGTATGACGCAAGACAGGTTTATCAGTCACTCATCACCAAGCCCTCACTACCAGCCCCTCACTACCAGCCCCTCACCACCAGCTCCTCACCACCAGCAGTACATCCACACAGTAGCACACTGTGATGTGGTGGAGGCTGACTCCATACACAGTTTCAAATGTAGATATGATAGAGCCCAGTAGGCTCAGGACCCTGTACACCAGTTGATTGACAGTTGAGAGGCGGGACCAAAGAGCCAGATCTCAACCCCCCGCAAGCACAAATAGATGAGTACAAATAGGTGAGTACAGTAGTACATCCATTCCACAGTACACACACACACACACAGCAGTACACCCACACGACAGTACACCCACACATGGTACACGCACACAACAGTACACCCACACAGCAGTACACCCAACGGTACACCCAGACAACGGTACACCCACATACCAGTTGACACCATATCAGCTTATCTATAGAATAAGCACCTCGGACATAGCGGGCTAAGGTAAGTGAATAGTCACTGATTCATATATATTTATTACAGGCCAATGTACATCACGTCCGTTCCAACGTACAGCGTTCGCACAAGGCAGCTTAAGGCTCGACCCAAGTACGGAATCAATGATATGAAAAAAATGGGTTCTCGAGGGCGAGAACTTCAACAAGGTCGAGTCGCGGTTCCCGAAGCCCATGGGGACATCAAGAGAACGGTCCTTGGTGAAGTGTAGTTTCCTCTTACAGGGCGCTGGACGCGTCAGGCAGCACCTGGACATAGCACCCCGGCTCCGCGTAACTAAAGACGTTGATGTAGCCGCAGCGAGCCGTGTGGTAGACGGTGTCGTAGGGCTCTGAGCTACCATCCACACCGTTGCAGTGTGGCACCTGTAGAGGTCAGGTGGTTATGGAGAGGTCAAACGCACGGAATCAAGGGGGGTAGTAAAATGAGGTCAGATCAGCCAGCTACAAATAAAGATATTATATATATTAAACATAACTACACACACACGTTATAGTTGATACGTTATAGTTAGGTAAGTGAGTTTTGTGTGTTCAAAGAGTCACACCTGTGACTATCACGGGGAAAAGATCAACTGACTCAAGAACAGATCATACGAGGTGAAAAGTCCGGATGAACACGGTCTACACCTCACCATACATGGCAGGTAAAGTTAAAGGGGCTTGGAATGGGAAGGTAACTGAACGAAGGAGAGGGACCTGGACGAAGGAGAGGGACCTGGACGAAGGAGAGGGACGTGGACAAAGGAAACATACCAGGGGAGGAAATATTGGAGGCAAACCCATAGAGAAGGGAGTTGCAGCACAGGTCTATTAATGGCTCAAGCAGAGCCCAAAAGCTGGAGTTAGCCCACCGCAAGAACAATTACCAAAGTATAGCTAGGTTAATACAGCTACGTAGATCCATAGGGTCGAGTACAGACCTGGTCGACGTCAGGTTCCAACCCTGATGATGTCTGAGAAAGGTAGGACTTTAAGTGGAACCAGCCCAGGTCCGTCTCCGCGCAGTCCATAATCATGTCCACCATCCAGTAGTGTTCTCCGAACCTATAGGCACAAAGAAGTTTTTTTTATAACAAAATCAGTCGTTTCATCTTTTTCCCTCATGGGTTAGATATAGGGACGGAGTTTGAGTCAAGAGAAATGAATGATAAACAAGTTCTGGCGAATGGTATGACCAGAGAGTACCTGCTGCTCTTTATTACAAGTCTTCTGGTCGTCCACCAATTTGGACAAGAGGGGGACCTTGAGATTTTTTTTACTCGTGTTCAACAATATTGATCATCTGACAGGGCCTGTGTGTTCCTATGTCCACTCTGAAAACTTCGCCAGTGACAAGTTTACTTAATTCGATAAATTAAGTAAACTACCCAATAAAAAACTAATTGATGAACCAGTTACAGAGTTTGCTAACATGTACAATTTCAAAATAAGCTCAGGAACTAAATCTTTTATTAGTTATCCTAACCGAATTTGTTATCAAGTTACAAGTGGGCAGTAGTCTAATTACGGTAGTGTGGGTCATGTTACAGTGACCATGAACTAGATCAGTAACTTGGGGGATGGGGAGCTTACTGTGTGTGTACTACCTACACTTCCCAAACTTGAGATACTTGGCCAGGATTTTTGGTAATATGACATCTTTAAACATTTTTCTGAACAACAGAGATAAAAAAAAATTGAAAATTTTCACACTCAATTACAATTTCATCTTCGTATCTCATTGTACACCCCTGCCTATTCACTGTACACCCTGCCTATTCACTGTACACCCTCTCTATTCACTGTACACCCCTGGTTACACACTGCCCGCGCTGGTAACACAATGTACATCCTGGTTACTCACTGCACACACCATGGCTGTACTGTACATCGTAGCTACTCATTGTACATTGTGGTGACTCACGTGTTGAGTTCTTGGTACTCCGGAGCGCTGGGGTTGTTGGTGGTCCAGACAAGGGGAGTGCCGAAGGCCTGCACACCGTTGTAGTTACCCTGACCTTCCTGGGCACCGTACCAGTCCAGTTTGGTGTCGCCTTGCCGCCAAGCGTTGTATTTGTCGTAGTGCTCGTTTGTGCCCAGTTTGTTGACGGTGATGTCCAGCGAACAGGGGTCCGACTCTGCGTCAGGCTTGCAGTCTGTGGGTGTAGACGGGTAGTGGTGATGGTGGACGGGTAATGGTGATGGTGGTGGGAGGGTTGTGGTGGTGGTAGGGTTGTGGAGGTGGTAGGGTGGGGTGAGTGGTAGTGGTTGTGTGCCTATAGCCTATCTTAATATATTCCTCGCTTAGAATTGTTCATATGGTTCTTACTTTGACCAGTCTTGTGTATGTTGCTGTCATTGTCGACTTATGTGAGTGTCGCTAAGATTGTGCTGCCTATAATTGAAGACATTTATTTATACAACAATATAAGATAGTTTCCTGTTCTTGTATTATATTAAAGTAATGAATAAATATTGAGGACATACAATGAGATGGAACCCGCGTCCCTGACTACGCAGACGCACGCACTACTGGGTGTCCGAGATCTGTCACGCGGGTTCGATTCCATCCCGTCTATCGATTTCACTGTGTATCTAAGTACTGAGTTGTTCTCCAGCATCTTTCTTTCATCTCAAGTAAATTTCTTACTCACTTCTCTTACAATATGTCAGCCCATTAACTCACTAACGATTACTATCATTATTTGGGCGGCCAAATATTCCGGCACCGCTAGACACGGGAGGTGAGGCAGTGCTCCTAGCGCTCCCGCCCCGGTAGCGGTGACCAGCAGGGACAACACAGGATTAAGATTATGAAGAGTAAGCACTTCGGTGTAGCAACAGCCACTTCCCTGGCACGTATGTCTCATCTGTACAACTTGGTAAGGTAATACAGTGTAGGTGTACTGATGAACACTTGTGACCTGGGGTGTATACGTGTCCCCAGTGATCTGGGGTGTACATGCGTCCCCTGTGACCTGGGGTGTGTATGTGACAGTGTGTATGGGTGACCTGGGGCTCACCTGGGCGGTGATTAGTGTCGATGCCTCCGATGATGAACAGGTCCTGGCCAGGGTTGGTTTGCTTGTGAATGAAGATGACCGTCCTGACCTTGCCTCCGTAGGCAGGGGTGGTGGGCGCCTCTGTGGTGGACGTCGTTGTGGTGGACGTCGTTGTGGTGGACGTCGTTGTGGTGGACGTCGTTGTGGTGGACGTCGTTGTGGTGATCACTGGAGACAAACACAAGGTCAGAGTAAACGAGAGGTTTAACCCCAAAACTCGATTATTACACATTCATGCCCATATAGTGTACAGAGGTACATCAGGGCCTGCATGGCAATAATAAGCTAGCTAATAAAACAGGGGTTGGAATACATTATTATTAAAAACATTACTGGGGTCGGGGGGTGGGCACTTCCTCACCACCAGTGGGCACTGAAATGCCTTACTTTGAAGTGGGTACAATACTGAGCCTTACTAAGGTTCGGAGTGGATAGTACAGAGTGCCCTAGTACTACCAAAATGGATCGCACAGTAAGATCTGCCAAACTATATACTGTATATATATTTAGCTGTTATGTAGTGTTGTCTCTGCCGCAGTTCTGCTGGACGTTAGTGCAAGACACGAGTGCAATAAGGCATTACCAAAGGTGGAGGCTAGACTGTGCCTTACCAGGAGTGCCGCAGCCGACGCAGAAGGCGAGGATGGGTTCCTGGTAGTCGAAGATGGCGATGCGAGCTGTCCCGTCCTCGGCCACTGTCACGCTCCTGGTGCAGTTGCTGATGAGCTCACAATAGTCCCCCGCCGGCAGCCCTGATCAGCGGCAGACACCAGGTAAGGAAGGTAATAATATTAATAATGATGACAGTAATACTACTACTAATAATAATATCATAATAATAAATCATAATAAATAATAATAATAATAAATAACAGTTATTATTGTTTGTATTGTATTACAGAATTGTGGCTCCCACTCCCCCAAAAATGTATTTCGAGAATTCCCCCTCTTTTTTTTTGTTTATCCTGACGAAGTTATACAAAACATCTGTAGGACCCACGAAACGAAAGGTAACAAATATAATTGCCTTAGTTTGGGTTCAGCAGCAAAAATATAAGCGTATTTTTCGTAACTCAAAATGGTGACCGTTCAATGTTTCCACAAGTTCATTCAGGTAGGTTATATTGTTATAAAAAATAGCTCTAAAATCACATATATTATGAAATAATCAAGGAATATATTGTTTAAAGAGGCCTCCGAGGTTGGCAGAAGTGCATGGTGAGGCAGCACGTGACATGGTCTCTCAAATTTTCACAACATGACCATTCTCTCCCCAGGGACTTCAAGCCGTGGGAAGCGCAAGAAGTCTCTTACATTTCCTGAATTGTTCTCCAGTTCCAACGTTTGATGACATTCAGGGATGACAGCCTGGTTAATAAGATATATAAAATAAAGCCACAAGGAAAGTGTGTGTAGCTACAGACTTGACAAGACACTCACCAGTCTGGAGCACCTTGTCTAGCGAAGCCAACTTGGACATGGCGAAGAAGCCCAGGTGTCCGCGGGAGAAGGCCACGTCCTCGTCCTCCTGGTACCAGTTGTCGACCTGAGTCCCTGACACAACGTTCCTGAACATCACCTGAGGGTTCACACACACACACACACACACACGGGATTTGAGTCCATTGCCGACGATGTAGCATTAAATAAAGTTTATACTGTATATATTTTCTTTGGAAATGTGATTTTTGTCATGTGCACATCAGAACGAAGCTGATTCTCTCTGGCTGCACTGCCATCCTCAGACCAAACCACATAGCAAGCCAATGCTCCAGTAGCATTTTCCGCATTGGAAACCCCATTTTATCACTCCTTCCCCCTCTTTACTGACCATCTGGACGATGGCGTTCCAGCGGTGTTCGCAGACCCAGCCGCCACCACAGGAGCCGTCAGCACTGATGGGCACGCTGTCAGTGCTGCCATTATCGTCGCTACCCGGGGGGCCCTGGTCGTTGTCGTCGAACTCGTAGCTGCTCATGACGCGCATGAAGCCGTAGTCGTATGCCAGGGAGAAGGTCACACCCATCTTGTACTCCCTAGCCTACAGTGAACGTTAAAAAGTCATATAATCGAACTTTCGCGCTCAAAAGCTGATTTCTCTCCCAAATTCATTTAAATTTATTAGTAACTAAAAATAATACAACAAAAATTATCAATACTGCCTGCTACAATGTACCTTTTTCATCTTACCTGATATGTTAGGTTAAGGACCTGGCCGAAACGCTGTGCGTGTTAGTGACTTTGCAAGAATGTAAAAATACCAATCTTGGGTAATCTCACCAACCCATTGTACCCTCTTATGAATAACAATTATTATTATTATTCTTAGCATTATTATTACTTGCACCGCCTACCCCCTGCCTGCTGCCGTCCCCTCTCCTCACCTGCTTGTAAGTCAGGGCATCGACTCCACTTGGAACACCTCTCTGGGTGTCTTGGTTATCAACGAAGACTAGAGCCTTGTAGGAGGGCGCCATCCCCACCTGGGAGTCGTACACGTCAGCCAGCAGCGTGAAGTTGTCTACTCCAGCCGCCACCCGCGACGAGAACCGGAACTCCGTCGTCAGTCCTGAGGTGGCCACCAGATACTGAGTTATCTCCTCACTCGTCGTGCAAGATTCGTGACAAAATTTAGTTTGGGAAAAATACGAGTTCATTTATACTTGTAGTGCTATATTTCAAAATTTATACCAAAATTGTCAAAAGTGTTGCTTATGTATATCAAATGTGCTAACAGTGTAGTTCACTTGTACCAAATGTACCAAGAGTGTTGCTCACCTATACCAAAGTAGTCGTTGACGGAGATGGGATCACTGCCCAGGTCGAGGACCTCGTGGTAGACGAAGGGTCTCTGGCCGCTGGGGAAGCCCTCTGCTATGTTGAGGTTGTTGGTGAGGCTCTGGATGGCTTCCAGGTCCTGCCGGGGGAACCAAGTCACCTCAGGTCCGGTTCTGTGTTACCTCCTTGTCATGCTGGGGCCTCCCATGCACCACGACCCGGGATGTTGCATGGGTAACCCTTCACGTTATGGGGGACCCAGAGGTGCCCCTCACACTACAACACTCACAATTGTCATCCCTAACAACGTTCCACACTCGATCCCTCGCTTTGTTATCTTCAGGACAAGCAAGCTGGGCTTACCCATAACATGAAGTTACTGGTCTTGGTTCCTCCCCCCTCCCCACACTAACCTCAGGCCAGATATACTGCCCCCTTCCCCCCCCCCCCCGAACACACTCACCTCAGGCCAGACATACTGCCCCCCCCCCCCCACACTCACCTCGGGCCAGACATACTTGGCGCTGCCGACCCTGAAGCCCATGACACCAATGTCCAGGAGGAGGGTGAGGTAGGTGGAGAGTTGGTCCCTGACGGCGTCGCTGGCGGTGTACAGGTCGGTGAGCCCATCCAGGTAGCAGTTCCTCACCTCCGTCACCTCGCTGTAGTTGTGCACCCCTCCTGCAACACCACTCGCACACTTCAACACCTGCAACACCACGCACTTTAACACCTACAAGACTGCACACGCAACACTTCCAACACACCGTTTGGTTTTACTTTAAACGCTCGAGGCGTTTGAGAATCTAAGCAAATTATAGCAGTTGAGTTGAGGCCTTAAGTATTTACTTGAAGGGCACTTGTGTTGGTGGGGAAATGTGTAAATACAGCGCCAGGAAAGCTTTACAACAGCAACACTCATGCCTCGCAATACAAGGTATATGACTTTAGATTCAATTAATGGTTGTATGTATCTCATTATACACTATACAGTATTTTAATGTCGGTAGTATTGAAAATATTGCTATTGGCATTTTTATTGTTTAAAAAAATGTTATAATCGACATTTGCATTTTGACTTACATTATTTATATATATATATATATATATATATATATATATATATATATATATATATATATATATATATATATATATATATATATATATATATATATATATATATATATATATATATATAATATGCGAAAAAACCACATGTGAAAAATAGAGAATGATAAACGCGTTTTCGGCTTAATTCATCTTCATCAGAGCAAAGTAGAAAGAACTTCTTTCTACTTTGCTCTGATGAAGGTGAATTAAGCCGAAAACGCGTTTATCATTCTCTAAAAAATCAACCCATACATAATGAAATGGATAGGTTTATCATTTCATAATTTTTTTTTAGAAAAATATATAAATTTGGGAAAACTTGGCTTATTAGGCAAATTGGGCCTTGCATAGTAGGCCGAGTACTGCGTTTTGGCTACTAGATTATTAAACTTATCTGAAAGGATAATTAAATACCCCGGACACCAACCTGTGTTGGTGTCCGGGATCTATGAGGTGGTGCAGAACCAAGAGGGAAGAGGAAGGCACGGGGTCGCTTTCATCAACAGTCACAGGTCACGAGGGCGTAGTGAGGGGAACTCACCGTCAACAGAGGGACACAGGTCACGAGGGCGTAGTGAAGGGAACTCACCGTCAACAGAGGGACACAGGACACGAGGGCGTAGTGAGGGGAACTCACCGTCAACAGAGGGACACAGGTCACGAGGGCGTAGTGAAGGGAACTCACCGTCAACAGAGGGACACAGGACACGAGGGCGTAGTGAGGGGAACTCACCGTCAACAGAGGGACACAGGTCACGAGGGGTGAAGTCCTGGCTGGAGTAGGGGACGGCAGGGTACTGGAGATCATCAGCATTGAAGTAGGAGCCGCCCGAGCCGTAGCCAGATGTTCCCTCCTTGGCCATGTTGTTGATCACCACGTCCACGATGGTCCTGCCAAGTGCCCGCGTGTGTGTTAGCTGGCTAGTGCACACTTCACGCACACACCCTCCCCTCCTCACCACACACACAGGCTAATGCACACTTCACGCAACATACACACAAGAAAAAGAAGGTAGTGATTCAACTGTATAAATCTTTGGTGCGCCCCCATTTGGATTACTGTATGCAAGGCTGGAGACCTCATCTTCAGAAGGACATTGCTGCTCTGGAGAAGGTGCAACACCGGGCTACAAAAACTCATTCCAGAGCTAAGTCAGCTCACGTATCAGGAACGGTTGAGGGCCACAGGGGTAACAACAATGCAAACCAGGCATGACAGGGCGAGTCTCATTGAAACTTAAAATTCTGAAGAATTTGGAGGATGTTGATTTTGAAAATTTCTTCAAAACGTCAGATGTAATACAAACAATGAGCAACAGTTTCAAGCTCAACAAGCCACAATGTTGGACTGAGAACAGGAAATGCTTTATCACCCACAGGGTTATAAACCCGTGGAACAGCCTACCCGCCGATGCCGTAAATGCCAAGATATAACTTTTAAAGTACAGTTGGAAAAAATCATCAAGGCAATTGGGGAGTACCTTTGACAAGCCGCCGGCGTCGTGTCCTCGTCGAGGCTACTAGTGTTAGTGGCTTTCAGATAAATTCACATAAACACACATGCGCCCCCCCCCCCCCTATCACCACCACACACACACACACAATAACATATACTCTCTGCTTCACACAGGAACACAAGGCAAGAGACAGTCACTTGAAAGAATGATTCTCTTCAGCAGACTCCGATCGCAAGACCTCTACGTTAACGCCGCCGCATCTCACCCTACCGGAGCTTCTCCCATTCCTTGTTATACCCAGGATATACCTGTGGCTGTTACGACCCTGGGTCGTAGCGCTTCTGTTTACACATGCATAAGGACCATTCACTCTCAAAATATTTTAGTTATAGGCCCCTGAATGTTTGGGATTAAGTGTGGGATTTTAGTTACTTAAATTATAGAGTTATTTAGATAAGTTGGGGTTTCAGAAGAGGAGAACTCTATAACATCTAATATTTAAGAGAAATGTCCCTCAGTTTGGCAAGATGGCGGTCCATCGTTGCCTTACCAGACGTAAGAGCATTATAGATCCTCAGAGTCGTAAATACACTGCTAATATTCTGTTAGTGTATTGTAAAGCTAGTATGTTAGTTATACTTAATTTTATATTGTATGGGAAGTTAAGTAAATGTTACTGTCCAATCAGTTAATGTTCTAATGACTGAAATAAATAAGTCTTCTCCATACAGACTCCCTACTGGTTGGACATAGTGCTGTGGGCTCTCTCTCCTTACCTCCTTCCACTCCCTGGTCTCCGTACCCCCCTGGTCTCCGTGTCCCACTGGTCTCCGTGTCCCACTGGTCCCCCCCTGGTCTCCGGTCTCCGTACCCCCCCTGGTCTCCGTGCCCCCCCTGGTCTCCGTACCCCCCCTGGTCTCCGTGCCCCCCCTGGTCTCCGTGCCCCCCTGGTCTCCGTGCCTCACCTGACCCCCACGGCGTTGCAGCGCTGCACCATGTCGATGAACTGTAGCGTAGTGCCAGAGCGGGACTCGAGGCGGTAGGAGACCGGTTGGTACCTCTGCCACCAGGGGTACCCGCTATCCTCCAGGACCACGTGCTCCGCGGCCGGCGACACCTGCACCAGCACAACCTGCCCTTAGTAAATCAATTCTCACCACCACCATTTATGTTGCAAGCCTGTAAAGTAGCATGTAATCATTACATGTTGCTCGTGTGGCACCATCATAGCTACGACTGTCTATATTATGGCACCTGGACCATTAATACCCTGTACTCATGTCGCTAGTATGGAATATTGCCACCATCACAAAGTCTGGGGTTAGTGCCAGAACTCCGCTGTATACAGTCAGTGAAGGTGAAACATATTAATTAGAGATGGATTGCATTAGTGAGTGGGGGGAGGTGTGTGCAGGCTTACATTGTGGGGGAAGGTGTGTGCTGGCTTACATTGTGGGGGAGGTGTTCTGGCTTACGTTGTGGGGGAGGTGTTGGGCCTTCTCGTTGGAGGCGTGGGAGGAAAATGACTGACCTGGACGGCGCAGAAGCCGGCGTCAGCCAGGAACCTCTCGCATTCCTCCGCCACGTCCGTCCATTTCCACTCGAAGAGTTGGACGATGGTTTGGCGTCCGCCACAGGAGGGCGAGTCGTACCCCGACACTCCTCCCACTAACACCAACCCTGCCAACACCACCAAGCTGCAACACACATTCAACATCAGGAGTGACGCCTTGCGTCATCTGCAACACAACCTTCAGAGCAACGCAACATAGATAGTCATTAATTGTTTTTGTCTGTTCAATAAACTATTCTAATGGAGTAATATTAAACAGTTTCGTCACTAACGACAATAAGGCACCGCAGCCTAGCAGGACACCACAAGCAAGTAATTATTAAAGTTAAACCATTTGGGTTTATTGACAACTGAGGTAGACAGCAGCGTGGTGCTACCCTATTCTGTACAACGACCCTATTCTGTACAAAGACCCTATTCTGTACAAAGACCCTATTCTGTACAAAGACCCTATTCTGCACAAGGACCATATTCTGTACAAAGAATGGCAGGGTGAAGATCAAGAGCTACCTATAAGTTAGTTAGTCTTGCATGGGATGTGAGTCTTTGGGAACAGCATGAGAATATTTTCGAATATCCATGATTGAATGACATAGTTACAGAGCTCAAAGCATCTCGTGCCATTTGGTTTAAAACCATTCATAACTGAGTATTCACTAATATAGTGTTGAGTGGGTTCTAGCTCATATTCACATACATAGTTTACATTTGGAGTGCTCACTGCTGTGAAATTCACTATCTGAAACCACCTGCCATAAGCAAACGATATCGCACCCAAATTCTGGTAATTACAATATATGCCACACTGGGGGAGGTTTTATTTTGTCTGATCATAGAGTGCTCAGCTCCCAACACTACTGTTTATACTAGACTTTTGAGCCCTATGCATGTTAGTGATAAATCTTATATCAGATCTTGTTTCTTGAAGTAGTGTAGTTTTGATAAGAGAGAGACTGGAATACTCAAGTCCAGTTCTATATCAAGTCTCTCAGTGCAAACTGTCATGTCTGTATCATCATGTGGATAATACCTATGTGAGATGTTAGCCATCATATCGATAGTCTGCAAGTCTTTCTCGTTGCTTCAATTATATTATATTAGATTGGGTATCCGGCGGCGCCCGGGTCAATCTCCTCCCTCCCTCCTCACCAAATCTTGCCCCTCCCCTTTCTTTCCCGCCCCTCCTGTCTCTCCATGCATTAAGCGTCAAAGTGCATAAGCGTCACACTTTGAATGGATTATCTAGTTCCGTATATGCAAGGATATAACTTTTGTATCCAGTAAAGTAAATCTTTTTTTATATCTGATATGAGATGCAACCAATGTTGTATTTCTGTTATTATGGGATTAGAAGGGTTAGAAAATAAAATAACTAGTATAATATTTTAGTCAACAACAATAGCATATAACTGCAGACTCGTTAAAATTAAATTTCTCAAGTATATAAAATTCGGCAGTAAAATTTGCTTTCAGGAAAGAAGTCCCATCAAAGTTATATCTGGTAAAAATAGCTGATAAGGCTACCCCATCTGTAAAGCGCCAAGTATATTAAAATGCTAAATTTAAATCTGCATTTAATATACTGACAGGAGTAAAGGTCTTTAGAGAACATAAATACACTCGTCGCATATAACTGTAATATCTCATAAAAACTTAATAACTGTTTTTTTTATAGCACGTCAATGAAACTGAATATCTATCGGTGTTAACATAAATTATTTAACTCATGCTCCTAGAATGACAGTACTGTAGCAACAATTTAGTGGAGCCTGGTCAGAGGCCGGATCGCGGGGACCTTGAACCCTGGAATTAACGCAAGGTAATGTACAAAATAATGCTGCAGCTAACAATGTTCACGTTTTGTACCATTAATGTCGAAGAGGACACAAGAACGTGGGCATTATCATTCCTAGGCCAAGTATAGCATATATATATGTACTGTAGTAGGCCTGAGACAGGCTAGGTCAGGTTCCTCAGATACATTTCTAATATTTTTGTAAATCATTTGAGCTAATTAAATCAAACAACACGTGAAAATATTAGGGGTCTATCAGTCAATTTTTGCATATTTGACCAAATAATTTCTATTAAATACTAAATATTCACAGATATTCGATTTTTCTAACCAAATGTAATTTAGCATCCTGAAGAATAATTCAAGTATATATGCTATTACAAAATTCGGGTTTCAAACCAAAAAAAAAAACCTTATCACCGACCCACCGTTACTGGCAAGAAGCCTCGTGAGTAACTAGCATGTGTTGTGAGTTTCAATTCTTACCGTAAATGACTATATCAACCGACCACAAATGATGGGCCGAATACGTATGCCACATAATTACTAGCCATATTACTTATGCCACACAGTGGCAAGCCATATTGATATTCAGAGTTCACAAAGAAAGTTTACATCAAAAAATCTCGAGAGCCTATTTATGCCGTATAGAAGGCGTCGGGGATGGTGCATTTGATTTTAAGCTATGTATAGGCTGAGTATTTATTGTTGACTAACTCTGCTAACAAGATAGTTAGGCAGCCATGTAATATAGAAGGCTAGTCATTGGTGGCCCAAAGTCATTTCCTCATTACAACCACTCTGGCAGAGAACGTAATAACTATTAGTCGCGCAGCCTACAGCACAGATGTGATGTCCCAGAAAATTATGATTATAGTGAATATTTAAGTCACAATAGATAGACCGTTATTACATAACTGATGAGGACCAAAATAATATTGTATTGTTTAAGTGTTTTGCATTCAAATAATGCATAGATCTATAAATCATAAATTCAAATAATTGAAAACAAAAATTTTGTTTATTAAAAAAACACCGTAGTACAACGGGACTGAAACAAAATCCACGATGAAATTATAGGTGTAGGTCTTCTTATACTATGAACGGTATACGTATATGTTTTTAAGTGGCAAATAGATTAACTTGGAATTCCGAGAGCAGACTTACCCGAGCGTTCGCATGGTGGTTTCCCAGTGTTAAATGACGCAGGCGCAGCCAGGTAGCTTGTTCTTACTCATTGTGGCAGCACCCTCTCTTACCCCCACCCCCCTCTCTAACCCCCACCCACTCTCTTATTCCCACCCCCTCTCTTATTCCCACCCCCTCTCAAACCCCCACCCCCTCTCTTATTCCCACCCCCTCTCAAACCCCCACCCTCTCTCTTATTCCCCCCTCCCCCTCGCTAACCCCTACTCTCTAAACCATCAAGCCCATTTCTAATCCCCGCTACTTCCTTTCAACAGTTTATGTACACCAAGACTCAGTACACTGCGTACACCATCAGGACTCTTGGTATAAGCGGTAAACATTGAGTACACCAGCAGGGTTCCCGCTACCACTGTCTGCATACATCAACAGGCTCCAGCTGACTATATATATATATCGTCACTACCACTGTTTACTACGGGCTCACGATTGCCCGTACTATTTGTTCCGAGTAGCTGAATCTAAAACAACAACATTGTTTACATACTTCACTACCACTGTCAGCGTACACCAGTTGGGTGCACGTGACGATCTTGCTTAGGTAAGTCACTTGTTTACAAAAATCAGCTGATGACGAGCCGAGCGGATAAATGTTGCCAAAGAAAGTATTTCCACTTTGATAAAATAAAGATATGAAATGGGTTTATACTATAGTCCACTTCTTCTGTCTTGAGTACTTCATAGTCGTCAATACATTAGTGTATGTGAAATATACTTAGGGCAAACAAAGTTGAATGTTCATAAATGTCACATATTGTGCATGAAGCACTAATCGCGGGTCCCGAAGGAGAGTCTTCTGAGCTCGTTATTTAAGTCAGGGTAAAACATCCGCCACTTCACACAGCAGACAAGAATGGTTCAACATGGGAGCGACCTGGTGTTGGGAGCTGACAGATGGTGAGGGTCTCATGCAGTTGCCATCTTTAGCCAGCACCGGATATATCTCTGCATGCAACTTCAGCTTCAAAGCAACAACTCCAGCTTCAGCGCTACATTGAGCTTGCCGAGACCTGAGCATGTTAGTGAGTACTATAGTGAGTGAGTTAGTGAGCACTCCCCGTACAGGGTATTTAGGTGGGGGAGGGGGGGGGGGGAGGTAGGTTACGTGGGTGCTACTGGAGCTGTGAGACAACACCTGCAGCTGGGACCACCTTGCAGGAGACCATACTCCACTACTACCTTAATCATCACCTTTCATTATCATCTTCCGCACCTACCACTACTTGATAGCTGCTTAATGGGGTTCCAGGAGTTCTTCTACTCCCCAAACCCGGCCCGAGGCCAGGCTTGACTTGTGAGTTTGGTTCACTAGGCTATTGCTTGCAGCGGCCCGCAGGACCACCTATCCACCACAGCCCGGTTGCTCCGGCACTACTTTGAGAAAATTGTCTAGTTTTCTCTTGAAGATGTCCACAGTTGTTCCAGCAATATTTCTTATACTCGCTGGGAGGATGTTGAACAACCGTGGACTTCTAATGTTTATACAGTGTTCTCTGTGCCTATGGCACCCCTGCTCTTCACTGGTTATATTCTGCATTTTGTGGTAAGCCAAAAGTTGAGCAGCCACTTGATATGGTTGGTGAAGCCAGGTTATGATATTGGATTGCTACCGTGTTGTAGCAGTTTAGAGTGTTGTATGCCAATATTTCCATTCTTTGTATGTCATGTTTCATGAATGTTTTTTCGTTTATTAAATGTATATTGTTAGCTAGCTGGCTTTTGCTCTTGTCCTCGTGAGGCTTCCCAGAAAGCAGGAGAGAAAGAGTGAGAGAAAGGATCATGGCTGCGGACAGGGTGGCAGAAAATACTAATTTACAAAAGGGGGATTGAGGAGATCATTCCAAACAAGGAGAGAGTGGGAAGTCACGGTGGCTCAAGAAGGGTGTGTACACAGGACAATGAGGTCAGTATTGGAGCCGCACCCCTAGATATGTGATGTTGAACCCCTCTCCAAGATCAAGAGGCGTACAGGGTGATCTCCTGAGAAAACTTCAAGCACTCCAGAGTTGGCGATGAGTTGACTTGAGAATGGTCCATAAACGTCGTCGTCTCTTCACCTTCTAGTGTGTGGTCTGGTCAAAACTCCAGAGTTCATTACTGGTCGACCGACGGTAGCGGGAGTGTGGCTGCCGAGGTCGGTTGTCTGTTCCGGCAGAGAGTGGTTGGGGGACGTTGTCCACCTGAACGCAAGTAACAGTCTGGTGCAGCAACCAGAGCTCTCTTCGAAGGTTTAAGTTCCATAAGTCCCAACCCCCTCAGGTCAGAACAATACATCACTACCACTCTCTGCATACACCACTAGCACCGTCTGTATACATTACTTCCACTGTGTGCATACATCACTACCACTGTCTGCATACATCACTACCACTGTCTGCATACATCACTACCACTGTCTGCATACATCACTACCACTGTCTGCATACATCACTACCACTGTCTGAATACATCACTACCACTGTCTGCATTCATCACTACCACTGTCTGCATACATCACTACCACTGTCTGCATACATCACTACCACTGCATACATCACTACCACTGTCTGCATACATCACTACCACTGTCTGAATACATCACTACCACTGTCTGCATTCATCACTACCACTGCATACATCACTACCACTGTCTGCAACATCACTACCACTGTCTGAATACATCAACCACTGTCTGCATTCATCACTACCACTGTCTGCATACATCACTACCACTGTCTGCATTCATCACTACCACTGTCTGCATACATCACTACCACTGTCTGAATACATCACTACCATTCTCTGTGTACATGACTACAACGAAGAACAATTCCTCAAAATTAGACCTCAATTGAACATGAAAAATATACACCAGACCCCGAACAATGCCAGACGGACTAATCTTGTCCGTGTTCTTGAGAATCATCTCCGATAAGCGACTTCAAGCAAGGTTGCGCTGTCTTTTTGTTTAGTAATTAAAAATAAAACTACTCTTGTTTTAAAACCTTTTTCTGGGTTATTCAGTTATGTCTGAGAACAAGAACAACGACACAAACCAAGGCAAGGAGTCGCCTTCATCCACCCCTCCTGGAGAGACCTCGTCGTCAGCCCCTACAGGCACGGTTATATTACCGCCACCACCGGGCAGGACCACCACCTCACCACCGGCCAGGACCACCACCTCACCACCGGCCAGGACCACCACCTCACCACCGGCCAGGACCACCACCTCACCACCGGCCAGGATCACCACCTCACCACCGGCCAGGACCACCACCTCACCACCGGCCAGGACCACCACCTCACCACCGGCCAGGACCACCACCTCACCACCGGCCAGGATCGCCACCTCACCACCGGCCAGGATCGACCTCACCACCGTCACCACCGGCCAGGATCACCACCTCACCACCGGCCAGGATCGCCACCTCACCACCGGCCAGGACCACCACCTCACCACCGGCCAGGACCACCACCTCACCACCGGCCAGGACCACCACCTCACCACCGGCCAGGACCACCACCTCACCACCGGCCAGGACCGCCACGTCACCACCGGCCAGGATCACCACCTCACCACCGGCCAGGATCACCACCTCACCACCGGCCAGGACCACCACCTCACCACCGGCCAGGATCGCCACGTCACCACCGGCCAGGACCACCACCTCACCACCGGCCAGGATCGCCACGTCACCACCGGCCAGGACCACCACCTCACCACCGGCAAGGACCACCTCTCCTCCACCAGGCACGGGAGGAGGACAGAAGTTCCAAAATTTGGTAAAGTACTGGGAGGCGAAGGCAATCTTGACCTCCACTCCCAGTCTCGTCACTCCTCCACTCTTACAGAGGAGAACCATCTTCCTCCTCTCTCCATCACCTCTACGGAAGGGTCCCTCTCGTACCCTTCATGCACCAACACGTATTCCACCTCCGGATGAGGTGAAGGTGCAGCCTGGTTCAACAGCATCGCTGGAGAAGCCCTCCATCACACCACCACCACCATCATCACGAGAGGTGAAGGTCGAGCCTGCTCCAACAGCATCGCTGGAGAAGCCCTCCATCACACCACCACCACCATCACGAGAGGAGGTGAAGGTCGAGCCTGCTTCAATAGCATCGCTGGAGAAGCCCTCCATCACACCACCACCACCATCACGAGAGGAGGTGAAGGTCGAGCCTGCTCCAACAGCATCGCTGGAGAAGCCCTCCATCACACCACCACCACCATCACGAGAGGAGGTGAAGGTCGAGCCTGCTCCAACAGCATCGCTGGAGAAGCCCTCCATCACACCACCACCACCATCATCACGAGAGGTGAAGGTCGAGCCTGCTCCAACAGCATCGCTGGAGAAGCCCTCCGCGATCCCCTCTCCACCACCACGTAAGGTGGTGGAGCCAGCTCCAACAAAATCGCTATTGGATATCCCCTTCTCACCACCATCAAGGGAAGAGGTGATTGTGATTCCCTCAATTTGCCCCAATCCTCCACCATTTCGGGTGAACGTTCCAGTGCGAGTGGACATTCCAAAGCAGACGGACGTTCCTGTGAGGGTGAACGTTCCAGTGCAGGTGGAATTTCCAGAGGGGCTGGGAATGCAGAATGATGACTCTGTCACAGTAATAACTCTGGACATCGTGGTAAAGATTCACTACATGGTGAGTGTGAGACAGTCACACAAACATCACTGAGAGGCGCTACCTCTTAATTTGTGCTATATTTTTTTTCTTTTAAATCACCCCTGCAGCCTCACGCATCTGTAAGCTCATGGAAAGAATCCTGAATGAAATCATTCACCATCTCTCAGTGCACAACTCTTGCAAAATCTTCACGTGGGTGAAGATATGGTGACCTCAAATCTGAAGTAGTTTTGCATACCCCCCCCCCCCCCAAAAAAAAAAAAAAAAAAAAAAAAAAAAAAAAAAAAAAAAAAAAGAGTATGAACCTAGGAAACCTGCCTAACCTTTAGAGACCACTGTTCACTAGTCTAAGGGAGCATCTGTATTGCAAGGAATTTTATGTGCATTTAGCTATGCAAATTACTATGGTAGAGAACACTAAGCCCTTTGCTGCATTCAATTGCATCAAAACTGTGGTGCATTACAGTACGAGTGAGGACTGATTGCTTGGTGACAGTGCACATACTATATGTAAGCTTGTACTTCCTGTAAGTTTCTCACTAGTTTATCTCATGATCATTTACATTAGTATTAGCCATATAGCAATGTTACAATTAGATAACTACCCTTGTTACACATTTTTACAAAATTAAAACTATTTGTAACTAGTTTACTTATCTTTCCTCCACACAGATGATCTGTAGTGCAGTGATTTTTCACAATTAATTTACAGCTGACCTGATGAGAGTTCAATTCACAGGCAAGGAGAAACATTGGAGCCCATTTTCTTACACATCATGCCTCAAGTTTTCTTACCAGTAAATAGGTACCTTGGAGCTAAGTGCCTGTTCTGGCTCATATCCTGAGCCAGACAGTCCTGTAGGTCCTGAGGTCCATATCCTGAAGGTCAGTCATTAGCCTAAGGAGACCTCAATAAGCCTTAACAATATGAAGCTATAAACCGGAGTCAGCAATGTCATAATTTATAGCCTTTTACTTTGCAAACCTGTATTAGTTTACAAGTCGTAATTACATTTTATTGTGTATAATATCCACCCTTTTTTTATACCGTGACAACATTGGCAGTACCACAAATTACAAATAAATCCCTCAAGTGTCATTTATCTATCACTACAACACCTGCAAGTCAGAAAATGCACCTGAAGAATGCATTAGTTATATTTCAAAACCATCCACATATTAGGCAATATATCTTCTCCTTTGTATATATTAGAAAGTGCTTTGAAATGAAAAAAAATATGGTAAGAAAAAATACTTGCAAAGGAAAACTAGAATTTTTTTAAAATGGTACGAATGTGGATCAAAATCAAAATGAACATTAACCTAATTTAAGCCTAGCCTAATGGAACCCTAGCCAGGACAAGGTTGTGTCCAGAGAAGGCCTACTTTTGGGAATGAAGCACATAAAATGTTGTACAAGAATGATCAACCTGGGATATCATATACCCGATATCAAAAATTTTATGCTAAATTTAACACCAAATATTGTAAAATAATTTAAAAATTGTAAGTTTACCTAGGTAGAGTAAAGACAATTATATATAATTTGGTATATATTTACAAAAATCACAAGATATTAAATGATTCACAGAATAAGATTTGAAATAATTTAACAATTTTTTTATATCATAAAAAGATGGATTTTACCACAATATGAAGTGGGATATTGTTAATATCCATATTTTATAGGTCTTATTACTTATTAATACAGTACAGTATATCCATGTTCACAGCTGAATACCTGAAAGGCTCTTACTAAATATTACTTCTATGGCTCCCATTGAGTAAGTTCTATATTTTTCTTTAGAGTTTAGCCCAAAATAAATTTGTCTAAATATTTTTAATCCTCGTGATCTGGTGGAATGCCAAGCTCAGCATCAGTCCACTTCGAGACATCAGGATATGGGAATTCACCCTGAAAAATAAATGAAACCATGAGTTGAAATATATGTTACAAATCAACACCACATCTATTATATCCAAGAACCCCCCTGCTATACTGTGTGAATTTTAATTCACTATTAGTGTAGTAACAAAATACTTTTCCAAATGCCTAGGTTACCTTCCAATATACAAGAGTTCTTACATTCTTATGAAGCCACAAGCACTCACAGCATTTCTGGCAGGTCCTTGATCTTAATTTTTCCTAGCATACAACCTACCAAATTGTTTAACAACCAGGTATCCATTCACCTAATTACAGGTAACAGTTCTTCCATTCTTTCCATCCTATAGGAGGAAACTGAGGTGTAGTCACCAAATATAAGCTATCGAGAAGCGAATAGCCAACAGTACAATTTCCACAGCGATTCAGAAAACTTCTGTTCAGACGTTTCGGAGTTACCACACCTCTTCAACCTCAAGAATGTAGCGCACTGTGTATGCAGTTCTAATCGACCCCCAAGATGCTCCAGCTTCGACACGGAACACAGAGCAGACTACGGCCGCATCGAGTTTTGACATTCACGATTCCCCATTGAGCCGTCACGCTCGCCCACATCGAGCTCCGTGACTCCATCGTCACTCAGTTCTTTGCTCTGCTCCAAGATTGACCTCCGAAACAAAAAAGAAATGGGTATCCAACAGCAACGGTGTTTCTTCCAGGCTGAACGCTTAAAGAGGACAGCCCAAGCTCAGTCTGCGTTCCTCCAGGGAACGCACTTCTGCGCATCCCTGGAGGTAAAGCGAGGAGCAGAGCAGAGAGCAGCATAAAAAACAGTGTCATGAAAGAGGAGGGCAGCTCGGGGAGAAGAGGTAGATCAGAGAGGTTGGAAAGAGTAGCATGCAAAGTGAAGAGGTTCCAGTCAGCCTTGGCAAGTTGCCATCTAGAGAAGGAGAGGGGAGAACGAAGAGAGAAGATGGTGACAAGGATGGGGAAATAGTCCCCCGCACTATTATGTAGGTCAAGAACCTGCCAGGTGAAGTCCAAATACAGAGAAGACGAGCAGAGATCAAGATCAAGACAGGAAAGGGTGCAAGTGTGGGAGTCGAGTGGGCTTACCAGAATTCAGAAGAGAAAGAAGAGAGGGACAAAAGGTTTAAGAAGATGGCCTGGGTGTTCGTCAGAACATCACCCCAGAGAGTATGCTGACAGTTAAAATCACCAAAAAGGAGCACAGGCTCTGGTAAGGAGTCCAACAGGTGTTTATCATCAGGAAGAGAAAGTGGGACATTTGGGGGAAGATAAATGGAACAGACTGTATACCATTTTACTCACAAAGATATGGGCCACAGAACACTGAATGGGTGACTGAAAAAGAAGGGGAACGAATGAAATACCAAGACAGTAGAGGCATGGGCCCCAGCAAGAGCTGGAGGGGAAAGAGAAAAGAATAACCACGGAAGTAACCAGGACAAGTGCAAGCATCGGCTCTTGGAGACAAACACAAAGTAGGGAAAAACTGTGCGATCAGAAGCTGGAATTCATGGAAGTTGGCATAAAAACCATAAATATTCCATTGAAGAACAGACAGACAAAAGAGAACAGAAACTCAGATAAGGGAGAAACAAAGGCAAAGTAGAACACAGTAGACTAAGGAAGAACAAGATCAATCAGTGAAATCAGGGCAACAGGGCAGAGGTAAAGCTAGTAAAGATAACCGACACAAGGGAGCGGGAGGACGGACCAGAGGCGAACAGACAAAGTCCGGAGCGGGAGGAGGCAACGGAGAGGGGCGGGCAAGGGAATTGGAGGCAGGAAAGACAAACAGGCGAGGGCACCAGAGCAAGGGTGGCATCCAAGAGAGGATAAAGGACCATGGAAACCTTCCTAGGAGGGACAGGAGACCCCGCCATTGAAAAGGGAAGGGAAGCAGGGATAGTGTCGGAGTCAGGTGAGAAATACATTGAAGCTGCCTTTGCCTCAAGTCTAATAGATTTTGATGTTCCTGGAATATTACTGCCTGCACACTGCTCAAAGGCAGCCCAAGACAGTAATCAATTCCCTCTTCATGAGCAAAAGTCTTGGGTTAACTCATCAGTTCTGTCATGCATTCGGAGACCAATATGGTAAGGAATCCACAGGAGACAAATTCTGACTATCATTGATTATTTCACCATGTGTGTCTAGCTTCAGAAACAAGCACATCAGTTATGCCTTGGGGAACTGAGGGCAGTCAAGGATGACAAGGAGTCACTTACAATTAGTGTGTCATCTTTGGATTCATATACATGCTCAAGTGCAAGGATTATGGCAACCAATTCTGTTTGGAGAGTGGAGGCCCAGTTACTTATAAGCGCTCCACACTCATAGGAGAAGGAACCATCTTTTGCTCTCAACTGCACTTCCAGCTGTACCATGAGACTGGTGCAAGGATCCATCGGTGTAAATAATTTAGAAAGGGAGCCCTCTCTGACCAAACATCAATTTGGCTTAGGGCATTGTATTTTGCTTCTTGTCAAAGCAAGGCTTGTTTGTTAGTCAGCTTCTTGGGTGGGAAAGGGGGTAGAAAGTAATTTTGAAAAGAGTGATCTCCCATGGGGCAAGAAAGTGTTGTTACTGTCACTCTTGGTAGAGGTGATGAATATTACACATTCTGAACAGTGTGGCAGTTTTGATAATCCCTTTGGAGGGATGCTGACCTTCAAGAAAGAAGGCTTGGAGGGCTTCAGTGCAGGGGTTAGGGTGGGTTAGCCCAAGAATCTTGATACCAATTAAGCATTAATTTCAGTGATACGATCACTTACACACGAAGTATTCAGTTCCTTCCTCATGTTTAATAATTTAGTTGTACGGGGACATCATAAGATAATTCTCATGGTTTCGTTTTGCATTTTTTCCAGCCCTCCAAGCATTCTCTCAGGCACTAGAGCAAGCAGGGGTGCAGCATGATCGATCAGAGATCTAATGTATGAAAGATACATCATTTGCCAATTCTCACATTTGTACCATAGCTTGGATGGTAGCCTGCCACAGCCTTGAGAGTACGGAGGGCTGTGGCCCTCTGTACCCTCTACATTGGCAACCCAGTGTGGCTACAACATTACAGTACAGTAGAACCTCAAGACCAAGGTATTTGTATCTGGTTACATAATCGAGCAGAGATCCATCATGCAGCTGCATCTTGCTAACAGCCCCACCCCGTCTGGGTGGGCATCGGTTCAGGATCTTTGTTTTCTCTACCGAGATGACAAAGCCTAGTTCCTGACATGTGCAATACAGAGTTCAGAAGATTTTGGGTGTTGGTATAACCATTTTTGTGAATCAGTATATAATCTACATAGCTAATGATGTGTTCGCCGAGTCTCCTAGTTACCGAGTTTAGGAGACATGCCAGAGAAAGAGGGAATACAGCGAACATGGCACCTAGCCTCAGGAAAAGACAAATGATCACAATGCTTCAAATTGAGAATGGCTTCCTCCAATTTGTAATGCACACATGCACAGAAGGCAGGGGGTTGAGTGAACCTGGAGAACAGAATGGCCTTGGGCCTCAAGGATATACTCGATATCCTCGTGGCAGTCTACGTTCCCTGTCACCAGTCGCAACTTGGTGCAGGAGAAGAATTGTGCCAATGCAGGCATTCAACCGAGCATTTTTGGAGATTCGAACAGGGATCTCCCCAATGCAGGACAACGAAGCCAAGCATGCAGATGCTTTCTGAGAAGGGGTTGAAACAACATGGGTACCAGTACGGGTGGGGTTAAAGGTGACTAACGTATCCACTGAATCAACAAGGTGCATATAGAGAAATAAATCATCAGGACGAGTAGGGTCAACATGACTAGTATCAAAATACTCGGTCCATGTAGCAGGACCAAACAAAGCCTGGAAAGGAGGAGAGCAGAAGCATAAGGCTTCAAAAGGACAGAGGACTGTCCCATGGAGCATCACACCCTGGCAGCCAGCCACCAAGCCCCACTTATGAGAACAACAGGCTGGAAAGGAATAAATTTACCTGAAGGCCACCATCTCTAGTGGCCTTGATAGGGACAAGATATTCTTGTTAAAATGTTCCCCATTATTTCTGAGAATGTTTTCTAGCTAAATTTTTTAACTAAACTATTGTCTTTCGGTTATTTGACTTATGCTTATAGGTTGTGTTTAATATTCAAGTCTTAGAAACACTTATACCTGTAGCATGGTATTGAATTTATTGAAACATTTTCTATTAGAAAATAAACTCAAAGTACCAAATATAATTTTGTTTAATGATAATTTTTTAATAGTGCCAATATGAAAACCAGGTTATTTTCTTTATATAAATGTACAAAACAATATAAAAATAAAATTGCAGTTGTTTAGCCCAAGAAAAGCATGAAGCAGTAAAATAAATGCCACACAGTTCAAAATAAAAATTAAACATTCAAAATATTAAAAGTGAAATGTCATACATATTAAATTAAAACTATATACAATTTAGGTCACAACAACAAGGTATGCCTATGTACCTCTCCTACCTAATGAATATCACAGCCACAAGGCACAAAGATACAGTAAAACAATACATAAAATATATAAAATGATAAACTCACAGTAAGATGCTCTGGCTCTGTAATGAGATGGTAAATAATCCACCACCACATAAATGCTCCCAACAACTCGGCCTTCATCACTGTTATTTTTTGGGGAGCTTCAGGAGCTGTGCGGTAAACCCATCTGTAAAAACAGAGCATTCAGTCTAATGAAAATGACCCTTTCAAATACTGTATTGGCATTATCAGTCAGACTAGCAAATAACAGGTACCAGTGAGGATATCACAGCCTATTGATGGTGAGGGTCCCTGTAATTTTTCCTATCCAATGCTACAAAGAACAAGGGGTAAAAAAATCAACCAAATATTGACTTAAACCCCCTTACCAACCAATGAAAGGGGGCTTCAAAATCAAACTCCTTTCAAGTTGGCCTACAAGCCATCCCCTAAACAAAGCTCCAAAGTCAATTCTATACACAAGCCAAACCCCGTTTATGAATGAAAAACGGTTTATACGACTCAACTGATTATGTTCAAATCACTTCCTGAACAAGTGATTCACCGATGAATTTTGTTCGAACCACAACACTAAATGCTTCACCCGCTTACTACAAATACAGTACTGTATAAATAATTGCCAACAGAACCTAAACACCTAACCAGTGCCTAAATATGTACAATATGGTATATAAAATAATAATTTATATTTGAGAAAATTCCAATTTTGAATGAACAGCATGTTAAAATTTATGAATGCATCTTGGGGGTCGACCGCTGAATGGAATGGACTTGATCTAAGACGGGTTGTGGCCTAGATAGACAAAAGTAGTAACAAACAATATACCTAGGATGGAGCATTTCCTTACACTTGACACACTATTTCTGGTCATCCCCTCAGCTTTCCTAAGCTTTCTCCACATGGAACATTGCAGGAAGAAAAGCTACTCATATGAAACAACTGTAGACAATATAATGCATAAGTGACAATCTAGTCCCACACTGTCAACATGGCTGAGCAACCCAAGAGAAATCAAGCTGCCATCCCCCCCCCCCCCCCCATTGGAACACCAGAATCCTTGGAAACTAATTGTGGTTGCAAACAAGTTCGACAAACTGCAATAAATTGGCCTTGAAGCAGGGCAGCACTAAACGAGGATAGCAGAAGAACCTCAGCAGAAGAATTTTGTGTGTTGACAGAAACAGAACAGAAAATGTTGAATTGAGGCCACTAGAAATACAGGATAATGGCCTCAGGATGCATAAATAAGGCCACAATGGCCAGCATCACAACCAAATCAGTCATGGTTTTCTATAACACATGATGCATATTTGCCAACTAGTCACCCTAGGAGGTTAATGCTTGAGAACACAGCTCAATCAGGAAACACGTGATCAGAGAAACCAAAACACGTGTACTCCTTTGATACATACAGGCCTCTCCTAGTATAAGGCATGAATGCATGCAGCAAACTGCAATAGCAGGTTGATAAAGAGTGCAGCTAGTCCAGGAAAAAAGGTGACAAATCCAAAAACAGGACATTACCCACAAAAGCAGCAAGCAACTGTAAGGGGGAGGGGGGCCAAAAGGTAAAACTTTAAGGACCCTTGTTCCTGGTCGACAACGAGTCTCACAGTTACTTGCCATCAGCTAGTCTAACCGGTAATGGCCGGTAAACAAGCTCAGAAAAGCCATCAAAGAAGCTGCCCAGAAATAAGTATCTATAGTTAAATACTAATGAAGCTACAGTATATAGAGAACCTACAGTATATGATCAATGTTTAATACCTGTACTGTACAAGGCAACTACCAGTGAAATATAAAAAGATGCTCATCATGCTCTTGGGTAGCATATATGGTAGTAAATAATGTAATAATATTCAGAAAACTGCTAATAATCATCGAATCAAATAAAAAACAAATATTAGAATGACAATAAATGCCAAGATTAACACATTGGCACTGAAAGTAGCTAATGCTAGTCCAGAGACTAGCATCCGCAAGTATCAGATATTGGCATCCATTATCCCTGTTTGGTGGCTCATTTCCTGGGACCCCATTGACCATATATATCTGATACTATATTATAGAATATGATATAAAGGTGTCTAAACACTAGTAGTGTTTTCAGTTTTGATTTACTTGCATCTGCCCATACATCTGAAGATTAGAAATTAGATACTCATGTTTGGTTACTTGTTTCTTGGAACCAATAACTTAAAGTCTGTGATAATATGCATGACAGCATGTGCTTAACATTTTCATAGTATTTATGGTGTAATAGAATTTTCAATTTATAAATAATAATAATAATAATAATAATATTTTATTCAGGAAAAGTACATACATAGATGCAGAATTACAAACAATGTTGATTTTTTAGATAGAGCTAGTACATACAATACCTAAAGCCACTAATATGCATAGCATTTCAGCCAAAATTTATTTAACGACACTTGGTTTTAATGTACAGTACTGTGGTATCTGTTTCCAGACACCTTTTATTACCAATAATGCACCACTATGTTTCAACCTGTCATCCTGCAGTTTAAAGGCTGTATATCCACCCTAAAAACAAACAAATCTAAATGTATTAGTGGCTTTAGGCATAGGACTGTATATACTTGATTTATCAACAAATCCAACACTCTTCTTGTAACTCATTTTGCATGTATGTCCTTTTCCCTAAATATTATTATTATTATTATTATTATTATTTGGGCAGTCCCTGTAGTGTAGTGGTAAAACACTCACCCCGCTTTTCGTGACCAATTTAGCCTGGGTTTGTATCCCGGCCGGGGAGGATTGACTAGGAGCCAATCCTTAACTGTATGCCTCTGTTCACCCAGCTGTAACTGGGTACCTGGTTGTTAAACCATTTGGCAGGTCATATTCCAGGGAAAATTAGGATCAAGGACCTGCCAGAAATGCCATGCATGCTAGTGGCTTTACAAAAATGTAATAACTTGTCAGGTCCTGTGGTATAGTGGTAACACACTCGCCTGGCATTTAGTGAGCCCTTTGTCCTGGGTTCGTATCCTGGCTGAAGAGGATTTACAGGGCATCAATCCTTAACTGTAGCCTCTGTTTAACCCAACAGTAAAACAGGTACCTGGTTGTCAAACAATTTGGTGGAGTTGTATTCCGGGGAACGTAGGATTAAGGACCTGCCCAAAATGCTATGCATGCTAGTGGCTGTGAAAGAATGTACGAACTCTTGTATATCTATCTACATAAATAAAAATGTAAATGTTCGTTTGTTCAAAATCTCTAATCTCCGAAAGTTCTTCACCGATTGCTCTGAAATTTTCACACATCATTCCATTCGCATCCAAACATTTAACTTTTTCTTATATTTCAGTGATGGGAACATCAGATCACTATGTTCCCAATTTTTTGATGGGAACATCAGATCATTTGGGAATGCATCGGACAAGGGAATGGTGGGGGAGGACGAGGGAACAGGGGAGGGGGAAATGGTGGAGAGGACGGGGAAGTGAGGAATGGTTGGGAGGAGAAAATGGTGGGGAGGGAATGGTGCTGTGGCTCAGCAACGCATGGTTGGGTACGGCTAGTAAATAAACTTGTATATATAAAAATTATTATTAAAAAGAGCACAAATTAAATTAAACTCCTAAAATTTTATAAAATAAAAAAATATCTATTAGATCAATGTATTAAATCATAGAAAATTTAACGTTATGATGGAATTCTATTAAATACCTTAATTATTTGTGTCTACAGGTATTGTTGAATATGTTCAAATATTTTCTGTTATGTCTGTGGTTAGATTCTACACACTGGTGCAATCTCTAGATCATTTTAACTTTGGAAAGTACCTGTATGTCAAGACTGTGTAAAGACTTTACAAGTGATGTAAACAATTGAAAACCAATACATGGATCAACATTAATATTCGGACGGCTTCGTAAAATATCACTGCCTACATTAAAGTATAAATAAATGTTTTTTTAAGGTTTATGAACATTTGTGCAGAAATATATTAGGATACATATCCTATTATATTATATAAAGCATTAGGTGATAGGATAGGCACCCAACCGTCTCTGTTCCGCCCGGGATTTGAACCTGGAATTCTCGATTGAAGGACGAACTTGACTATACTACCAGGACCCTATGTATTAGCCTAAGCTTGGTTAGGTTTGTTTAGGCTGTTTTGGGTAGTTATATAATTTTAAAATCTGTTAGCAAATAGTCTTGCGTATGATATGACTTAGTCCCTGTACGTAGTATCCACAAATGGATACTGCTTACAAGGGTCATTTCAGACGATTCAACAAAGCTCGTTTGCTTTGTTAAAAGCATATATATATATATTATACTAGGCTGTATTATATTAGGCTGCATTGGGCTCTGGTTAGGTTTATGTTGAGCTAGGTTAGACAAGATAGGTTTCAAAATCAGTTTGCGAATCGTCTTGCATACGATGGGCTTGCATCCTGCACAAGACACCCTGTGTACACTTATTTATTTATATACAAGAGAGGTACACTGGGTTGTGAAAGTATACAACAATCACGTTTAACGTTTTGGGCAGCATGGGTTTGGGGTCCATAAAACATCGAATAAATAAAGTAGTCAATTAGACTATACACAGCTATTTCCCCCCTCCCAAACAAACGTTCAGTACCAAGTAATCACAGCTTAAAAAAAATTAATGCACAAAAGTACCCCAGATTGAGCACAGTATTCACCGTCAAGTTGGGAGACCGGCTTATATAGACGTAGTCAGGTCAACTTACCCTCCTCCATGTCTTACAGTGGAGGTTTTCAATCCTCTGCACAAAGCAGGGACAGTTTTAATCAGCTGTCTGAGTGGTATCATAGTACCCAGCCAGCTGTGAGTCCCTGAGGCAGCTAAGAATCAGCTGGTGAAGCAGCAGCAGCAGCTGGTGATAGTGTGGACGACGGCCGCTAGAGGCTGCTGCTGCTGCTCGCTCAGGCCGGCACAACACCACTTATAACCTTCTATAGCACAGCACCACTTATAACCTTCTATAGCACAGCACCACTTATAAACTATAGCACACCACCACTTATGAACTATAGCACAGCACCACTTATGAACTTCTATAGCACAGCACCACTTATGAACTTCTATAGCACAGCACCAGCCTCCTACAATGAAAGGCCTTATAGTAATTATGTGGTCGATAGTACAAATATGTCGTGATGGACCAATAGGAAGTTTTTTTTAGTTTAGTTCATTTATTATGCACCCCATACCCATCTTGTGGGCGGTAGTGGAAAGGGTTACAGAGGCACATGATGGGCTCAGGGACTGAACCCCACAATTCATTTAGCTAAGCAAGTTACAATCTTGATGAGCTAGTTACAAAATTCAATATAAGTCGTCACATCAACAATGGGTTCGAGATCGACCTCAAGTACAGGTTCTAAATTAAGCAGACTCTTATAGTAATAAATTTGGACAAACCCGATAAGTTGTTATATTTATGTTGCTAGTAAAATATAACACCTATCCTAAGCCTTATACAGGCTATCTGAGGCCTAATATAGTATATATGTGCTATATTAGGCCTAGGAATATTTAAGTTTTATTTTAGCTCTATTTTTCCGGACTACAAAAAATACAAAAAGTGGCTTGCTTGGCCTGTATTACTGAATAATGGTACGATCGACCACATAGTTACAATAAGTGCTATAGAAACAGGAGGACGGGTTGCATAGAAACAATAATTTATACATAGACTAAGTTAGGTTATCTTTAGGTTATCTTTAGATGATTTCGGGGCTTTAGTGTCCCCGCGGCCCGGTCCTCGACCAGGCCTCCACCCCCAGGAAGCAGCCCGTGACAGCTGACTAACACTCAGGTACCTATTTTACTGCTAGGTAACAGGGGCATAGGGTGAAAGAAACTCTGCCCATTGTTTCTCGCCGGCGCCCGGGATCGAACCCGGGACCACAGGATCACAAGCCCAGCGTGCTGTCCGCTCGGCCAGCCGGCTCATAGGTTCGGGCAATTTAGTACATAATTTTTTGTGACGTTGTGGCATCATGGTGCTTGTTCACCGTGATGCTAGAATGTGGTGGTCCCATAGGGGTGCCAGGGGGCCCTGGGGGGTCACAGGGGTATATATATATATATATATATATATATATATATATATATATATATATATATATATATATATGACAATGTCAGACCACGGAGGAAAAATGAAACAGGAAATTTCCTTAAGTACTTTCGTATATTAAATACATCTTCAGAAGGTCATTTTACAGATCGAGTGATGGGTATAAATAGGCAGGAGAGAGTGGTGAAGTAAGGTGAGGTACAATACTTGGACAACGCAGAAGGCCCATTGGCCCATCAGATGCACCCAATTAGTCCATCCGATGTAGCCCAATGGCCCATCTGATACAGCAGACATACAAGCATAATACATAGGTAATTATAACATAAAGAGGTAAATATATACAATAAATTAGTGAGACAAATGTTTTTCAATGATTCTACTTAAATCGCCCTTTAGCTGATCTATTAGAAATGGATCTAAGTTATATAGACCACTGCTAATATTCAAATTACTTTCTTTGGTGATCTGTATCAAAGCGGATTCAATTATGTTTCTGTTATAGGTGCTTTTACAATTTGTTATTGAAGACGCACTCTCCCAATCAATTTGGTGAGCGTTTTCTGACAAATGCACAAACAAAGCATTAGATAATTGGCCATGTTTTACAGAGTATTTATGTTGCGATATTCTACATTTTAAATCTTTAGATGTTTGCCCGACATAGAACTTATTACATTCCTTACAAGGTATTTTATAAATGACGCAATTATCACTACGAGGGCTGTTCCTTACTAATAGCTTACCAACAGTGTTTTCGTAGCTAAACATTACATCTATATTAAAAAGTTTCAAGGCCTTGACAATTTTCCCGAAAGATTCAGACGAAGCTTACAGGAGTTAAGAGCCGATCCTTCCATTCATATAACAAAGGCTGATAAATCCAGCACTATTGTTATTTTAAACAAGGAGGAATATATTTCGAAAATGAATGATCTCCTCCTAGATTCTTCAACGTACACTAAGCTTAGGAAAAATCCTCTTGAAGACATCATCAAGTTCTTCAATAGTAGCTTGAGGAAGTTGTTAAGTAAACATAAAGATCTTCTTAGTCAATTTACTACTTCATCACCTTCATTACCATATCTATATGGTCTTGTCAAGACGCATAAGCCTAACAATCCCATGAGACCTATCATCAGTTCTGTGGGATCCATTTCTTACAAACTCTCCAAATGGCTTACCAAAATCTTGTCCCCTTTGTTAGGAACTATCTCCTCTTCTCATTTGACAAATTCTCTTGATTTAGTTAACAAATTGAATAGTGTTCCTGTCACTCCTGATGTAAAGTTAATCAGTTTTGACGTTTGTTCCTTGTTCACAAAGGTCCGGTCGATGATATTCTCGATTATCTTGCTCGTGAACTAATGAGCCATGACTTACCTCTTTCTGCTGATATTATTGTCAGTCTTGTTAAGTTGTGCATTAAAGAATGTAAATTTACCTTTAATAATGAGTATTATTTACAGACTTTTGGAATGGCAATGGGGAATCCTCTATCGCCATTGCTCTCAAACCTGTACATGGAATTCTTTGAAAAGAAATTTGTTTCAAAAATAACTCCTGGAATCATTCCTTGGTTTAGATATGTTGATGATATCTTGTGTATTTGGCCTTCAGATGTAAACACAGACGAATTTGTAGCCAAACTTAATGACCAAGTCACCTCCATAAAATTTACTATGGAGACTGAAATTGATAAATGTTTGCCATTCCTAGATGTGCTTATTCATAGGGAAAACTCTTCATTAAAGTTTAGTGTTTACAGAAAACCTACGAACAATTTATCTTATGTTCATTATTTTTCAGGGCATAAATACAATGTAAAAAAGTCAATTTTTTCTTCAATGTATCTAAGAGCTCTTCGAGTTGTGAGTCCAGAATTCTTAGATGAAGAATTTAAGAATATTGATTCGATTGGTCTTAAGCTTTGTTACCCACTGAATTTTTTGGAAGTTTGTCGTAACAAAGCTCGTCGTACATATTATAATAATGTATGCAGTGAAAGGACTCGCCCAAAGAATGTGTTATGTTTACCATATTTCTCTGGGTTTGAGAATATTGTCAAGGCCTTGAAACTTTTTAATATAGATGTAATGTTTAGCTACGAAAACACTGTTGGTAAGCTATTAGTAAGGAACAGCCCTCGTAGTGATAATTGCGTCATTTATAAAATACCTTGTAAGGAATGTAATAAGTTCTATGTCGGGCAAACATCTAAAGATTTAAAATGTAGAATATCGCAACATAAATACTCTGTAAAACATGGCCAATTATCTAATGCTTTGTTTGTGCATTTGTCAGAAAACGCTCACCAAATTGATTGGGAGAGTGCGTCTTCAATAACAAATTGTAAAAGCACCTATAACAGAAACATAATTGAATCCGCTTTGATACAGATCACCAAAGAAAGTAATTTGAATATTAGCAGTGGTCTATATAACTTAGATCCATTTCTAATAGATCAGCTAAAGGGCGATTTAAGTAGAATCATTGAAAAACATTTGTCTCACTAATTTATTGTATATATTTACCTCTTTATGTTATAATTACCTATGTATTATGCTTGTATGTCTGCTGTATCAGATGGGCCATTGGGCTACATCGGATGGACTAATTGGGTGCATCTGATGGGCCAATGGGCTTCTGCGTTGTCCAAGACAATCACGTTTAACGTTTTGGGCAGCATGGGTTTGGGGTCCATAAAACATCGAATAAATAAAGTAGTCAATTAGACTATACACAGCTATTTCCCCCCCTCCCAAACAAACGTTCAGTACCAAGTAATCACAGCTTAAAAAAAATTAATGCACAAAAGTACCCCAGATTGAGCACAGTATTCACCGTCGAGTTGGGAGACCGGCTTATATAGACGTAGTCAGGTCAACTTACCCTCCTCCATGTCTTACAGTGGAGGTTTTCAATCCTCTGCACAAAGCAGGGACAGTTTTAATCAGCTGTCTGAGTGGTATCATAGTACCCAGCCAGCTGTGAGTCCCTGAGGCAGCTAAGAATCAGCTGGTGAAGCAGCAGCAGCAGCTGGTGATAGTGTGGACGACGGCCGCTAGAGGCTGCTGCTGCTGCTCGCTCAGGCCGGCACAACACCACTTATAACCTTCTATAGCACAGCACCACTTATAAACTATAGCACACCACCACTTATGAACTATAGCACACCACCACTTATGAACTATAGCACAGCACCACTTATGAACTTCTATAGCACAGCACCACTTATGAACTTCTATAGCACAGCACCACTTATGAACTTCTATAGCACAGCACCACTTATGAACTTCTATAGCACAGCACCACTTATGAACTTCTATAGCACAGCACCACTTATGAACTTCTATAGCACAGCACCACTTATGAACTATAGCACAGCACCACTTATGAACTATAGCACACCACCACTTATGAACTATAGCACAGCACCACTTATGAACTATTGTACCTCACCTTACTTCACCACTCTCTCCTGCCTATTTATACCCATCACTCGATCTGTAAAATGACCTTCTGAAGATGTATTTAATATACGAAAGTACTTAAGGAAATTTCCTGTTTCATTTATCCTCCGTGGTCTGACATTGTCACATTCTTAATCACGTGTTGAGCTATTTTCGTGATATACACACACAAATTATCTATATAATAATACAAACCCGATAAGTTGTTATATTTATGTTGCTATAAACTATATATCCTATTATACAGGCTATATAATATAGTATATATGTGCTATATAGGCCTAGGAATATATTTTATAAATACAAAAATACAAAAAGTGGCTATACTGAATATATCGAAATATTATAATAAGTATAGAA